ACTAAGCAAGATTCACTGTCGCCCGAGTAGGATACAGCGTGCGAGGCGGAGGCCGCGGAGGTCTGGATAGATGCAACGGGATAAGCGTTGCCAATGGCGTTCTGCGCTGCAGTGAACCCGCAGCGCCAGACCTCGCGCATGGTGGCAACAATAACTTCCCATCGGTAACCTCCTTTGACGATGGATGTGTTGGTCGGCCGTTCCGGGGGAACTGCGCCTTCCTTGCCAGATACCTCAAGAGTGCTCGACTTGCCGACCAACATCATATCAAGGGTCGCAAGGAACTGAGGCGTGCAGACAGAGGCGAGGCACAAGCAAACTTCAAAATTCGAAATCTTGTAGTTGCTACGGCTGAGTTGGAGAATACACGGAGCAAAGCGACAAAGGAACATGTTTCCACGAGTCCCCTCCTGCTTGCCAAGTCCGCGGAACTCGCTACAGATGTGGCTGAGCTCTGCAAGTGTTCCGGACTGCTGACCCGATATTTCAGGGTACTGTTCCAGGATCGCCTTAACAAAGTCCTCCCATGGTTTGTTTTTGAATGCGAGCGCCAGCTCCTCCCACAAGATGCGTGTAGCAGTCTTTTTAGCGTGGAGAGGCGCCTTAGCAATTTTGTCCGCGTCGGACGTGATCCCGTGATCTTTGAGGTAGGTATCAAGATCTCGTAGGAACAAAGGCAAGCCACTCATATCATCCTTGTCAAAGCGAGGGGCGTCAGACGCTGTATGAGAGTAGCGCGCGGTAGACATTGGTTTGGGAACGGAAGTAGAAGTCGAAGTCGGAATAGAAGGAACGGGACGGGATATAATGGTCGGATTCGGAGTCGGAATGGTTCTGGAAGCTGGAGTCGGAGTCGGTTCTTCGGTCGAGGCTGGTTCGGTACGGTCGCGAGTCGGAAATAATTCAGAGAGAGACGGAGTCGAATCGTTGGACAGAGAGCTCAAGGGGGATGAAGCGCGTGGACCCTGTGTCGCGGCCGGTTCGGGCTCGATGGAAAGACGAGAGAATGAAGCAGAGAGGTCGTAGGCAACCGAGAGAGAAGTAGGAGAAGGAGGGTTTGGTTCTGTGTCCTCAGGGAAAGCACCTGGTAAGGTGTCGTCCACTTTGGATGTTTCTACCGGACGTTGGGTAACGGATTTCCGGGGTGATGCTGATCATGATGGGCGACTGGCTTGTTCCGCTAGACGCGCTCGCTCTTTGGCCTTTCTCTTGGATCGCTCGGATGTAGAGCTATCCCAGTCCGGTCTTAGAGCCGAGAGGCTGGATTTTTGTCCAGGAGCCGTCGTGACGGTACCCGAAAACACAAGTAGAATTGGAGAGGGCCTTAATATGACTCTCGAAGTTCGCTCAGCAGCTAGTAATTTGCTGGCTAACACAGAAATATCTCCTCGCGGTGGGCTCCAGATGATGGGATCGTACGCTCACGAAAGACGCGAAGTACAGTCTAGCTAGATGATCCACACAACCAAACACCAACAACCACGATAGTAATGAACACGCTAGACTGGAGGCGCTACGAGAGCGGGCGAGTCCGAGTATTTATATTACTAGGGGATAGATTGTGCTGTTTATGCCAGTTCCAGACGAGCTGGACTGAAGCGAGAAGTCGAGTGGGGCAATCGGACGTCTCGGCGTTCATACGAGCACTTTCGGGTTTGATTGAAGTTCACAAGGCGGGTTAAGGCGCTCAGAAGTTCAGGCTTTTTATGATGTGTAAAGTGCGGGTTAACGTGGTTGTGTTTACTTGGTGTGGTGTGTAGGTACTAGGGCTTCTCTGCACGCGGCGGAAAAAGTCCCCGAATTGTATGTAGGTCTTGGTATATAAGTTGAACGCGTCGTCTCGGCAGTCCAGGCCGCGCGGTAACACACAATGCCTATCTCTGAGTCAAAATCCAACTATAACGCCTATCTGGGCGTTCTCCTGTCCGAATAATCGCGCAATGACTGCAGTTCCTGGCGGTAGAGCGGTTGACTGGTCGGGTATCCTCCTGCGCCGCAATGCCGGGCGCGATTCCACACTTGTTGATGTTTACCAAGGCAAGGCCGGCCTGGTTTCCACCCATTCCCTTGTGCGCGACGCGGCTCAGAGGCCTGCACGGCGGGGAGCGTACAGCCTAGACTGTCGATACGCGGGGAGTGAAGCCCTTGCCGGGGCGGACAGCACTTGGCGGCGCCGACGCTCGGTTAGGAGTTCAACTCGGCGATGTCTGAGATCACGAGCTCGGACCCGAAGTTCCGGTCTTGGACCCAAAGTCACGTGTAGTCACGTTGATGGTTCGAGTTCCGCTTGCGTGGTGCTCTGCGTGTCTCCGCATGACGGCGAGCAGCAGGAAGGCTTGTCCGAGCCCCAACAGTAATCTAGATTCTCTTGACACAGCAGGGCAAGAGGACTGAAGGCTTGAGGCGCGTATAGCGCGGCTACTTGATTAAGTAGGGCCCGCCAAAGGACTCGCAGGATGTCATCGACGACGCGCAGACTCGTGATCAGGTGCCAAAGAGCTCGCTGCTATCCTTGGTCAGTCATTGCAGACGGATAATGCTGCGGACTAGTTGTATTGAAGGTTAGGAAGCGTGGCGCTCCTGGTTTTCTATATCATAAAATACCCCCGACACGCCCGTTGTACAGTCGCGACGTTGGTGCAGTATATACGGATCCGCCCATACAATCTAGACCAGTGCGACTATATATCTCTTGTTTATGTATGTTTTTCCGCGTTTTTCAGCCGCAGGGCGTATCACTACGCGCATGGATGCATCATCGCGCAGCAAAACAGGGAAGCGATAAGTTACCGCTACGCCTTCCCGCCGAAGAATTCCTGGGCCTTGTCACGAGTTGTAGGTATTAGGTACAGCTCGACTCTAGCAGTCACTCGGTTACGTCACGCGCTCACGCTTTATATACCGAGTAGTCACACTATACACTCTTTAGTCCGTGCGTTGTCACCTTCGGTTTGTGTCTGTGTTCGGCGTTGCCGCTGGGCGTGCCAGCCCCTCCAGCTTGCCGCTGAGGGGGGCCTTCGAGGCCCTGCCCGGGGCTTTGTACCGGGTCTGTCGCTTGCCTTTCCTCCTTGCTGCTGCCATCCGACCGCTGGGTCGTATTTGATCATCCACCGCCGACGCTCCTGCTATCCGCAACCTCCCTACCCGTTGGTCACTCCTTGCATCCACTTGTGATAGGCCTCGCAGTGGCCGACACGAGGCGAATGGGGCGTTGAGGAGAACAAGTACATGCTGGAGCTCGCCGTGGCCTTCGAGCGGGGCGAGGCCGAGATACCCATGGAGTCCGCCTGGAAGGACCGCTTGCGGAAATCGGAGCCGCAGCAACCTCGGTTCCGGCTTCTGCAAGAGCGAAGCCTTGAGCGTCGCCGACGCTGAAGCTTGGGCGGAGTACTTCCAGCACGTCTATGGCGGCGACCGCCGATTTGTGCATATTGCGGATCTGGGAGAGCAGCTGCGCCCCGCGCGTCTGTACGAGTAAGCACGTCTCGACTCGGAAGGGGGGCTTTGTGGAGAACCCGGTATCACAAGCATCCTCGTCGAGACTCTGCGGGGGTGGGCGTACTGATTAAGATTCCTATTGTACTTTTATCATTTCTACGAGCCACGACAGCATGCGCGACCCCCGTGATCGCGCATGCTCTACTACGTAACACCTTGTACTTGTAGTCTCAGACACACGAATGACGACACACTTCTTACCACCATCTTGCTTTTTCCTCGCAGCTGAGAGAATGCTTGGCAGGCTTGTACCGCCTCTGTAGATACGGTCGAGGAATCCAGGACTGCCGGTGACCTCCTGTATTGCCTCGCCAGCAGACGACCACTCCGCGTCGACACTTTACGCCTCCGTGAGTGAACCCTCCCGGAGCCCCAGGTCTCCACACAGACAGTGCCTCAAGATTGTAACAGCGGTGGAAAAGAGGGCACTGAGTCTTAACACCGCGCTTCTGATTATCCTTCTCGATGACTGAGTTGAGGATCAGTGGACCAAAGTATCCACTCTTGTAGAGGTCTTGAGCGGAGGAAAAGTACGGTTTCAGACAGAGATTGCATGTGAATGGAGTAGCAACTGCAGACGCCACTGCGCGCAACGCCGGACAGGGACATGTGTGAGAATCAGAGACCTTCGGGAGAGCACGGATATCGAGCTAGTGAGGCAATGATAAGCTCAGTGCTCGGTCTACGTAGTGAGAGAGCGACTGTATTCACCTAGTGAGGCAACGATAAGCTGAGAGAGAGTAAGTAAACGGTAAATAAGGAGCGGTTCGGGCAGCTCACCTCAGTGCTCGGTCTACGTAGTGAGAGAGCAACTGAGGAGAGCGGCCGATCGGAAAGTGAAGATATACGGAGGCTTATGTAAGTATGTGGGACCGTATGGGTCCGTTTTGTGGGTCCGTGTATTGTACCCTAAAAGGAACATCAGGAAAAGCGGCCCGGCGGCCGTAGCGGACTCAGCCGGACTCAAGCGGGCTCAAGCGTCTCAAACGCTCAAGAGCCCCAAAAGTTATTGCCCAAAATCAAACGTTCTCAAGACGCTTGACTCGTCCTTGAACCCGCTTGAGCCCGCTTGAGTCGGTTTGAGTTTAGCCAAGCATCATGAAGCTGCTTCAAAATTCAATTTTTCTATCACTAGATTCCTTCAATAGACCACTAAATTTGCTTGATTGCAGTCACTAATATCTAGACTACAATAAATAACTATATTGCCAAGTCTCCCCGCAGCTAGCCTGGCCAGTCCCTCGCCACTCACCGCTGCCAGGATGTGCTCGTTGTTATAGGGGGGCTACTTCTCATCTCCCCGACGCTCCCGAGTGCCACAACACGTGGTCGCGCCGACCGCCTTCCCGAGCCCGCGCACGTCCCAACACATCCAGCACTCCCACCCATCGGACGCGCACATTCCCGCACTCGTCCCCGCATCCGCCGCCTGCCCCACTCTCGCCGTCGCCCGACGCCGCGACACGTGTCTGCACATCTCATGCTTCTGACGTGTCAGCTACCATCAGCACGTCCTGGGCTCAAACACGCACCTGCAGCACTCCTCGCGTCATTCTGCGTTGTCTGGCACTCCTCGTGTCGTGTGCTGGCTCGGGCTCGAAAACTCACCACTCGGTAAATGCCAAGCTCGCACGCCTGCCGTTGAGTCGCACATCCCGGGCGAATGCCCAGGACACATGGCGCTCGTTGGGTAGCGGACCTGCATCGTCCTGCGACGTCACCTGTGTGCACCGTGCCTACTCTCGTGCCCGCCGCTCCGGTCTGTTCCGAGCCACTGCCTGCGCGACATCTGCCTCGCCCAGTCCTTGCACGCCCACGCATCGCGCGAGCAGCCGGTCAGCGGGTGCAGGTATTCCCAGCCAGGCTGCGCGCATTGAAGTACGTGCGGCCGGCTGCAGACACGAGGACCATTGCACGTGCACAACGTGTACGTGCCACGTCACGCAGCGACGTGGCCCCTGCGAACACGTCAGCTCAGGTGGGCATACACGGACCACCCGCGCATGCAATACGCGCGGCAGATGAAGATGCGGGTGGGTGGGGAAGAGAACGGCGATGGTGGTGATGGCGCCGTGCGACCTGCATTGGTGGTCGCTGTTGTGACTCACGACCGCTACTTCCCGACGGCGGCTCGGGCCTCCGCATTTGGGCAGTCTCGACCGATATCTTGGACAGCGGACTTCCTTTCTCCGTCTTTCTTATCTTTGTGTTCACTTTCTAGGGTATATGTGTTGTTTACTTTGACAGGACATGACTTGTAGATATTCAGGACGAGTCAGTGTATTTCTTGGCATTATTCAGCCAATATCTGCACCCCAATTACCTACGAGTATTTAAGCCATCCGAACTCTCGAATATAGTCAGAATTCTCCTCCCTCTTCCACCCGAAAGCCCGGTCTGATCGCTAGTCGAAGAGGCGAGAGCCACATCGCCTTAGTGACACGTTGTCGGAGGCGTCAGGACATAGCGAGATAGAGGGAGAGGAGGGGGCGGTGGGGGTAATATCAAGGTGATGTCAATGGAGGACAACGCGCGGCTGAGCTGCCGACGCGCGTCGAGCGGACAGTGAAGGACGAAGACAAGAGACGCCGATCGACTGCGGGCGGAGTTGTTCCGCCCGGTCACGTGACTTGCGGAGATCCGGCCCGACACGCCGACCTTCGCCTCGTCCAGTGGCGCGGCCGTTGTCCCTGCTCTCTCCTTCCCCCGAGTGAACATGTTCCCTGCTCTTATGCACCTGCCTGCAAGATAATGCTAACTACTACATATATACTATGCTGCATTCCTGTTTTTTGCCTCTCTGCAATCTCTCTGGGTATGCTCTACTAATTCCTCATGTACTGTTGCTACTTTACTTGGGCTATTTACAATATGATAATTCAGACTATGTACAAAGGAAAGAGTCATCAATTCTCTTGAGTTCACTTGACATACATCCCAGATCCTCAAGCGCTCTCAAGCGGGTTCAAGCGGGCTCAAGAGGATTCAAGCGCCTTCGGGATTGGCCGAAATCTCAAGTGCTCTCAAGCGGCTTGGCCGCGGGGGTACTTTTGGTGATGAAAGGAAAGCATACGTAACGGACTTGCGTCCGGATTGTCCATGGGTATATAGGTAAGTAAGGTAAGTACTGACCTGCATCTCATCAACATGGTGGTCGAATCAAATTTAAAGGTGAAGGTCTCGCCGATGGCGCAAACGCGAGCCGTCACGTCACGTAGTGACGCGTCACCCGCGGTCGTCCGCGGCCCGCGCGGGCTTTCGCCCCTAGGTCTTTGAGCTCCTTTGCGTGGCCGTTGATGGATATATAGGCTTGCGGCTCTGCCTCATCTTCCTTCTCAAACTCCTCTATCTCGCTACTCTGGCACCCGGACGAATTTCTTTACGAATCTTGCACGACTACACGGCTTCCACGACATACAATGACTGGCACCATGTTGAGTCTTTCCGAAGCCGACAACCTGATCCCTAGCAGCGGGAGACAGATGCTCGATCATGTCAACCGCCTGCACAGCACTGGGTGCGCCGTACTTCCCTCTGAATTCAGCCCGAGGCTGACACGAAATCCACCAGCGTGCAGATCGACATCGGTACGTCGCCCGAGCTTGAGGGAACTGCTGCCACTCAACTCTCCTTTCAGATCTCCCCCAAATTGCCGTTGTCGGTACACAAAGCGTCGGAAAGACCTCCCTCATTGAGTCCATCACCGGCATCTCTCTCCCTCGCGAGAGCGGGACATGTACTCGGTAAGTCTGCCCGTACTTCGCCCACCTCATCCTCTGAACCCCGCCTCTTTCCCAGCTGCCCCATCGAGTGCCGCCTCGCGCACTCCGATGCCAATTGGTCCTGTGTTGTCTCCCTCCGCATAACCGAGCACGGTCAAGCGCGCAACATCCCCTTCGGCGACATCATCCTCGACCCCAAAGACGTCGAGAAGCGTGTCCGTAAGGCGCAAAAGGCCATTCTCAACCCCTCGCAGCCAGTCACGGCCTTCTTGAATGAGGATGCAGACCTGAAGGCCGTCAATGAGGAGCGCTTCTCAAGCAATACAATTTGCTTGCAGATCACCGGGCCTAACTTGACTGATCTGTCGTTCTGCGACTTGCCCGGTGCGTCGTTTTCCGTTTCCTTTTTTGCCACGCTCATGCTGTGCTAGGCCTTATCGCGAGCGTCTCCATGGATGGCGACGCGCAGGACATCAAGCTCGTTGATGATCTCGTCCGCAGCTATATAATGAAGCCGAGCTGCATTATTCTACTCGCCGTCAGCTGCGAGAGTACGCGAATATCCTCTAGCTTGCTTTCTCATCTCACCGTCACTCCCGTAGCTGACTTCGAGAACCAAAAAGCGCACCAACTTGTCCACGAAGTTGACCCCGAGCGCGCTAGAACTATCGGTACGTTCTTCGTCTTTGCTCTCCCTTCCCTCTCCCTCGTTCACCTAATTCTTCTTCATCCCCTTGTTCCCTCCCTCCCTCCCTCTCCCTTTCCCTCTTCCTGCCTCGCCCCTCCTTTATGCCCGTCCCATCACTTACCTCGTTCCACCTTAGGCGTTCTCACCAAACCCGACCGCATCCAAAAACTCGAGGAAGGCCAATGGCTCCGCCTCCTCCGCAACGAAAAGGAGGAGCTTGCCTACGGCTGGTACGTTGTCAAGCTGCCCACGTCCGCTGACATGCGCGAGGGCATCACCTGGGCAGAGGCGCGCGCCGACGAGACGCGCTTCTTTGACAACACGTATCCGTGGCCGGACGAAGCGTCGACGCACCTCGGGACGCCGAATCTGATTGTGCAGCTGGAGGCGGTGCTGAGTGGGCTCATCATAAAGCGGTGAGTCTTCGTTTGAAAGCTTCTTGCTTCGAGTGAGCAGTACGGAATGCTCAAGCTCAGCAACTCACTCCCCTTCCCAGACTTCCCGAAATCGAGAAAGAGCTCTCCGAGTCCATCTCTCGCACCCAGCGTCGCCTCGCCGACCTCCCGCCGCCGCCACCCGAGCACCCCTTCCTCGAGATCAACCACCAACTCGGCGCATTCTGCGCGGAGGTCCAATCGTGCGTCGACGGCAAGAGCTCGCCCGCAGGCGAGATCGCGCTACAGCAAACGATCCGTCCGCGCTTTCAAAGGTTCAAGTCGTGCTTGCTGAAGACGGCACCGCGATTCTTGCCGTGGGATCGCGCGGGTGCGGCGGGGCATGAGTTAAAAGCGCCCGAGTTCACTCACTTTGAGGATGGAGGGGAGAGTTTTACGGGCAAGTTCTGCGTTCGCTCACGTTGCTCTGCCCGCTCATGATGCTTTCTTAGTCTCTCCCACCACCCACTTCTCCTTCAACCCGCCCAACCAGCAGGTCGAGCGCCTCGCCCGGCCCGTCTACCTCGACGAGGTCTATACGAAAGCCCAAGAGGAGCGCATCCGCGAACTCCCCGGCATGATGTCCTTCGACGTCTACATGCACTATATCAATGAGTTCCTCGCCGGCTGGCCGGACCCTACGCACGAGCTGGCTCAAGAAGTCGCTGCGGACGTCTCGCGCATTGTGCGCAAGCTCGTGAAGCAACGATTCGCGGGCGTTGGACATGGCGCGCTGCAGTATAGGGTGGGGTGAGTGAGATTAGGAGACGTGGAAATGGTGAGGAGGGAATGCTGACTGAAGTTCAAAGGAATGTCATGCAGGAAACGGTCAAGAAGCGCTCTGCGGAGACGCTCGAAGCCCTCAACGAGCTCCTCGAGCGCGCGAAGACGCCTCACACGTTGCTAGAGGCGCAGTACACCTTCTATCGCGAGGGACTCGAGCAATACTATCGCCAAGCGTACGAGAGCCCTCCGGATCCCACTCTCGCTCTTACTGTACCCGCCCCCGCGCCCGCGGCGTCGATGCCCACGCCAATATCTGGTTCTGCGACGCCAGCTTCTCAGCCTCCGCCTGCCTTTCCACCGACTGCAAACAGCGGCTTCACCTTCGGCAAGCCCAAGCCCAACGACTCGACCTCGAAAGAGGTCGCGGACGCCGGAAAGCAGGGTAAGGGAGGCCTCCCCTTTCCCTTCCCGACCACACCGCAGACTCCTAACCCCCCGTATTGATTCGCTCCAGCGGCCTCGAAGGGTACCTTCGGCAGCGCGTCGACCCCAGTGGTAAAGCTACCCGCTGAGAAGCCAGCGAGCGGATTCTTCGGATCGACATCGAGTGCTACAAGTGGCTCGACGCCTTCGCCCTTCGGAAATACGAGCTCGGCGTTCAAGATGGCTTCTATGAGCCCGGGACCTTTCGGCGGGCCCACCGGAAGTACGAGTCCGGCACCCTCTACTCCTGCGCCCTCCGCGCCTACGCTGGCACCTAATGTTCTCTCTGCGGAGATGTCGACGGCGCTGGGCGTGATGGCGCATGTGCGGGCGTACTTCGAGAGTAAGAGCATCTTCTTATCCTTTCCTCCAAGAAGACCAACATGTCTTTAGTTGCTTACAAGCGCTACCTCGACAACGTCCACGAGATCGTCGACTACAAGCTCGTACGCGGCGTCGCACGCGAGCTTCTGCCCTCGCTCTGCCGGTACGTCCCACGATTCCAGTCAGATTCCCGATTTACATACCTTATATATCGCCCGATGTCGACCTTGTCACTTTTCCATCGTGGTTTGATCTGACTCTCTTTGCTCATTTCATCCCCAGCGGGCTCGGAATCGATGGTCGCGACGCACAGAAGGTATGCGCAAGCTTGACAGCCGAGCGCGAGGACGTACGCGTGCGTCGGGAGGAGCTGCGCAAGAAGCTCGAGCGGCTAGAGGCGGCGAGCCAGGAGCTCGCGGCCTACCGTTGAGCGTTAGGGGGGTGGACCCATCAGGTGTGGGAAGATACTAGGTGAGTATTCAGGCACTTGGTATGTGCGAGCGAGAGCGCTGAGAATCAAACCAGGGGGTACATATACTACAAGGATAATTTAGCTCATATTTCTTGGATATTCACGTTTTTGAAGCCATGAGCACGGGGATTCCTGGACGAGACCATCCACTGGCCTCTCGTTCTCTCCGATTTCGTTGAACCACAACGCCGACTACTCACGCCGTCGTCGAGTGTCCTTCTGACGGCCGTCTTCGTCCTCAATCTGGACGAAGAGGTTCGACGGCGACATAACATGGATTTCTACAGCATCACGCTAGCCTTATACCCCTGGGCTACCGGGGATACGGAAGGATCATTGCCTGGCTGCTCTGATACCCCTTTCCAACCGCTCAACGCATAGCGACACGAAGGTTGCTCTATGACGGCAATTGTCGGTCCATTATACTTCCGCGTATGTCCAGAGGTCGACACTGACGAGAATTCTCTGACTTCGCTGACGTTCAGCTCCCTTCCCGTAGACAGTGCAGTACGGTTCCTCGCAAAACCAAAGGCTCCGACACTCCTTAGCACCTTACGGCAGGCTGAATAGGCGCGCGAGCACGGCCCGCGACCCGATGCACGGAGACGCGCCTCGATCCCGACATATCCAGCTTCTCTCTTACCACGACCCTCCCCCTCCTCTCCCGGTCAGTCAGGATGCCCAAGGCTTACTGTCCGATATGCACATGCTACCTCAACATCCTCGACATGCGATTGTTCGGCTGCGGTGCGTGCGTCTACACAGCGCGCTTTCTCTCTCTGAATCTTCAGCAGGCCATGGCTGCTGCGCAAGATGTATCTCCCAGCTAGCGCGTCAAGCATGCCCTGCATGTCGTCGACCATTCACTCGGGACGACCCGTACACGCTACATGTCGAAGTTCTGGAGGACGCAGACGTTCCGGAGCCCATCGAGACTGCGACGCGTCGACTTGAGCGCGTGCTGACGGGCACAAATCTCGCCGTAGCGAAGGCTGCGCAGCAAAGCTTGCAAGCGCTTGCGGAGAAGCTGGGCGACGAGGGGAAGGTCGATGCGGTGCGTGGCTATACGTTTCGTACGTTCGTCTACTCATCCACGACAGGGTGTCCTCAACGCGGCTATCTCCCTCCTCGACAAGCGCGTCGCCCCCCTTCTAAACCACATCACCAACCAGCGCCACACCATCCGCGAGCTCATGGAATCTGTCGACAGAGGACTTCCCCTCGATCGCGACCTCAAGACGCGCCAACTCCAGCGACGGCTCGAGCGCGCTGAAGACGAACGCGATCGTGCGCGACAAGCTCTACGCGCTGCCGGCGCCACTCTTGCTGCCGCTCGCGAGGACGCGTTCGCCCATCCCGAGGTTCTCGCGGTCCGAGAGGAAAGGGACGAGCTTCAAGGGCGACTTTCGACCGTACGGCGGCAGCTTGACGTCGCGCTGGAGCAGGAGTTGGCGCGCAAGAAGCGCAACCCTTTCGCTCAGGTGAGTGCCCGCCCTCATCTGCGTCTTCTCAGTTTGCTCAAAGCCTAACGCAGTCGGCTATGCAACGAGAAAACCAATCGCTCAAATCCCGCGTCGCTGAGCTCGAGCAGAAGTTGGCCAACGCCGAGCGGCCATCTTTGGTACGTAGACTCTGTATTCGTGCGGCCTATCTAACCTCTGGCTTCCAGAGCTGCGCGACCGGCAGCGCCTCCGCGTCTGCGACAACTTCAACACCAATGGAGAAGACACACGCACGCGGCATGAACCCTTTCATCCGCAAGCGCTCGGCCTCGACCTCCGCTAGCCCAAGAAAGCGAATCCGCGTTGCTTCCCCTCCTAGCCAGCACTCGCACCCGTCCTTCGACTACTTCTCAGACTATGATGATGACAACGAAAATCAGCCGCAGGTACTTCCTCGACGTGAGCTTCACCTACGTTCTCTCATTCCGCGTTTGCAGAGCTACGATCTGGAGACGCCACCGCGCATTCGTGTCGCGTACAGCAATAGCAAATCTTCTAGCGGAAGCCCTGCGAAGACGCCTTGGTGAAGTGACTTGCGCTTGAGTAGCGGCACATACGCAGTCTCGAGGACATTCACTTTACAGTCTATATAATCCTCGCACTTCCATCTTCTTGGTTGTATTTGATCTCTTCTTGATATCACGAGCCGCTTGTCTTGGATCCCGAGCGAAACATGCAGTGTCGAGTTATTCTTCACCATCTTACAGCGCTCTTCGAAGGGACAGGAAACAGCGGTCATTGAAGAAGCTACGCGATGACGGATAGGTATGTGTCGACGATGGACTAGGTTGATCAAGAAGTAAGAGCAGGATATAGTATAGCGTATGATACGACGAGCCAAGATCTACAGCGAGTGCGATGGGGACCATAGAAAAACACCACGATATGGTAAAGATGCCAAGAACGGATAGAGATACATGTACACGACGCATAGTTCGAGCCAGAACACCAAGAAGATCGTCCGTCGAGCGGGCAGTAGATGAGATATAATGTACGAAAGATGCAATACGACGAGGGGAGAAGACCAAGAAAGCGACGAAGACAAGCAAGATGCAGCAGATAGATAGTCAAGAAGATGGTACGAGCAGCGGACGAGTTACACAACAAGAAGAGGAACAAGTGCACAGCAAGAAGACGAACGAGAATGAGAAAGTCGATAAGCGACCGAGAGGAGAGCGTGTACTGAGACGTGTTGGTGGTCGAAGGTCTACTTGAAGATGACCTTCATGAGGTCTGCGCCCAGATAGGCCGCGCCGGGGCTCGTCGACTTCCCAACGAGCATGTTCGGGGCGCAGACCATGGCCTCCTTCGCCTGCTCTGCGTCAGCAAGCTCAGCAAACTCAAGGAGAGCATTCACCGTCAGCCTAGCAAAGCGGTGTTCAAATAGCGGCAAGTCAATGGGACCAAGGATGGGAAGGAGGACGTGGGAGGGCCATAGAATTGCGGACTGGCGATGGAAGATGGACATGTCGGCCGTCGTGCACAGAGGGCGGGTGAGCATCGTCGGGTCTGAGGTCAAGTCAGCGGGCACGTCAATCATCAAGTACATCAAGTACAGTAAAGGCGCACCCGACATATCCAGAAGGACCGTCGTCCGGTTCGCCTCCTTCTCGCGCATGACGCGAACCAACGTATCGCGCAGCACCGCCGTTCTCCCCGAGATCTACGGTGGGGATAAGTACCCAATCATCGACGAAAACGAATTACTTACCCGATCGTACTCTTCCACCACAAGCACCTTATCGTCAAACAGCGGCACGCCTGCCCTCTCCGGCTGCGCGCTCACGAACTTCCGGACGATCAACTCCGCCATCGCCAGCCGCACTTCCTCGCACACGCCCGCATCCCACAAGTCGACGACGGTCAGCTCGCGCGCGAACATTGACGCCACGTCCGACGTTTGCCCCGGGCGCGCAAAGAACGACTCGATGACGCGGATGCGCTCGTGGAGCTCGGCAGTCTCGTCGAGTGGAACGTCCTTCGTGAGCCGCGCGATCTCGCGCTTGAAGGTCGCGAACTCGAACGCTCGGCCGCCTGCGACGACGGCGTTGATTGCAGCCTGCGCATGGTTGTCAGCGTTCAGAATCTCTGCGCATATCTACACCCGCTACTCACCCTCGCCAATGACCTCGCCTTCGCGGGCAGGCGATCCCCCGATGCCGCAAACGCATTCCGCACAAAGCTCACGTCGTCGAAGTAGTTCGCCGGGACGCACAGCGCGCGGACCGTGACCATATACTGCAGGTCCTCCACCTCGTACCGGTCGCGCACGTCGTCGACGAACCGCGGCTCCACGAACACGTCCACCGTCGGCGGGTGCACGAAGCCCTCGCCCGCGTTCGAGAGCGCGGAGATGCGGCGCGGGGCAGGGTCGTCGGGCGCGAGGCGGAGGACGAGGCCGAGGCGAGACTTCTCACAGCGCTGCCCATGCCGGGTGAGGAGGTGTTCGAGGAGGGTGCGCGTGATGCGGGAGGTGGGGGCGTCTAGGGTGGGTGTGAGTGCCTGGCGCGGGGAGGTAGGAAGGGGAAACGTAGTTGACGTACCGCGGGCGCCACAGATGATCGCGGAGAAGGGGTTGGTCTAGAGGTTCAATGAGACGAAGAAGATCAGGAAGACCGATGTACGTACGAGGTTGAGGATGAGATGGGAGTCCTGCCCGTACGGGTCGTCTCCGGACGCTGCCCTGTATCGCGCTGAGGTCAGAAGATAGGCGAAGAAAGACAAGAAGTACGCACAAAAACTCCTTGATCAATCCGAGCCTCACATATCGGATGGCGCCCTGCTTGTCGATGCCGGCCTTCTGGAGTACGGAGTACGTCCACAGGGGTGCCGTGCGCCAGTCGGGGGCCTTCTCAGCATCGTAGGGAGACTGTATGATCGTGATGAGCAAGTAAATTTACCAGAGGAAGAAATACGAACATATACCGGCAGCTGCCGCTCAACCGACACTTGCTGGCTTCCCTGCGCTGTAGCGGGCATCGTCGATGTACCGCTTGAAGTGTCAACAGGTGTTTGGCTCGACGGGCTGACAACTGTATCGCTGCTAGAAGACTTGTTCAAGTTGTTCAAGTCCGACGACGGTGATCCCGCCAGAGCAGGGGGAGTGGTTCCCGGTAACGGCGAAGGAGTTGACGGTGGGGAAACCGGTGGCGAAGACTGAATGGCCTTGGATTGGTTTGCAGGAACTGTAGAGGCGAATTTATTGATGTTCTCCGACACGCCGGCTTGAGCTTCGCCCTGGAGTTGCGAGCGTTAGATGGAGGGAAAGGGGAGCCGATAGTAGCGCTCACGAAGACCTCTGGACGCTGAGCTTTGAGCCACATAGGAATGAGTCCGAAATTCGTGACCTTGGCGCGCATCAATACGATGAGAATTTTCAGAGAACCATCAATGCGCACCTCCTTCCCCGTCCCCGCGATCAACGACGCCGATGCATCTACTTTGGACTTCTTCGCAGGAGTGAGAGGTTCGGCGTTGGGTGCGTTTCCGGAGCGCTCCCTCTTCGCAGAGGGAGCGGGAGTTGCGAGTCCAGTTGCCGTAAGCGCTGACGCGTTCCATACAGTGCTCTCAGACGCGCTATTCGAGACCCTAGGTGAAGAATCAGTACATCGTCGACCTCGAGAGACGATTGACGCACTTCTGACCGACTGCCTTCGCTCCCCGCGCCTTCATCTTGCTCGGCGCTTGTTTGGCCAACTTGCGCACAAGCGCTTCCTTAGCAGCGGCCTTGCCGTACTTCTTCAAGGGTTTGCGCTCCCCCGAGTCGCCTGTAGGAGATCGACGCGACATGAGGGCGTCAGATCTGGGGAAGAGCGCGGAGGCAGAGAAGATGTGATGGACGGGAGCAAAGAAGCGCCGGAGCAAACGAACATTCCCAAATGGGAATGCCGGCTGTTCGGCCCGGCGTTAATTCTCCTTTTGGATGTGATGATCGTCATCCGCCTCTTGCTTCTTACCGTCACCTTCACCTGCCGCCATGGACGAGTTCTCCCCGAATATACATGATATGCTGTCACCAGAGACTCCGAAGAAGAGTTATGAAACCTCCGAACCAGCTGAGTACAAGCCCTCAAGCTCTGCGCCGTCCGCAACCGGAAGAGATCTTGCAAGTCCAGCAGCCAGGCCAGCGGCAGGAAGGTCGAGTCGTGATACCATCAGGTGCGTTATCTGCCCGTCAACTCTCTCTAGCTACTGAAATATGCAACAGAGGACGCTGTCTTGATGAAACTGAAGACATCTCGCCGTACTTCTCGCCCAATCCGAAGTCCATGCCCATCATCGTGCAAAGATCGCCCTTGACGTCTCGCACGCTCCACAGTACGCTGACTCCGCGGAGACCTCCGCCAGCTACCTCCCCGAGCAAACGAAAGCGCTTCTCGAGCCCCTCTCCCAGTATTCAGTCAAAGAGGCGCAAAGTCGACAAAGATCTTGCACCACCATCCGAAGCATGCCCGTCGACCTTGACCCGAGCCGGATCCCCTCTTCCTGCCCTCACGCCCCTCACCCCTCGGAGACGTTCCAGGTCAACCGTTGAATCACCGTCGCCATCCAAAAAACCGCGCGTACGACACAAGCCACAATCCCCCTTCGACGCGCTCGAATCGAAGTACTTCCTCAAGAACTACGCGTCAGATCCTCTCAAGGACATGGATGGGTACGAGAGGAACGAGCTGATGCAACGCTTGCTAGTCGCGAAGCCCGACATGATCCAAGGTGTGCTTGCTTTCCCTTGATCACTCCCTGTGTATTTCCCTCCGCTCCGTGCGTCTGTCCGCTCGCTCCCTCTGCTCCTTCTAATGCTACTGATACCTCTACGACTGCGCTCTATCTGTCGTGCCTCTCCCACTGCTGTCCTTGCTAATATCTATCTAGAAACCTTCGCCGCCGATCCCTGGAAAGTCCTCATCGCAACCATTTTTCTTAACGTCACGCATGGGACGCAATCAATCCCCATCGTCCATGCCTTGCTCGATATCTGGGACACGCCGGAGAAGATGGCTCAAGGTGCGTTTTGGCGTAGTTCCGATGACTATACCTCTGCTTCCCATTGTCGTTGCTCATCCCTGTCCCCTCGATCTCTATTACTTTCGTCCCTTCAACCTCCTTCGTTCTCGCCGCCCTCTCTCCAGCATGCTTTGCTGACACTACCGCAGCCTCTCCTGACGAGATTTACCCTTGCATCCGGCACCTCGGGCTCGGTCACTCGCGCTCCATGCGCATCGTCGACCTCTCGCGCGCTTGGATCGCGCGACCGCCGTCTTTTGATGACGAGCTCGGTCTGTCGAAGTCAAGCGAGTCCAGTCATCGCGGGTCAGGCGAGTCCAGTCGTCGCGAGTCGAGCGAGCCCAGGAGTCGCGAGTCCAGCGACGTCGGCCTCCTCCCTTCATCAGCAGATGCGCCGCTTGCCTCAATATCGACCAATCTCAAGACGGACAAGTCCACCGACCCGAAGCACTACCCACTCACTCCCATCTCCCACCTCCCCGGCGTTGGGCGTTACGCACTCGACTCCTTCCGCACGTTCTGCACCGGCGGGAGCGACGAGTGGAAGAGCGTGCGTCCGACGGATAAGGAGCTGATTAGGTTTTTGGTCAGTCGAACTTTCTTCTTCTCAAGCCCTATTTTTCTTTCCACGCTTCGTTCTTCCCTTCGCTTTTCGCTGCTTGGGCATAGATACTATGTTGCACCCCACATGCATTGTCCTTCCTCACGCATGTTGAAAATGACATGTATTGTTCTTCTCTACGCGTGTCGCTCCACCTCTTCCGGGTTAGGTTGACCCAATCACAGGCATGGAAATGGGCGTATCACGAACACCGCCGATGGCACCCAGAACGCGGACCGATGGGCTACGCGGATGCCTCGTACATCGAGCGGCTGATCACAAATTTAGCCTTGACGACACCCGGGGGATCCAAGTCGCCGCAGTGATCTCTGACCAAGTCGCCACAGTGATCTCTGACCAAGTCGCCACAGTGATCTCTGCACGTCGTATTGTTGCAACCTTAGTCTTCACTGTATTCTCAAGGGTTCATTATGCGCTTCTTGCTGTCCCTTCTTATCCTTGACTTGCAAATCAGGAGGTAGGCTCGGACCTTATAGAGCGCTCGGTAATGGTTCCGTGGTCAGTGATCAACTGCTCTATAGTCCTGTCTTTAGCTTCCTTGTCTTCCTTTCTGTCGTTCCTTGCTGCCGTCCTCATCATTCATTCTTCCTCAGACAATGCCGCTGCTTCATTGCATGATGTACGCGCGGCCTCCTTCTTTCTGACTCTGTCGGCTTGGCAGTCCCAAAGGTCGATCACTGACGGCTTTCTATCCCTCGCGTAGGCCCTATAGCACGCTGGCTGAAATGAGCTGTCAATATCGCTTCACTCGGTCCGGATCCCCATAGACTTCTTCAACAACTTCCTGCGCGTTGTTTCAAGGAACCGGCATAGCGTAAGTGCTATGTCCTCCCTAAAGAAAATGCGCAGCTTACGACGAGCAGTGTATAGGCTACGAGGGATTTTTGCGTCGTCTGGTCCCATTGCGCTTCTTTTCGCTTCAAGGAATGAGGACGGAGGAGCGGCGTTTGGCTCGTTCGGAATACCCGCGACTCCACTTTCGTCGTCCTTCATTCTTGGCAGCAAATCCGCATAACCAGCGATGGGATCGGCTCAACAGCAAGCGCGGGAGCGCATGCGCAACGGACGGCGAATAAATAATCGGAAGTCGGGCCTTCGAGACGTCCAGAAGCAAGGGGCGAGGAAAGTCTAATTCGCGGTCAGTGATCGTTCAATGAAGTGCTGACCTCACTTCCCCCAACAGGCGTCTCCGTCTACCCCGCCGACCAGTCGGTAAGCTCACCGGTCCGTGATCATCGCCTCGCGGCCCTCTTTTAATTTGCCCGCTCATTATAAGCTGCGCCTCGACCTTCCATCCCCATGTACCGGTTCCTTCCTGCCTTCACCCGCGACACCTATCGTTCCCTCCTTCTCCGTCTTGCGTGCAGCGCGCGAATTCCCCTCCTTCTCCTTGTCCTCTACACCTCTATCGTCTACTACGCGTACACGCTCTATACCCGCCGCTCTCGCGTCAACATGGCGAAGATTCCTGCCCCAAAGCTCGGTCACCATCACCACCACAAGCCTCAAGAGCACGGTGCTCCCAAGCCGTACAGGCGAGGTCTCAGCGTCGCGGATAGGTCTATCGTCCTCTGGTACGTCTTCTACTTGTGTTGCTCTGAGTCTCCCATGTATTGACGATCATCCAGCGCCACCAGCGCCTCCACCCGTACTCGAAAACTCACCCGCGTCGAGCAAGCGCGGATCCGCTTCGCCCATAGCCGCGGTCTGAGTAAGACCTTTCTCGCCCGGCGTCTCGCCACCACGAACGACGTGGTCCTCCGCATCCTCGAGCGCAAGTACGATCGGCACTCGTCGACGGCGCTCCGCGGAAAGAAGCTGGACGCCGAGGACCGTCAGCTGTGCGGCGAGGACTTCGTCGCTGAAGTCGAAAAAGAGCGCAAGGTGTGTTCGCCTTTCCCTTCTCTAGTTAGCAGCACTGACGAGCTGTAGCTCCAAAAGCTGCAACGCGAAGGGAGGGCGCCGTTGGTGAGTGTGATTCGTCTGAGTGAATCTCGATGTTAATGTTTGTTACGCTTTCCAGACTCGCACCGTCTCCGGCGACTGGAGAATCTCGACTTCGGCACCAAGCACTCCCTCTTCGAGCCAGCAGCACGCCTCGAGTGCGTCTCGGCGCGCAGGTCCCGGTACCACTCAACGAGCCGCTGCTCCCAAGCCCTCTCGCTACGCGACGCCTGAGATAGAGTCTTCTTCAGAGGAGGAAGATGAGGGCTCAGCGTACGAGCCGAGCGAGACGGAGGAGACCGCGGCGACGACGCCCGACTTCGAGATGGAGGCCATCGATGAGGACTCCAAGGACGATGTGCGACAGGTTGATGAGGTACGCTTCAGCATCCATCATGTTGACTGACCTTCATCCGTCTCCCTTCCGTCATGCTAACGCCCCATCAGGTCCTCGCCAACACCCAGACCCACCCTACCATCACAACGGCGTGGATTCTCGAGCGTGCCGGCCTCTCCGACCGTCAGGATATCATCGCGCAGATGGCATACATGGGCTTCACCGACAAGCACGCCGTCCTTCTCGCGCAGCAGACCGAGGAGCAGCGCAAGTTCGCCATCGCCTCGATCTTTCCTCCCGAGCGCTTCGGGGAGCAGTTTAGCTTCGCCCTCGCCATGTTCGACCAAGCATTGATGGCGGCGCGCGATGAGCTTCAGCGCGGGACTTGACGAGCAGCTCTAGCTCCTTCAGCCTTCGTTCGCTGTACATGCAACGGCTCGTTGTGATGATCTTGGGCTTATGTCCACAGCTGTATTTTCTTGTTGTCCACGCGTCGCGCTATCCTTTCTGCAACCCATATTACCTACTACCTTACCGTTGGGTCTAGTGTATCCATCTTGATTTGTCCTTGCTGTCTCTACTCATCCCTTGTCGCCTGAAATATAGATTGAGCATCCTTTCCCTGCTCTCATTCGCACCTTGCCTCTTGCAAAGTTCAACATTACTATCCCGCAATCACGTTGTCTCTCTCGGCTATCTCCGTTCTTGATTGACCCCGAGTCCGCCACGCCTCTCCGCAGCACACTCCTTTCTTCCTTCCACCACCCTCATCGATGGCACTCAGTGCCCCTCGCTCGACTTTTGCCTTCTTCTGCGATGCGCGCCTCTGCTTCAGACATGTCCGCTAGCTTTCTAGTCAGGCAACGGAGAAGGCTGGAGAGCAGTTTCTTGACCTTCTTCAACCTTGGGCTGCTCCGTCGTCGTCAATTGATCTGTGAAAGCACAAGCAGAAGGCGTCCTATCGCGGCGACCACAGCTTATCTATCGTCCCCTCTGTCCTCGCCTCTTGTCACGCGCCTTCCTTCCAAGAGGTCCCTCTGACTATTGAGCTTCATGATGTTCGCTGGTGGCAAGCCTGGATATCGAACCTGCATATATCACCCGGTACGTAGAGCGATCCCTCGCCTTGCGCGTCCGATATCTTGCCAAGCACATGATGCGAAACATCAGCTTCTATAAGATGATCTCTCTACGGACATGATCTCAAAACGATTCCCCTACTGATATTGCCATCTCATGCTCCCCTCCGTCGAGTAGTTGCGCTCGTGTCACTAACAACAGCTCTCAGGGTCAAGCTCGTCGCTAGGTAGTTCTTCAGCGTCGCCCGTCAAGATACCCTGTGTACGTCTTGACTTTCGACGACCTCTATCCTGGTGTAGTCCTGCCCAATCTCGCCTACTATCCGGTCCTCCAACGACCGAATCTCGATGCATGGTGGGATATTCACTCTCTTCGACTCTTACTGCAGTGTTGCGAGTCCCCGAACAACACCCGTACATATATCTTCTCCTTCTTCCAATATGGAGAGCGCGCGGCGAGTGGCGTGAATGTATCCATGTTCGCCTCGATCATGCTGACACATCAGTTGTCGTTCACTGGCGCCTCAGACGCCGTCGACCGTTGTCGCGCCTCCCGAAGAAGTCAGTAGTTCTGAGCTCGACGAAGCTTCTGAAGGCGAGACAACAGGTTCGGGGATGGGAGGTTCAATCCCAACACGGTAACGAGCGAGGTATACGATAGCCGTACGGGCCATGCGTATAGAAGCCCGGTTCTACGAGCCCCGAGTCAGAAGTTATATGGTCGTTTTCGAGGATGAGCAGTGTTCCTGGACCTCAGTGGGTCGTTCTGACCTTTGCTGCCCGGCGGGCACGCGAACTCGTTCTGCACACGCAGGAATGCATTGTCTTTGGTACTTGCTTGCGACATAGCACAGCTCATCTCCACATGGCATCGATCTAAGTACAGCGACGATGCGGCCGCGCTGCAAGCCTCGACATCTGTTCGACAGCCTAATGACCATCAGGTCCCAGCTAGCCTCGGAAGGCATCCGTCGACGACCTCCTCAGCGATATAAAATCTCACAGCGCGGGGCTGCCTACTCAGCCCCGACGTCGTTCAGCTTCCTCTTCTCTCGAATCATGAAGCTCACTGCGCTCTCCGCTGCCATCCTCTCCCTCGGCGCCCTCAGCGTCAGCGCCGCACCCGCTGCTGACGAGGCACAGTACTACACATTCACCACCGAGACCGACTACGGCTGCGTCCAGTACACCTCCGGCACGAATACGCACACTGCGACCGCGGCGGGCGTGACCTCGACTATCCACGACGACAGCACGAAGACGGTTCAAGTTACCGACTACATCTATCCGCCTGCGAAGGTGAGACCGTAACTCTGACCCCGCGCCATCGTGATGCTGACCTTTCCTTAGCGCTATGACCCCACCGATATAACAATCGGCGTCACAGTCGTCTGCGCGTCGACGTACACTGTCGACCCCACGATTACGACCCCGGATCCTGCCATCACGGCTACCACGACTGCTTGGGCAGCTACGACGACGGAGGTTGTGGCGACATACACGTACTGCGTGAATGGAAACTTCTGTCCTTGAGCGAAGGGGAAATGGATGGGCGATGTGAAGAGGGGCGAGCGCAAGGTTGATACTAGATTGCTGTATATTTGACGTGATTCAGAAGGTCATATATGCAACGTCGAGTGGTGGAAAAGGTGGGGAAGATGTCGAGAACAATGGGAGAATGAAGCCCACGCTTTGGACGAGTGAGCTGAAGGTCTCCGGAGATCTAGATCGGCTCGACGAGAGACGAAGCCTGAGAGCAGCAAAAGAAGAGCCACATGTTTGTCTTTACGCAATGGTCGCGGCCCCGTAAGTTCAGATTGACAGATATTGCCCGTGCCATTTCCATGGCAATACACTTCTGGCGCATACAAGTGCGCAGCGGACACGGTGATTCAAAGAGGTATGTGCGGAGGATATCAATCGGCCGGGACGCAATGAGGTTCATCGATGCGGACGAGCATCAGATAGATATTCTGGAGAGAGAGACGTCGGATTCAACAGCATTATTCGAGCAGAAAAGGGGAATAAGATTTAGGACGAGGATGAGCATCCGATCTGCTTGACAGAGATGACGAGACATTGAGGAACAGGAGTATCGAATCAGGAGATGATTAACCTCCAAGGGCGTACTGCGAGAAGCATGAATACAAGGCGTCGAGGTGTCCGGAAACAAAGCGTCAATAGATAGCGTTGCGCGAGAATATCTGCAGAAGGAAGAATCATTCCTTCAGATTGGACAGCGCCGGGCCTTCGTGGATGCTGACTTCAGAATCCTGAGCGTTCGAATTATGAGCCGTGTGAGGGCGCGACTCGGGAGTGAATAGAGATGCTTGACTCACATAGATCGCTAAAAGAATCATGAAACGATGGGACGAAGAAGGCGCGCATCGAGATCGGGGGAGTTGAGCTGCTCACTTCGCTAGTGAGGCATCGGCTGTGCGGCTATGTCCTTTCGATGTCTTTGGTCGGTGAAAGCATAGCGCCAAACAACTGTATTGCTTCCCAAGACGTATACTTGTAGAATCGGCGATTGCAGATGACCGTCTCATAGTCAGGAACGCTAAGAGTGGTGGCGTCGATTTGTAGCGTAGACATGGTAATGTCGGACTTGCGCCAACTCGCGCCGTTAATAACGGTATTCGAGTACACGGGTGGGTCGTCGCGTCTCCGAAACGGGCGGCCAAGAAAGAGCGAGGACTTGAACGTAAAGGGAAGACCGCTCGCCTTGAGTCAGGAATTGAGTCGCGAGTCGGCGGGTTGTTAGCGGCATTATTCAGCGTGGGCGGGACGAGCCGACGGTCTGCAGAATGAGAGAAAGACACCTAATGGAGTTGGGGAAGGGCGATGGCACGACTGTGAGGGTCAGTTAATACAAGGATTACACATACAGCCACTCACTATGCGAGCAGAGCTCAGGGCGGCAGACGCTCCATTACGTCTGTCTGACGGGATCGGAGGGGGGGGGGAAGGCGGGTGGTGGCTCGAGCAGCACATCCTGAATCTTCATCATGCGAACGAAGACCTTCTCCAAAGCGACTTCCCGGGGTTCCCAACGGGAGAACAAAGGGATCGATAATTATGGCGCGCCACGCGAGGGGTCTGGAACATCGGGCCTGAAGTAGCCGGTCCATGTTTCTCCGCGTTCCTTGCCGCGTCCGGAACCAACTGGCTCGCATGCTTCCTCATCTTTTGACATCCATGATGATAAATCCCGCTCGGAAACATCGCGATCGCTCTGGATAAAAGGCGAGACGATGGCTGGGAACTCACAATAGCGATCTTCCCCATCATGTCCTCCGCAATCCCCAAGCTCTTCCAGCCGGTCAAGGTCGGCGATGTGACGCTTGCACACCGCATCGTCCTCGCCCCTCTCACGCGCTTCCGAGCCACCAAGTTCGAGCACGTCCCCCTCCCGAACGTGAAGGAGCATTACAGGCAGCGCGGGAGCACGCCTGGGACGCTCTTGATCACCGAAGCGACCTTCATTGCCGCGCAGGCCGGCGGTTACACGAACGTCCCCGGCATCTGGAGCGACGAGCAGATCAGCAAGTGGAAGGAGGTGCGCGGCGAGAGACATCCTCACAGGCAATGCAACTCACTTGTCCCCAGGTCACAGACTCCGTCCGCGCCGAAGGCTCGTTCATCTATCTCCAGCTCTGGGCTCTGGGACGCGCGGCTGTAGCGGCAGAGCTGAAGGCAGAAGATTCCTCGTTCGACTACGTCGCCCCCTCTCCGATCAAGCTCACCGGGCACGACGAGACCCCTCGCGCGCTCACCATCCCCGAGATCAAGCAGTACGTGCAGTGGTACGCGACTGCTGCACACAACGCGGTCAAGCGCGCTGGCTTTGATGGTGTCGAGATCCACGGGGCGAACGGCTACCTCATTGATCAGTTCTTGGTGCGTGCAGCGAGTCCAGCGAAGTAGTCAAGGACTAACCTGTTGCACAGCAAGACGTATCCAACCACCGGACGGACGAGTACGGCGGGTCGATCGAGAACCGCTCGCGCTTCGGCCTCGAGGTCGTCGATGCTGTCGTAAAGGCCGTTGGCGCATCAAAAACCGGCATCCGTCTCAGCCCGTGGGGCAAGTTCCAAGGTGCGCCGCGTCACCTCATCCCCCCTTCTCACTCCTAACGCCTCCTCCCAGACATGCGCATGGCCGACCCCCTCCCCCAATTCTCCTACTTTGCCAACGAGCTCAAGACCCGCTACCCCGACCTCGCCTACCTTCACCTCGTCGAGCCGCGCGCACAGGGCTTCGCCATCCTCCGCGATGAGGACCTCGAGGCGCGCGAGTCCAACGACTTCCTGCGCAAGCTCTGGGCCCCGAAGCCGCTGATCACCGCGGGCGCGTACACGCGCGAGCTCGCGATCAAGACCGCGGAGGAGAAGGGGGACATCATCGCGGTCGGGCGGTACTTCATCTCGAACCCCGACCTCCCCCTCCGCTGGCGGCACAATCTCCCCTTGACGGAGTACAATCGCAACACTTTCTACTTGAAGGGCGACGCCAGCCCGACGGGGTACACCGACTACCCTTTTGCGGAGAAGACGGCGGAGCAGTTAAAGTTGTGAGGGAGGCGTGGGGGGCGCAGGCGAGGGGGCAAGGGGGCGAGGGGTGCTGTATATATCTCGTAGACACGTATCGTCTCAGTAATAAATGCGAAGCGCGATTTTCTTGCACGGGAGCGTCGCGAGCTAGCGCGTGGGGGAAGAGGGGAAGGCAAGGACGAGCGAGACGCGTGCCGTCAAAGCGTACCTCTTCGGGTTCGATCCAAGTGCCGCACCGACACTTTGCCACCAAAGTCACCCCACCGACTTTCCTTGCATTGCACCGCAGAGCTCCTGGCACGACGCTTCGGCTGCAAACCCTCGCCAACATTTGTCAGTCTCGTTTACTGGGTGAATCAAATCGCTCAACTTGTATTTTAGTTCTACTACACGGACTCCCTATCTACGTGCTTGCTACGCTGATAACGCGTCCCCTGCAGCCGCCTCCTCTGTGGTAGAGCACCTGAAAAGCATCGCCCCCACCCCTTCCCTTCGCTTCCCCCCCTCCCTTCGCTTATCCTCCCTCACCTTCGCTTCCTTCCCACCTTCCCCTCCTCCCCACCCAAACTCGCTCCCCCACCCATTCCTGCCACCCCTCCCCACCATATCTCGCACCCCTCCTCTCATAAGCGCGCACCCCTCCCTCGCCAGATCGCGCTCTTGCCATCGCCTCATGAGTTTAGAAGAAGGGGGACGGATGGAAGGAGAGGGAGGGGCGAAGGGAGGGGGATGGAGGGAGAGGGGGGAGATGGGGAAGGGAGGGGAGGGAAAGAAAAGGCGAAGGGAGGGGAGGGATGGACCATTGGGAGGGGGAAACAGGCGAGGGAGGAGAGGGAAGGGAAAGAGGGAGGGCGAGGGGGGAGGGGGAGGCAGGGCGAAGGCGAGGGGGCGAAGAGGAGCAGAGAAAGATGGAGGGGGTGTGGGGGAGGAGAGGAGAAAGCGCGAGGGAGGAGGGATGAGAAGGGATTGAAGGAGGGGGAGCGATGGGAGCGATAGGAGCGGGGACGAAGGGACGAAGGGACGAAGGGGGACGAGAGAGGGAGGGGGAGCGAGGGGGGGAGACAAAGGGTGGGAAGGGGGGAGTACACTGACAACTCGCCTTCATGGCCGACGGTCGTGCAGCACCTTCTATCGGGGAAGTAAAGTCTATAGAGATGTCAGCCAAGGGTAAATAGATAAAAAGCGACTGAGAGGGCGCTTACCGCCTCCCCCCTCGCCGTGTTCGTCGCCTTCTCTTTCATCGCCTTGTACCTTGCGCCCTTTTCCTTCGCCCCTCCCCCTTCGCGCTCCACTTTATCCCAGTCTCATTACGAGTGCGAACGGCACGCGCGTATCACTAGCGACACGAGAACGCTACAAACAAAGGTTAGTCGCCGAAAGAAAGGGGAGGTAGAGTGACATACCCTTGTCATCTTCCTCACCCCTCGGGTCCCCAAGCACGCCTCCGGCTTGAGCCCGTCGAGAGGACGTCTGATAAGTGATGAGTCGAGGGTCAGTACGCATAAGACAAGCGAAGGGGGAGGGAGGGAGTCCCTCCCTCGTCGCATAGATCGCCTAGGAACCCCTCGCGCGCCTCCGGCGGCTCGGCCTCATCGAAAATTCGTTGGAAATTCTTTAAAAAGGGGGTCAGTACGCTTGAGAAAGGCGAGAGGGTTGAGGGTGACCCACCCTCGTCGCGCCTTTCGCCTGAGGGAGCGCGCGCGTGCCTCCGGCGGTTCGACATCCTCGAGAAATCGTTTGAAGTCTGAGAAGAAGGGAGTCAGTACGCTCGAGACAGGGAGGGTGCCCCATCCTCGTCATATCCCTCACCCGAGGGGCCCCGCGCTCGCCTCCGGCGGCTCTATCTCGTCGAAAAGTTGTCAAAAAATCTTCAGAAGGGGATTAGTTCGCTTGGGGCAAGGGATGGGGGTGGGAGTTGCCCCACCTTCGTCGCATCACTCACCTGGCTACCCCCCTTCGCGCGCCTCCAGCGGCTCAGCTTCGTCGAAAAGTCGTCTGTCTGTCGCTTAAGAAAGGGGGTCGACAGGCTGATGACAAGGACGAGGGGGTGGAAGGTGACCTACCCTCGTCGCATCCCTCGCTTAGCAACCCCTCGCGTGCCTTCGACGGCTTGAGTCCGTCGAAAACCCGCCCAAAATCTAAGGAGAAGGGGGTCAGTACGCTTAAGACAAAGGCGAAGAGGGGAGGCGACCCCACCTCATTGCATAACTCACCGAGGGGGCCCCACGCATGCCTCCGGCGGCCCAGTATCGCTGAGTAGTTGTCTAACTACCGCCTGAGAAAAGGGGGCGGTGCGCTTAAGACAAGGGCAACGAGGTGAGGGACCCCCGCCCTTGCCGCATCCTTCGCCTAGCAACCCCCGCGTGCCTCCGGCGGTTCGGCACAGAAGAAAAGCGCGGTTACAAGTACGCTTCATGAAAAAAGCGGAAAACAGCATAACTCACCATCAACCTCGCACCCTCCCGCGATTCAGGGCATCGCTATGCCTCGTGAAGGGTGAGGGATGCCCCTCACCACCGCACCAGTCACCCGAGGGTGCGCGCGCATGCCTACGGCGGCTCAGCCTGGTCAGAAACGGTCCAGTTGGTGCGCTTTATGAGAAACCGGCAAACAAGTGTGACTCACCCATATTTCCACCCCCTCCTGCGAGTTCCTTCCCTACGACAGATGGAGGAGACCCCTCCCCTATCGCATATCTCATCCCAGGAAGTGCGCGCATGCCCCCGGCAGCCGAGAGCTTCACGCAAATTAGTAAGAAGGGGGTTAGCAAGGTGGGGGTACGGTCATTCTAACTCGCCGGTGCGCGGCAAGCCCCCCTCCCGTTGTCCTGGGTACAGTATACCCCTTCTTATCGTATTTATCGTCTGAGATAACCCGCGCGTGCTTCTCGCAGCTCCAAGACTGGCAATAATCCGCTTTGGAAGGGGGGTCAGTGCATTCAGGAAATACAATAGGAAGCGCATGACTCACCGGTGCGGCGCCTCTGGACCGAGGGTAGACCACCCTCATCGCATCTTTCGCCCGATGGAGTGCGGTCCTGCCTCCGGCTATCAAAGGGTCGCGAGGGAAAGTCGTCTAAAGCTGTATTAGCGCGAATCTGGGGGAGAGGCGAGGACCCCGCTGTAGCGTCGGGTACGACACGTTCTTTGTGCACTCACCTGTCCCCCTACAGCTGTCGTGCAATATGGGGGTCCTTCGGCCTCCGCAGTATGGCTCAGGAACCCCTCGCGCCGTCGCGTGCTGTCGGAATGTCCCGGGAAAGGGCCTAGACGGAGGGGAGGGAGCCTGAATCGTTGAGCGAAGTGACGGCAACCGTCAAGGGGAGCTCAGGCGTCGTCGCGGGGGCGGAAGGAAGCGGCGCGTGGGCTCCGCTCGTCGTCTGAGTCGGGGTGAATAGCGTGGTGAAATGGAGGGGGTACCAACGCACTGCTATGGACGACGCCCTCGTGACTCTGAGATTTCGTCGGGAGCAAGGGGAGGGGTTGGGTGCGTTGAGCAGTGTTGCGCCATAGGATGAGTTGAGTAGAGCGCGGATAGCAACGAGAAAGGGCGCGAACTCACCGAGGATCGCGTCAGTATGACCCTCTTTCCCAGTCGTTCGAGGTGGAGACAGGTAGCCGACGTTGAAGCCACTGACGACGACCATACTCCCTCAAGACCGTCAAGAAAATCAAGCACGACAAATCGGGGCGTGCTCACCGAAGCTCACGACGACGCGAAATCGCGTCGCTTACGGGCAATGTCGCGGGCACCCTCGGGCATGAACATTGCGCGGGTCGCTTGCTTGCCGCGCGCCTAACAAGCACGCACCGAGATGCGCGGGTTGAGCGCGACATCGTGGTAGTCGGTGGTAAGAGGAGAGTGGGAATTGCGTGTCGGGTCGGTCGACTTGATGGCCCAGAGCAAGTCGAATCAGGGTGGCGCGGTGTCGAGAATCGAGCCCGTTAGTACCCGATAGGCGCGGGCTAGACGACGACGAGCAATCCCAAGACTGTCTAGCGAGTCAGTATACACAGTGAAGAGGGACATAATTAGAAGACTTACCTGAGAAGCTACGAAAGCCACGAGTGCGTTTGGTGTCGATTGATGGTGCGCGCGGAAGAGCTGTCAGATCGATCAGTAAGCGAGGAGAGCGCTCGAAGGGATACGAGCGCAAGTGTCAGTAGTTCAGGAATTGTCTGAAAGCAAAGTAGAATCAGTACTAGGCTGAATAGGAAGTAGGAGAGGCAGACTCACGAGCGATTTCCAAAGGGAAGGATCAGGCCTGAATAGAGAAGAAATGAGATAGATCAAAGGAGTGAAAGAGACATAGGGCTTAGGTAGCAATATAGAAGGGATCATGAGGAGGTAATGAAGTGTAAGGGAGGGGGAGAAGGGAAGGACAGCGGTGATATGCTGGCTGAAGCGGTTAGACAACCTACCCTTTATACTTCGCAAACGGCCCAACGCCGCGCCCAGTCGCCGCCCAATCTTCCAGACCGGCATCGTATATTTCCGGATCAGACCTCGGCGGTCCGCAACCGAGGCCCGCCTAGCGAAAATCGGAAGATTGGGGGGATGAGCGCGGAGAGCGCGCATTCAATCTTCCGCCGCATCCCTGCGCGAATGTTAGCCAGAGCGCGCGCAAAATGCGTCGAGACTTGCTCACCCGGTCAGGAGATCCCGCACATGGGCCTTCCGGCGGGGATGTTCGGAGGTTTATGCGAGCTTTCCGCCCGGTGGCGCGCAAGTTGCAGGACGATGTATATCGTCTTTCCGTCCGCATTGCTGGTCTCGCAGCGTCAGTCAGATGGCGAAGGGTACGCGGGACGTCTCGGAGCACGTGTTGTCGCTGACGTGGCGCTGGGACGTGGCAGGAAAAACGAGAGAAAAGTCGAACTTGCTGCCATCACACTGTGTCTCCATTTAGCAGGCCTTGAGCTGCACGAGAGGCGGCGCGCTTGCTGCGAGCTCCGCTGGTTCGCTTGGCGGTGCTCGTAGGCCGGCGACGACGAGACACTTGTATGCGGTCCTGTCAAGATGTTCAGCGGTCGTCAGCGAGGGGAGAACTGGGGTTTACCCATTGTTCTAGCCAAGGTGAGGATAGCGGAGCGAGCGCGGATGCGCCGAGGCCGCCGCCGGCGCGCACAAACCTTCCGGCGTTTTGATCCGATATTTCAGTGTCCAGATCGTCGCGTTGGAGAGTATGCGCATACCGTGAAGCGGAGGAACTTTTGGGCGAGCGTAAGGATGACATATGGGTATCCGGTTATCCCAGATGCAAGGGCCGGGCCCGGATGGCGGAAGATGGCCTGAGGATGTTAGGTAGTGTGTTCAAAGGGATGTACGGGCGCTGAGACCCTTTGTACTGGGCGCGTTGGTGATGGGAAGTAGGTGTATAGAGGAGGAGAGGGTGGTGTATTGCAGCTGAGGGACGACGCCGGGGCCGCTCAAACGTTCTCTAAGACATGTAAAGTACTCCTAGACTATATACCTACGCTTATACGGTCAGCTCGCGCATTGATGGTGGATGTACGAACGCACCAAAAACGACGCCACATATTCAAAATCGCCTTTCCGACGTCCTACTGACCTCGATATGCTGCGGATGAGAGGCGCGTATACATATTTCGGCTCGCCCGAGTTCCCCCCTCCATTACTTGCCGGTCAGGTAATTCGGCCAGAATGTCCGCTCACCGAGGTTATCCGGTCGGGTTCACGTATAGACAGCTTCGACCTTCCGAAACGATAAGAGAGGATGCGTTCCCCGTCCAACAACGCAGCAAGGACGTTCCCCAATGTCGCGCATGTACTTCTGGGGCACGTCGGGACCCATCGCGGGTGGTAGCGGTATGGGGGATAGGTGTCGCAGCCTGAGATCGCGTCGGGAAGCAGCAGGCGTGTCGGTCAAGAGGTTCTGAGGGATCCCAGAGCGGTGTTCATTCCCCTCGCTGAGGATGGCTATGGGACTTCCAGACGACGAGAATACCGTCGTCAGAACTGAGGGGGGCGATGGCGATGGACGCAGGACGCAAAACGCGCGGCGGGGACAGCGCGGTCGGGAGTTGCCGAGGACCGGCGGCGCGGGGCGGAAGCCGGTAAGCGCCCGGCGCTTACGGCGCGCTCGTTGATCTTGACCGTCACCGTCGTTCCCCGTGTCTGCGCGCCGCCGCCTCAACCGCGCTCTACCAGGCGGACGACGTTGGCGACATATTAGGGCTCTCTGACTCATACTCTGCGCCTCCAAGCACAATAACATTCATCTCTTCTGCAGGGGAACTTCGCGGGGACGCTAGGGAAGACCCAGCGGGCGGCACTCTCCTCTTTGAGCTTCCCGCTGCCCGAAACACGTGTATTCGCAGGGACAAGGCCTCTTCGACTCAGGCACCCGCGCGGGGTGGTCTAGCCAGATTCCCCGCGGGGCAGAATGCTGATTTGTTGCCTCTGAAGCGCTTCTCGTCAAAACCTTCCGACTTTGGCAGGTTTTCTCATCTTCCCGCGACCCTGACGGCGTGAGAGCTGATTACTCGCCGGCTCTCGCCCGCGAGTCTCGTGCTCTCGGATCGTTGCCTGGCCCGGCCTACCCGTCGAGGGCGGCGCTTCGCGCCGCTATGTCCTCCTTACCACGTCGTTTCGTCGACGTCGCGCGCGACAACAGTGCGAGACGCGCTCCTTCTCGGCTCATTTGACGTGCTCCGTTAACCTCAATTTACGACGCTCAAGCTGCTTCCCGCGCGCAGGCCGCCGAAGTCGATGAGTATATGGATCTTTGTCTCATGAGCGGGTGTATTCGGTACGTGCTATGCTTTCTAAACGAAGAGTTCTCGCTAACCGTATCGATCTAGACCGTCTCGCCGTCGCCGAACCCTTCCCCGCTCCCCGCCGGCCTCGATTCCGCCCTTCGAATATTCAGAGAGTACTTCACCCTCATCGACGCACGCCTCGATCAAGGACGAGTTCAGCGCTGAGGCAATAAATCTTCGTCCGTGGCGCAGCGAACAAGGTGCGTGGCATGATATCTATGAGCGAACTTCCGAGCGCTCACGATTGTCCAGATCTTGGCAGCGCCATGGGTCTTCTGCGCGAAATGAGGCCGGATCTTCCGTTGCGGGATCTGGGCGTTTCCGTCTGCAGAAAATCCGGCTTCACTTCGGGCACGACCCTGGCCTCGTCGACGAACTTCTCTCGCGCTCTCACAGTTCACGAGCGATGCCCACTCGCCACTCCTACGCCTCAAATTGGCGCCGCAGCAAGGAAGCTTTTTCTGACGAGCGGGTCGATTCGGATGCGCCGAGGGGACTTTACAGGTGCGTCCCGAGCTTTAAGTGCATGCCCTGGACGCTTATAATGCTCTAGACCCTCGAGGCAACGTTTTGCTGTCCCGCGAGCGAGGCAGTCCTGTTCCACCATCTGCGCTTTCGTCCGCAGCACGCACACGTCGTTCAGCCCTCGCCAGCTCCCACTACGCTTTGGCACGCCCCTCCGTCTTGTGCAAGGTCTACTCCTTCTCGCGCGAGATCGGCACTTCGTTTTCAAGCTCAAAGTTCCGCTATCGCGCTTATCGGCACGTTTGCTGCTTGATAACTCGCGCTCCACCTCAACGACAGTCCTTACCACCTCGGCAACCGTCTCTTCCTCTCGACATCAGTCTCACACCGAAAGAAGCGCTGAAGCAACAGAAATTCGTCCGCCGAGCGGGCAAATAGGGTACGTGCTTCGCTTCCTTCTCATGCGCTACGTGCTGATTCATTGCCTTCACACTCAAGCGCGTCCCACGCCTTTGCTCTCCCCCTCGAACCCTCTCTAAGCGCACCTCCCGGCTTCCTCTTGAGCATGTCCTCCATCGCGCTTCCTGCACTGTCTCACCATCCCCCCTCACCTCGAGTTCTCCTGCGCTTTCCTTGCGCTTCTCGACATTTCCCTTGGGCTTGCAGATGCTTCCCTCAAGCTGTCCGACGCCCCTCGAAGCTGCCCGACGCCTCCCGAGCGTAGTTCGAGGCCTCCCTGTCAAACCAGCAACACTACATCGTCCCCGAGCGACTCCACGCAGTCTGGACTGCCGCATCAAAGCCCGGCTTATTTAAGATGTCCCCAAGCGCTGTTCTGACGTCTCGACCGCTTTGCCTCGCCCTCGACCGCTCTAGTAATCTTCTGAGCGTTTTCTTGATGTCCCAAGTGCTCCTGCGACTGCAGAGTCCTCTTGTGACCCCCGAGTGCTCTTGTAACCCCAGAGTTCTCCTGTGATCTCCCAAGCGCTTTGCCAACGTCCCCGGCGCTTGGCTCACCCCTCGAGTGCTCCTCGGACTTTCTGTTCGCTTTTCTGTCTCTCTGAGCGCTTGGCTGACACCATCATTTCTTCTTCTGTACGCTTCCCCTATGTCGAGTACTATGCAATATGACCTGTCCTAGCTATAGCTCGCTCTCCAATTGTTCTTATCTCTCCCCGCTTGCTCATAACTTGCTCAACTCATTCGTAATTTGCTCAACTCGCCCTGCACTCGCTCATGACTTGCTCACCCTCCCTCAACTCACTCTCCCTTGCTCATGACTCGTCTGAGCTTGCTCTTGCCTCGCTTGTGCTTGCTCGCAACTCCTCCAACTTTGACCGCAGCCTAGACACGCTCGTGTCCTCCACTTAGTGACTTTGTGGCAACTCTGCATGCCTCGACTCTTGACTTGGCCTACTCATTTCGCCTCCTGGTCTACTCACCCCGGTTCGAAGCCTCGACCGTCACCACCATCTCAGCATCTTCCCTTCCACCTTCTCGACCCCGTCCCAGCCTCCCCAACTTCTGGACAGCCTCGAGTACGGCCAGTCCTGTCTACCACTTGTCAACTTCTCATCCCCCTCCTCAACCCTCTTGTCTTGTTTGTTGACCCCCGCTCGTGCAGTCCTGTCCACCTACCTTACACATAGTTGACACTGCCGGATGAGCATGTAGCTCGTAGCTTACCCAGACTTGTAGCACAGTGTATTCACGTCACCCTCCAGAACATGAGCGAAACTGTCTCACAGGCCTTCCTTATATCCCCCGCCACCGACAGGCCGAGAGCAGTTGGCGGACATTCACGGAAGACGAGTCAGGGTACTCTAGCCGTCATACGATGGTGACTCCTCACCATTTCAGCACCCTCGACCGAGATCACGGAACAAGAACGGACGATTTGTGATGTGCGGGAGCAGTCGGAGGACGGCTGGAGCGGGGTCCTTGATGATGGGCGCTGGTGGCAGGAGGGAGTGACTGGGAGAGTAAAATCAGAGGGAGGAGAAGGAGAGCATGTATGCGCTAGCTATCTTGCAGAGAGGTAGGCCTGACCACACCCTCCCAATTCGCCTTTGAGCGACAAGAAATGACCAAGAAGGCGTCCCTACACAATTATTCGAGCCCCAATGTCACGCTTTCCCACCGAGTTCGGAGGGAATAATGGAGGGAGGACTGGTAGCAGCAACTTGTAACTTCGGGGACCTCTTAGTTTAGGAAATATGATGCCGGCGCACTTTATCCGAAGGCGCCAGCTAGCCTGGTTGGCGAGATAGAACCTTGAGGAGGTCGTACATGCGAATTTTCTCACTTTTGACCAAAAAGGAAACACGACGGTTCAACTCTCGTCACGTCACGCGGGGCGCGCAGGAAGAAGCGCGGATGATTCACCGAAGACCCTTGCCTGGACGCCAGCCCGACCCGCTGCCTCGCCCTCGCGCCAAAGTATAACTGAGTGCGCGACTCGAACACGAACGCGGGACCCGCCATGACGTCGCCTTGCACTGACAGCTGGCAGCTTCTCACCTCTCCCACCCCCACGACGACGCGCCTCTGTCCATGTTTCTCCGCGTTCCTTGCCGCGCCCGGAACCAACTGGCTCGCATGCGACATCCATGATGATCAGTCCCGCTCGATGATGGCTGGGAACTCACAGTAGCGATCTTCCCCATCATGTCCTCCGCAATCCTCAAGCTCTTCCAGCCGGTCAAGGTCGGCGATGTGACGCTTGCGCACCGCATCGTGCTCGCCCCTCTCACGCGCTTCCGAGCCACCAAGTTCGAGCACGTCCCCCTCCCGAACGTGAAGGAGCATTACAGGCAGCGCGGGAGCACGCCTGGGACGCTCTTGATCACCGAAGCGACCTTCATTGCCCCGCAGGCCGGTGGTTACACGAACGTCCCCGGCATCTGGAGCGACGAGCAGATCAGCAAGTGGAAGGAGGTGCGCGGCGAGAGACATTCTCACAGGCAATCCAACTCACCTATCCACAGGTCACAGACTCCGTCCACGCCGAAGGCTCGTTCATCTACCTCCAGCTCTGGGCTCTGGGCCGCGCGGCTGTAGCGGCGGAGCTGAAGGCAGAAGATCCCTCGTTCGACTACGTCGCCCCCTCTCCGATCAAGCTCACCGGGCACGACGAGACCCCGCGTGCGCTCAGCATCCCCGAGATCAAGCAGTACGTGCAGTGGTACGCGACCGCTGCACACAACGCGGTCAAGCGCGCTGGCTTTGATGGTGTTGAGATCCACGGCGCGAACGGCTACCTCATTGATCAGTTCTTGGTGCGTGCAGCGAGTTCAGAGAAGTGGACAAAGACTGACCTCTTGTTCAGCAAGACGTATCCAACCACCGGACGGACGAGTACGGCGGGTCGATCGAGAACCGCTCGCGCTTCGGTCTTGAGGTCGTCGATGCTATTGTGAAGGCCATTGGCGCGTCGAAGACCGGCATCCGTCTCAGCCCGTGGGGCAAGTTCCAAGGTGCGCTGCGTCACCTCGTCTCCCCTTCTCACCCCTAACGAACCTCCCAGACATGCGCATGGCCGACCCCCTCCCCCAATTCTCCTACTTCGCCAACGAGCTCAAGACCCGCCACCCCGACCTCGCCTACCTCCACCTTGTCGAGCCGCGCGCCCAAGGGTTTGCCATCCTCCGCGACGAGGATCTCGAGGCGCGCGAGTCCAACGACTTCCTGCGCAAGCTCTGGGCGCCGAAGCCGCTGATCACCGCGGGCGCGTACACGCGCGAGCTGGCAATCAAGACCGCGGAGGAGAAGGGGGACATCATCGCCGTCGGGCGGTACTTCATCTCGAACCCCGACCTCCCCCTCCGCTGGCGGCACAATCTCCCGCTGACGGAATACAACCGCGACACGTTCTACTTGAAGGGCGACGCGAGCCCGACGGGGTACACCGACTATCCTTTTGCGGAGAAGACGGCGGAGCAGTCGAGGTTGTGAGGGAGGCGTGGGGGGCGGGGGCGACGGGCGAGGGCGAGGGGGGGCAGTAAATAGCTTGTAGATGCGTACCGTCTCAGTAATAAATGCGAAGCGCGATTTTCTTGTCCGGCAACGTCGCGAGCTAGCGCGTGGGGGAAGAGGGGAAGGCGAGGACGAATGAGACGCGTCGGAGAACCGTGCGCGTGCCGTCACAGCGCACCTCCTCGGGTTCGACACAGGCGCTGCACCAACACTTTGCCACCATCGTCACCCTACCGACTTTCCTTGGATTGCACCGCAGAGCTCCTGGCACGACGCTTCGGCTGCAAACCCTCGCCAACTTTTGTCAGTCTCGGATACTGAGTGAATCAAATCCTTTAACCTGTATTTTAGTTCTACTACACGGACTCCCTATCTACACGCTTACTACCCTACAATCTGTTCACCTATAGTCAACTCCCCTTTGGTCGAGTACCTGAACAGCGTCAGCTACCTCGACAGCGTATCCCCGACGCGATCCCACACCCGCTTCCCCTACCTCACATTGCCCCTCAGCTCGCTCGTCTTCTCCTTCCCCTCCCTTGCCTTCGCTTCCTGCCCTACTCCCCCTTCTTCCCCCCTCTCTACCTCCCTCGTTTCCCTGCTATCGCCCTCGCTCCCTCCCCTCGCTTACCTCCCTTGCCTTCGCTTCCCTTCCCTCGCCTTCGCTTCCCCACCCATTCCTGCCCACCAAAACTCGCACTCCTCCCTACTAAAACTCGCACCCACCCTTTCCCTCGCAATCTCGCACCCCTTCCACGCCAGATCGCGCTCCAGCCATCGCCTCATGAGTTTAGGAGAAGGGGAAGGGAGGGAAGGAGAGGGGAGGCGAAGGGGGAGGGAGGGAACCAGAGAGAAGCGAAGGGAGGGGGACGGATCGACTATTAGGAAGAATCAAATGAGGGGGGAGGGGGAGGTGGGAGAGTGAAGGGGAAGGGGGGAGCGAAGGGGAGCAAGGGGGGCGAGGGGGAGCAAGGGGGGCGAAGAGGAGTAGAGAAAGATGGAGGGGGGAGGGGAGCGAGGGAGGGGGAGGGGAAGGGAGGGGGGCGAGAGTGAGGGTGAAGGAGCGAGGGGCGAGTACATTGACAACTCGCCTTCATGGTGTCGTGCAGCGCCTTTGGATGGGAAAGTGAAAATATATAGAGATGTCAGCCAAGGGTAGCTAAGAAAAAGGCGAATGAGACGGCGCTTACCGCCTTCGCGCTGACCGCGTTCGTCCCCCGTCGCCTTATCCCCCCTCGCGCCTGGCGCCTTCTCCCTCATCGCCCCCTTCCCCCTCGCGCTCGTCATTTTCTCCACGTCGCATTACGAGCGCGAATGGCGCGCGCGCTTCACCAGCGACACGAGAACGCTACGAACAAAGGTTAGTCGCCGAAAGAAAGGGGAGGTAGAGTGACATACCCTTGTCATCTTCCTCACCCCTCGGGTCCCCAAGCACGCCTCCGGCGGCTTGATCCCGTCGAGAGGACGTCTGATAAGTGATGAGTCGAGGGTCAGTACGCATAAGACAAGCGAAGGGGGAGGGAGGGAGTCCCTCCCTCGTCGCATAGATCGCCTAGGAACCCCTCGCGCGCCTCCGGCGGCTCGGCCTCATCGAAAAGACGTTGGAAAAGCCTTCAAAAAGGGGGTCAGTGCGCCCGAGAAAGACGAGAGGGTGGAGGGTCGCCCACCCTCGTCGCGTGCCTCGCCTGAGGGAGCGCGTGCGTGCCTCCGGCGGTTCGACCTCCTCGAGAAATCGTCCGAAATCTGAGGGGAGGAGGAATTAGTACGCTTGAGACAAGTGACGAGAGGAGGGAGGGTGCCCCACCCTCGTCACATTCCTCACCCGATGGGCCCCGCGCTCGCCTCCGGCGGCTCAATCTCGTCGAAAAGTTGTCAGAAAATCTTCGAAAGGGGATTAGTACGCTTGAGACAAGGGATGGGGATGGGAGTTGCCCCACCCTCGTCGCATCACTCACCTGGGTACCCCCCTCGCACGCCTCCAGCGGCTCAGCTTCGTCGAAAAGTCGTCTGCCTGTCGCCTAAGAAAGGGGGTCGACAGGCTGATGACAAGGACGAGGGGGTGGAAGGTGACCTACCCTCGTCGCGTCCCTCGCTTAGCAACCCCTCGCGTGCCTTCGACGGCTTGAGTCCGTCGAAAACCCGCCCAAAGTCTAAGGAGAAGGGGGTCAGTACGCTTAAGACAAAGGTGAAGAGGGGAGGCGACCCCACCTCATCGCATAATTCAGCGAGGCGGCCCCACGCATGCCTCCGGCGGGCCAGCATTGTTGAGTAGTCGTCTAATTACCGCCTGAGAAAAGGGGGCGGTGCGGTTTAGACAAGGGCGACGAGGTGAGGGACCCCCGCCCTCGCCGCATCCTTCGCCCAGCAACCCCCGCGTGCCTCCGGCGGTTCGGCACCGCTGAAAAAGCGCAGTTATAAGTACGCTTCATGAAAAAGAGGAAAACAGAATAACTTGCCACTAACCCCGCCCCCTCCCGCGATTGAGCGCATCGCTCTTCCTTGGGAAGGGTAGGGGAGGGGCCTCCCCCATCGCACCAATCACCCGAGGGAGCGCGCGCATGCCTCCGGCGGCTCGGCCTAGTCAGAACCAGTCCAATTAGCGCGCTTTATGAGAATCCGGCAAACAAGCGTAACTCACCCATGTTTCCACCCCCTCCTGCGAGTTCCTTCCCTCCAACAGACGAAGGAGACCCCTCCCCCATCGCACACCTCATCCAAGAAAGTGCGCGCACGCCCTCGACGGTCGAGAGCTTTGAGAAAATCGGTAAGAAGGGGGTCAGCAAGGTGGGGGTACGGACGTTCTAGCTCGCCGACGCGCAGCAAGGCCCCCTCCAGTCGTCCTCGACACGGTATACCCCTCCTCAACGTGTTGATCATCCGAGACAGCTCGCGCGTGCTTCTCGCGGCTTCAAGACTGGCTATGATCCGCTTTGGAAGGGGGGTCAGTACATTCTGGAAATACGATAGGAAGCGCATATCTCACCGGTGCGGCGCCTCTGGACCGAGGGTAGACCACCCACGTCGCATCGTTCGCCCGAGGGAGTGCGGTCCTGCCTCCGGCGGTTGGAGGGTCGCGAGGGCAAGTCATCTAAAGCTGTATTAGCGCTAATTTGGGGAGGTGAGACTCTGCTGCAGCATCGGGTACGACACGTTCTCATGTACTCACCTGTTCCCCTATAGCTGTCGTGCAATACGGGGTCCCTTCGGCATCCGCAGTATGGCTCAGGGACCCCTCGCGCCGTCGCGTGCTGCCGGAATGTCCCGGAAAAGGGCCTAGACGGAGGGGAGGGAGCCTGAGTAGTGACAGCGACCGTCAAGGGGAGGTTAGGCGTCGCTGTGGGGGCGAAAGAAAGCGGCGCGTGGGCTGCGCTCGTTGTCTGAATCGAGGTGAGCGGCATGTCGAAGTGGAGGGGATACTAGCTCACTGATATGGACGACGCCCTCACGACTCTGAGGTTGCGTCGGGAAGCAAGGGGAGGGGTTGGGGGCGTTGAGCAGTGTTGCGCCCTAGGATGAGTTGAGTAGAGCGCAGATAGCAACGATAAAGGGCGCGAACTCACCGAGGAACACCTCAGTATGACCCTCTTTGCCAGTCGTTTGAGGTGGCGACAGGTAGCCGACGTTGAAGCCACTTACGGCGACCAACCTCCCTCAAGACCGTCAAGAAAATCAAGCATGACGAATCGGGTCGTGCTCACCGAAGCTCACGACGACGCGAAATCGCGTCGCTTACGTGCAATGTCGCGGGAACCGTCGGGCATGGATATTGCGCGGGTCGCTTGCTTGCCGCGCGCCTAACAAGCACGCACCGAGATGCGCGGGTTGAGCGCGACATCGTGGTAGTCGGTGGTAAGAGGAGAGTGGGAATTGCGTGTCGGGTCGGTCGACTTGATGGCCCAGAGCAAGTCGAATCAGGGTGGCGCGGTGTCGAGAATCGAGCCCGTTAGTACCCGATAGGCGCGGGCTAGACGACGACGAGCAATCCCAAGACTGTCTAGCGAGTCAGTATACACAGTGAAGAGGGACATAATTAGAAGACTTACCTGAGAAGCTACGAAAGCCACGAGTGCGTTTGGTGTCGATTGATGGTGCGCGCGGAAGAGCTGTCAGATCGATCAGTAAGCGAGGAGAGCGCTCGAAGGGATACGAGCGCGAGTGTCAGTAGTTCAGGAATTGTCTGAAAGCAAAGTAGAATCAGTACTAGGCTGAATAGGAAGTAGGAGAGGCAGACTCACGAGCGATTTCCAAAGGGAAGGATCAGGCCTGAATAGAGAAGAAATGAGATAGATCAAAGGAGTGAAAGAGACATAGGGCTTAGGTAGCAATATAGAAGGGATCATGAGGAGGTAATGAAGTGTAAGGGAGGGGGAGAAGGGAAGGACAGCGGTGATATGCTGGCTGAAGCGGTTAGACAACCTACCCTTTATACTTCGCAAACGGCCCAACGCCGCGCCCAGTCGCCGCCCAATCTTCCAGACCGGCATCGTATATTTCCGGATCAGACCTCGGCGTTCCGCAACCGAGGCCCGCCTAGCGAAAATCGGAAGATTGGGGGGATGAGCGCGGAGAGCGCGCATTCAATCTTCCGCCGCATCCCTGCGCGAATGTTAGCCAGAGCGCGCGCAAAATGCGTCGAGACTTGCTCACCCGGTCAGGAGATCCCGCACATGGGCCTTCCGGCGGGGATGTTCGGAGGTTTATGCGAGCTTTCCGCCCGGTGGCGCGCAAGTTGCAGGACGATGTATATCGTCTTTCCGTCCGCATTGCTGGTCTCGCAGCGTCAGTCAGATGGCGAAGGGTACGCGGGACGTCTCGGAGCACGTGTTGGCGCTGACGTGGCGCTGGGACGTGGCAGGAAAAACGAGAGAAAAGTCGAACTTGCTGCCATCACACTGTATCTCCATTTAGCAGGCCTTGAGCTGCACGAGAGGCGGCGCGCTTGCTGCGAGCTCCGCTGGTTCGCTTGGCGGTGCTCGTAGGCCGGCGACGACGAGACACTTGTATGCGGTCCTGTCAAGATGTTCAGCGGTCGTCAGCGAGGGGAGAACTGGGGTTTACCCATTGTTCTAGCCAAGGTGGGGATAGCGGAGCGAGCGCGGATGCGCCGAGGCCTCCGCCGGCACGCAGACCTTCCGGTGTTCTGATCCGATATTTCAGTGTCCAGATCGTCGCGTTGGAGAGTATGCGCATACCGTGAAGCGGACGAACTTTTGAGCGAGCATAAGGGCGGCATATGGGTATCCGGTTATTCAGACGCGAGGGCTGGGCCTGGAGGGTAGAGGATGGCCCGAGAGTGTTAGGTAATGTGTTCGAAGGGATGTACAGGCGCTGAGACCCTTTGTACCTAGCGCGTTGGTGATGGGAAATAGGTGGGTAGAGGACGAGAGGGTGGTGTATTGCAGCTAAGGGACGACGCCGGGGCAGCCCAAACGTTCTCAAAGACATTTACACTGCTCCTAGACTATATACCTATACTTATACGGTCAGCTCGCGCATCGATGGCGGATGTACGAACGCACCAAAAACGACGCCACATATTCAAATTCGCCTTCCCGACGTCCTGCTGACCTCCATATGCAGCGGGTGAGAGGCGCGTATACATATTTCGGCTCGCCCGAGTTCCCCCCTTCATTCCTTGCAGGCCAGATATTTCCGCCAAATGACCGCTCATCAAGGATATCCAGGTCGGGTTCAGTACAGACGGCTTCGACCTTCTGAAACGATAAGAGACGGTGCGTTCCCCGTCCATCAACGCAAGGAAGACGTTCCCCAATGTCTCTCAGGTCATTCTGGCACACGTCGGAGCCCATCGCGGGTGTTAGCGGTATGGGGGATAGGTGTCGTACCCTGAGATCGCGTTGTGAAGCAGCCGGCGTGTCGGTCAGGAGGTTCTGAGGGATCTCGTCATGGTGTCCATTCCCCTCGCTGGGGATGGCTATGAAACTTCCAGGCGACGAGAATACCGTCGTCAGAACTGAGGGGGGCGATGGCGATGGACGCAGGACGCAAAACGCGCGGCGGGGACAGCGCGGTCGGAAATTGCCGAAAGTCGGCGGCGCGGGGCGGAAGCCGGTAAGCGCCCGGCGCTTACGGCGCGCTCGTTGATCTTGACCGTCACCGTCGTTTCCCGTGTCTGCGCGGCGCCGCCTCAACCGCCTCCTACTATGCGGACGACGTTGGCGACATCTTAGGGTCTTCTTACTCATTTTCTGCGGCCTGCCAAGCACAATAGCATTCATTCCTTCTGTGATACTGCAGGGACACTTTGCGGGGACGCGGGAGGAGACCCCGCGCGCGACGCTCCCCTCTGTGACTTCCCGCTGCCCAAAACACGTGTATTCGCAAGGACAAGGCCTCCTCGACTCAGGCACCCGCGCCGGCAGGGTCTAGGCCAATTCCCCGCGCGGGGCAAAATGCTGATTTGTTGCCTCCGAGGCGCTTCTCGTCAAAACCTTCCGACTTTGGCAGGTTTTCTCGCCTTCCCGCGACCCTGACGGCGTGAGATATGATGATTCGCCGGCTCTCGCCCGCGAGCCTTGTGCTCTCGGATCGTTGCCTGGCCCGGCCTACCCGTCGAGGGCGGCGCTTCGCGCCGCCATGTCCTCCTTACCACGTCGTTTCGTCGACGTCGCGCGCGACAACAGTGCGCGAGGCGCTCCTTCTCGGATCCTTTGACGTGCCCCGTCAACCTCAATTTACGACGCTCAAGCTGCTTCCAACGCGCAGGCCGCCGAAGTCGATGAATATATGGATCTTTCACTCACGAGCGGGTGTATTTGGTACGTGCTATGCTTTCCAAACGCAGAGTTCTCGCCAATCGTATTGATCTAGACCGTCTCGCCGTCGTCGAACCCTTCCTCGCTCCCCGCCGGCCTCAATTTCGCCCTTCGAATATTCAGAGGGTACTTCACCCTCATCGACGCACACCTCGATCAAGGACGAGTTCAGCGCTGAGGCAATGGATCTTCGTCCGTGGAGCAGCGAACAAGGTTCGTGGTATGATTTCTATGAGCGAAGCTACGAGCGCTCAAGATTGTCCAGATTTCGGCGATGACATGACTCTTTTGCGCGAAACGAGAGTGGGTTTTCCGTCGCGAGATCTGGAGCTGGAGGTTCCGTCTGCCGAAATCCGGTATCGCCCCGACACGACCCTGGCCTCCTCGACAAACCTCCCTCGCGCACTCACCATCTACGAGCAACGCCCTCTGGCCACTCCTAAGCCTCGAAATTCGCGCCGCAGCAATGAAGCTTTACCTGACGAGCAGGTTGATTCTGATGCGTCGCGGGGGTCGAAAGGTGCGTCTCGAACTTCTCGCGCATGACCTGGATGCTTAGGACGCTCTAGATCCTCGAGCTGAGCTCGGAGGAAACGTTTCGCTCTCCGGCGAGCGAGGAAGTCCTCTCCCACCACATGCGCTTTCGTCTGCAGCACGCACACGCCGTTCATCCTTCGCCAGCGTCGTCAAGCTCCCACCACGCTTCGGCACGCCCCTCCGTCTTGTGCAAGGTCAATTCATTCTCGCGCGAGATCAACATCTCGTTTTCAAGCTTAGATCTCCACTACCGCGCTCTTCGACGCGCTTTCTGCTTGATAAATCACGCTCCACCTTGAAGACGGTCCCTACCACCTCGGTGACTGCCTCTTTCTCTCGACATCAGCCTCCCACCGAAACAAGCGCCGAAGCAATAGAAATTCGTCCGCCGAGCGGGCAAATGAGGTACGTGCTTCGCTTCCTTCTCATGAGCTACGTGCTGAGCCATGGCCTTCGCTCTCAGGCGCGTCCCACGCCTTCGCCTTCCCCCTCGAACGCTCTCCAAGCGCACCTCCCGGCTTCCTCTCGAGCACGTCCTCCATCGCGCTTCCTGCCCCCTGTCTCACCCTCCTCCCTGGCCTCGAGTTCTCTTGCGCCTTTCTCGCGCTTCTCGACGCTTCATTTGCGCTACTCAACGCTTCATCCGCGCTGGCTGATGCGTCCCTCTAAATTTTCGATGCCCCTCAAGCTGTCCGACCCCCCTCGAAGCTATCCGACGCCTCCCGAGCGTAGTTCAAAACTTCCCATCCAGCGAGCAACAATCCATCGTCCCCAAGCGACTCCATACAGTCTGGACCGCCGCATGGAAGCCCCGCTTACCCGAGATGTTCATAAGTGTTATTCTGATGTCCCGACCGCTTTGACTCGCCCTCGAGCGCTCTATCGATCTTCCGTTCGCCTTTCCAATGTCCCGAGTGCTTCTGCGACCCCGCAATACTCTATCGGCCTTCTGAGCGCCATCCGATTGTCCCGAGCGATGCTCTTGTGCCCTCCTTCCCCCCTCAAGCGCTTAGACAACGTCCCCAGCTCATTTCTCACCCTCGAGCGCTCCTCGGACTTTCCGTTCGCTTTTCCGACTCTTTGAGCGCTCGGCTGACACTGTAATCTCTTCTTGCATGCCGAGTACTATGCAATATGACATGTCGAAGCTATAACTCGCTCTCTAATTGTTCTGATCTCTCCCAGCTTGCTCGTAACTTGCTCGTCTCACTCGTAACTCGCTCGACTCGATCGTCACTCGCTCGACTCACCCTTCACTCGCTCGACTCACTCTCCCTTGCTCATGACTCGTCTGAGCTTGGTCGTGCCTCGCTTGTGCTTGCTCGCAACTCCTCCAACTTTGACCGCAGCCTAGATGCACTCGTATTCCCGAATCAATGACTTTGTGGCAACTCTGCATGTCTCGACTCTCAGCTCCTGACTTGGGCTACTCATCTCGCCTTCCGGTCTACTCGCCCCGGGTCGAAGCCTCGACCATCACCACCATCTCAACATATTCCCTTCTGCCTTCTCGACTCTGTCTCATCCTCCCTTCAGTCTTCTCGACTCCGTATCATCCTCCTCGACTTCTGGACAGCCTCGATCATGGCCAGTCTTGCCCGTCGCCTGTTGACTGACTTTACATGCCACTCCTCAACGCTCTTGTCTCGCTTGTTGACCCCCGCTCGTGCAGTCCTGTCCACCTACCTTACACATAGTCGACACTGCCAGATGAGCATGTAGCGCGTAGCTTACTGATACTTGTAGCTCGTAGCTGATCGATACTCGTAGCACAGTGTATTCAGCTCGAGAGCATGAGCAGAACCGTCTCACAGGCCTTCCTTATAACCCTCACCACCGACAGGCCGAGATCAGTTTCCGGATATTCACGGAAGACAAAATGGGAGTACTCGAGCAGTGGTACGATGGTCGAAGGACTGGCCACGGCGACTCCTGACCATTTCAACACCCTCAACTGAGATCGGGGAATATTCAGTGTGCCTGTCGGATGATTTATGATGTGCGGGTAAGCTCGGAGGACGGCTGGAGCGGGGTCCTTGATGACGGGCGCTGGTGGCAGGAGGGAGTGACTGGGAGAGTAAAATCAGAGGGGGGGAGGGGAGGGTAGGTATGCACTAGCTATCTTGCAGAGAGGTAGGCCTGACCACACCCTCCCAATTCGCCTTTGAGCGACAAGAAATGACCAAGAAGGCGTCCCTACACAATTATTCGAGCCCCAATGTCACGCTTTCCCACCGAGTTCGGAGGGAATAAGAGGGGGAGGAGTGGTAGCAGCAGCTTGTAACTTCGAGAACCTCTTAGTTTAGATAACACGCATGTAACGCACTTTACCCGAAGTCGCCAGCTAGCCTGGTTGGCGAGATAGAACCTTGAGGAGGTCGTACATGCGAATTTTCTTACTTTTGACCAAAAAGGAAACGCGACGGTTCAACTCCCGTCACGTCACGCGGGGCGCGCAGGAAGAAGCGCGGGTGATTCGCCGAAGGCTCTTACCTGGACGCGGACCCGACCCGCCGCCTCGCCCTCGCGCCAAAGTATAACTGAGCGCGAGACTCGAACACGAACGCGGGACCAGCCATGACGTCGCCTGCCTGGCAGCTGGCAGCTTCTCACGACGACGCGCCTCTGTCCATGTTTCTCCGCGTTCCTTGCCGCGTCCGGAACCAACTGGCTCGCATGCTTCCTCATCTTTCGACATCCATGATGATAAATCCCGCTCGGAAACATCGCGATCACTCTGGATAAATGGCGGGACGATGGCTGGGAACTCACAATAGCGATCTTCCCCATCATGTCCTCCGCAATCCCCAAGCTCTTCCAGCCGGTCAAAGTCGGCGATGTGACGCTTGCGCACCGCATCGTGCTCGCCCCTCTCACGCGCTTCCGAGCTACCAAGTTCGAGCACGTCCCCCTCCCGAACGTGAAGGAGCATTACAGACAGCGCGGGAGCACGCCTGGGACGCTCTTGATCACCGAAGCGACCTTCATTGCCCCGCAGGCCGGCGGTTACACGAACGTCCCCGGCATCTGGAGCGACGAGCAGATCAGCAAGTGGAAGGAGGTGCGCGGCGAGAGACATTCTCACAGGCAATCCAACTCACATGTTCACAGGTCACAGACTCCGTCCACGCCGAAGGCTCGTTCGTCTACCTCCAGCTCTGGGCTCTGGGACGCGCGGCTGTAGCGGCTGAGCTGAAGGCAGAAGACCCCTCATTCGACTACGTCGCCCCATCCCCGATCAAGCTCACCGGCCACGACGAGACCCCGCGCGCGCTCACCATGCCTGAGATCAAGCAGTACGTGCAGTGGTACGCGACCGCTGCACACAACGCGGTCAAGCGCGCTGGCTTTGATGGTGTCGAGATCCACGGCGCGAACGGCTACCTCATTGATCAGTTCTTGGTGCGTGCAGCGTGCTCGGCGAAGTAGACAAGGACTGACCTATCGCACAGCAAGACGTATCCAACCACCGGACGGACGAGTACGGAGGGTCGATCGAGAACCGCTCGCGCTTCGGTCTTGAGGTCGTCGAAGCTGTTGTGAAGGCTGTTGGCGCGTCCAAGACCGGCATCCGTCTCAGCCCGTGGGGGAAGTTCCAAGGTGCGTCGCGTCACCTCATCCCCCCATCTCCCTAACGCCTCCTCCCAGACATGCGCATGGCCGACCCCCTCCCCCAATTCTCCTACTTTGCCAACGAGCTCAAGACCCGCCACCCCGACCTCTCCTACCTCCATCTCGTCGAGCCGCGCGCGCAGGGCTTCGCGATCCTCCGAGACGAGGACCTCGAGGCGCGCGAGTCGAACGACTTCCTGCGCAAGCTCTGGGCGCCGAAGCCGCTGATCACCGCGGGCGCGTACACGCGCGAGCTGGCGATCAAGACCGCGGAGGAAAAGGGGGACATCATCGCCGTCGGGCGGTACTTCATCTCGAACCCAGACCTCCCCCTCCGCTGGCGGCACAACCTCCCGCTGACGGAGTACAACCGTGACACGTTCTACTTGAAGGGCGATGCGAGCCCGACGGGGTACACCGACTATCCTTTTGCGGAGAAGACGGCGGAGCAGTCGAAGTTGTGAGGCAGATTTGCAGACTGAGAGATTACATCGGGCCAGTGGACTTGCAGATTTATACTGCCATTGATAGACAAAGGAAACCATTGTATTCCAAGCCCACTGTGTGATGCTGGTATCATACGACTCTCTGCACTGTGCGCCCAAAACCGGGTTACGTTCACCCGAACTTTCACCCATAAATACAGTTGATTTCTCTCGAAATACGGCTCAAATTCACCCTGTGTCACCCGGAAAATGGGTGACTGGCCACGGGTGAATCTGTGGTTAAATTTGGGTTGAATACACACCGACTTTCGGGTGAATTAATCTGGTGAAGGTCGGGTACCTACAACCCGAACGCCTAGGCGTGATTGACCCAAAACCGAGCTGATATCAGCACCCGAAAGACTAGTGATTCTGGTCCTTGTTATCTCACTAGGTTCCCTGGTTGTATTCATAGCGGAACGGGCTTCACGCACTCGCGTTGAAGGGGGAAATCATATTATTGCATACTGTATCTACAAGGACTACTACAATGTACCACGACAGAAGACACGGCATGAACAGACGTGTGCCTACGATAAGGGACGAGGGCAGGGAGCTGGCCGCGAAAGGGCTGTCATCGAGTCGATCGTTGCGTTAGGCAGGGGGAGACCTGTTGGCAGGGAAAGGGCATGGCGCTGGGCAGAGCCTGTAAGAATGCGGCGCATGACGAAAGTACATCGACGGCTACCTGGTTCCGCGGTGTACAGAACGCGGCTACGACGACGTAAGCTCAGGTCGGTGGGCTGTGTCAGTGACGCACCTGGTATCGCGATACATAACGCCAGTGCGCTGAAGGGTGTCGATGTCGCGACAGCAGACCAGTACCGCGTCGCAGCAATCCGAATGGCGAACCTCGCGCGCGTCGTACGCGCGTTATAGAGCGGTTTGCGGCTTGCGGCTTGGGTCTATGCTTGATGGCGGCCAGTGTCAGTAAGAGGGAGGAGTACGGTGCACAATATTGTGTGCGATGCGAGACCTGCTGGAGGTCGTGGCCGTCGGGGATGATGGTACAAGAGAAGACGGACTTAGGGATTTCACGGAGCCACGTCACGCCGCGACGTGCTGTCACACGCGTGACAGATCACGGTTGAACTCACTTTTGGATGTCCTGGCGCTTTATGCTCCGTTGTCAAGGTGGATTTAGGGATCTTCTCCACATATTTCAAGTCTTACTCCAACCAAGCCTCTCATCTTCTCTCGGAGATCTGCATTAACCAACGTTTTGCGGATTTTTGGATCTATCCTGCTTTGGGCACCTTGTAAGACGGTCACAACGCTTATGAATGCGCCCAAGGAGCATCTGTAGCATGAAAAATACCATCGAGAACTGATTAGCAGATGAAATATACACTCAGAACCTCTCGAAGGATCCTACGATATCATATACTCGGACACAGCACCCCATAGCGAGCGGGTCGAGAAGCAGATGACTGTGGCACGTCGGAGTGATGGTATATACCCCAAATTGCCCAGTAACAAGCAATACAGCGCTGAAAAGGTGCGATTCGGGGACGAAATTCCTCAAATCAAAATCACCTAGCTGTAACCGTACCGTCACCCAAAAACCACCCGGAAAACTTGGCATTCGGTGCATCAACCAGATCTCCTGGTAGTCGTAGGGTGATTGTAACCCGGTCTCGGGTGCACAGTGCTGGAGGCTGCGAAAATTAGACTTCTTGGTGAGTTATCTTGAACGCACAAAGGTCGAGCATGCGATACGCGCGTAGAAGACGAGGAGCTTTCGGAAGTACCAGCCCTTTGAGTACTGCTCGTAAAAGAGCGCTGTACATCGCCCATATTGCCGCCGCCGTCGACGGTCCTTCGGACAATGCATCCTGCTCTCGACGTGTCAGCGAGGCGCGCTCAACGCACAACAACGTGGATGCAGACATTGCGGACGAAGTCGACGCGATGCCGAAGCCGATACTGACCTTCATGACGCAACAGACGCTGCTCGCGTTGCTGTTGGCTCTCCGACTGGCTCGCGCATCGCATACTCGGGCACGGCCTCGCGCTCGTCTGTCGGTTCGGATGGCGAGGTTGACGAGTCCAAACGTGGGCTACAAGCGCCTTCGCGCTCAGAGTACGCTGTCGGTGCTGCTTCTGCAGTAGAAGCAGACCTTGATGCGGAGGATGCGGAAGGCCAAGACGAAGGTGACGAACTACTTGCTGCGATAGAAACCTGCCATCGCACGAGGAAGGTGACATTTCCTGTGCTGTAACGATCACACCGACATAGCGCCTGATCAACAAGCAACATACACACCGGCGGGAGCGACATTGACTTCGAATCGGATGATCGTATAGATTCTCTTCAAGTGGCCGATTTCACGCAGGGGGTAGAAGATGGGCGCTTGTAAGCTTCGCAGAACGTAGGTGGCGCGGTCGACGCGCAGAAAAAAGAAAGACGATGTTTTCTCTTGCGGTCTGAACAGGCAGAGGATAAGCGACGCATACGAGCGCACATGTATTCGCTGTTTGAGCGCAGCTGGGTTCAAGGAGTAGTGCCGTCCGGCGTAAGGTCTTTTCATCGGAAGATTAGCTAGAGTGAAAGACGCGCCGTCGAAGCGCCAGTTATGATACATCATCCGCACATCCAGGCCACGCGAGAATCGGCGGAGGACGGTCCTGCCTCGCGGAAATCCTGCGATATTCAGAGAATTGCAGGGGAGTCTAGCCTTTTTGTTAGAAATTGACATATCCAATATTGAGTGCATATCTTGACAGTCGGGCCCTTCGAAGCCTCAGCGGCGCATGAGAACTCCTAGAAGATCGGCACGCGGACGTATCCTAGAATTCCTATAGCAAGGGGCGCATACAGAGAGCGTGTAACATGAGCGTCTTCGAAGGAGCAGGTTAGTTTTTCAAAGAGGAGAAATTATTTCCAGCTCCCAACGAAGGATCGTTGTTGCACGGCCTTCAGCAACCTCAGCCAATCTTGCTTCGGCGTGGATTCAGGACGTCCCGATGTCGGCTAGGAAGAGGGTTTGACGCTAGCGATATGCAAAGAGAAAGTGATGCTGGTTATTGCATTGGGCGTGCTGAAATTCGCAGCCATAAGAGCCAGCAGGAGGAGCGACAAAGCGGCCGCCAAGGTGGACGGCTGTGATCTTGTTTGCTAGAAACAATGGCATTGAAGGAGAAGAGATTCATATGAGCGCTCAGAGCTGAAGTAGTTGCTGGGCCATAGACGATGTGGAAAACAGTTCGCAGGCACATCGACGTGCAGGACAAGAATTAATCAGTTGAGTTTTTCTTGTCCAGTCAATTTGTGGCGTCGTGTGGCGTCATGTGGCGCGCGTCATCAATCCTCGGACGTCCGAGGACATGCATAATCGGCGATGTTCAAGGTGCAATGTTGCACTTCCTGGACTTGAACCCTCCCCTCATCTTCCCGGGATTGTCAGAGAGCTCTCACATTCCTGGCGGTCTGGAATATCAGGTTCTGCAGCGCGAAGCTCGTGCCGTCACAGAGCACCTCTTTCGGTTCGACTCAGGCGTTGCGCCACCGCGCCTCGAGGCCGCGCGCTCGACGCTCAGCCACCACTCAGCAACTTGAACTCGACCATCATGGACAGAGACGTCGAAGAGGACAAGATCAAGCCGTACGTCGTCACCGGACACCTTGGAAAGGGCAGCTTCGCCGTCGTCTACAAGGGGTACAATGAGGTGCGTCGCCTGTACTTCCCCAGGTCCCATTACTCACTTCGCTCAACCAGGATACGCACAAGCAGGTCGCGATCAAGACCGTCAAGCGCGAGACGCTTGGCACGGGAAAGCTGCTCGACAATCTGCAGCTCGAGATCGACATCCTCAAGTCCCTCTCCCACCGCCACATCACCCGCCTCCTCGATATCATCGTGCGTCCCCTCCCTTCGCCTCAAACATCACTCTTACCCTCCTTTAGCGCGCCCCCAAGAACATCTACCTAATCATGGAATACTGTGCCGGCGGCGACCTCACCAACTACATCAAGAAGCGCGGCCGCGTCGACGGCCTAGAGTACACACCCCTCCCCACTCCCGCCAACCCTCACCCCCAGCCACAATACTACCCGCACCCCCCATCTGGCGGGCTCGCCGAGCTTGTCGTCCGCTCCTTTCTCCGCCAGCTCGCCCGCGCACTCAAGTTCCTGCGCCACCGCAAGCTCATCCATCGCGATATCAAGCCGCAGAACTTGCTCCTCCATCCGGCGGGGGAGGACGAATATAAGCGCGGTCACCCTCTGGGAGTACCGGTGCTCAAGCTTGCCGACTTTGGCTTCGCGCGCAGCTTGCCGAACGCGATGATGGCGCAGACACTATGCGGGAGCCCGTGAGTCGCCCTTCTCTCTCCCTCTCCCTCCCCCCTTTTCCTCGCTCATCTCTCGCTTCTTTCCCACCAACCAATCCCTGCTAACACCTGCTAACACCCTCACAGCCTTTACATGGCGCCCGAGATCCTCAAATACGAACCTTACGGCCCCAAGGTCGACCTCTGGTCCACGGGCGCCGTCCTCTACGAGATGGCCGTCGGGAAGCCGCCCTTCCGCGCGCAGAACCACATCGAGCTGATCAACAAGATCGAGAAGTCGAAGGGAATAAGGTTTCCGGATGAGGAGCCGCAGGTAAGTTGCTTCTGTGATCTTCTGCGAGAGAAAGACGTGAACTGAGATCTTTGTCAGACCGGTAAGAACGCCGACGTGAAGCCGGTGCCACAGGATATCAAGGACCTTATCCGCGCGCTGCTGAGGCGGCTGCCCATCGAGGTGAGCGTCCTTTCTCTTCACTTTCGTGAACATCAGGGCCTGAGTAGGCTGACCAACGTTCTTCAGCGCGCCGACTATGAGCAGTTCTTCAGCAGCCCCGCGATGCAGAACAGCAAGTTCCCCAGGCCGGAAGCGCCGAAGGAGGAGCCAGGAGCCGAAGGTGAGTTGTAATCGCATCCTGTTATCTGACGCCCTTCGTCGCTCTCCTTCCCCGCGATGCTCGCTTGAGGATTTCGCTCCCCTTCTGACCTCGCTTTTCTTGACCCCTTATGTGGCAATCGCCCTGTTCTACATGGCGCTCATTCTGTTCTACATGGTACTCATCCTGTCCTTCACGGCCTTCATCCTATCCTACATAATGCTTACTTGGCTCATCCGTCGTACATGACGCTCATCCCTCTCATCCCAGAACGCGACACGCCAGCCTGGACCGGCTCCGTCCCCGACCACCACAAGGTCATCCCGCCCGAAGTGCTCGACCCACATGCGATGATCCCGCCGAGCAAGTTCAACTTCAGGCGGCAATCGTTGGTCGGGAGAGATGACGAGAACACTCCTGAAGCGAGAGGGTACGTATCTCCACATGACCCCTCCGCGTTCACCGCATACGGACGTGCAACAAGCCTTCACGACCAGGCCAACTAAACTCGGCTCTAACATCTTGATAGTTCAGCGTCTCCACAAGACCTCGAATCGCTCGCGGGGCCTTCGCGACCGCCACGCCGACCACCGAACTCAGAGCCCGTCGACGGATCGAGCGCAGAGGCGGAGGAGTACGTTCTCGTCGACGATACACAGGCGCTTGAGTTTGATAGAGCTGTTGACCGTAAGCATCATCCACGTTGCTCTACCATGGCGTTTCTCGTAGCGCTTGACCATCTCGCCCATCGTTCACCCTATGTATTTGATGATCAACTAACGAATGCCCTCGCAGAAATCCGCGATCCCTCGCGCCGACCATCCCAACAAGGTCGACAACTCCACGCCCGCCGCGTATCTACGTACGGCGTGCCGCGGGAGATCGGGAGGAAAGCGTCCCTCGGAGAGAGGAAACCGTCGATGGTCGAGCGAAGATCATCAGGCGGGCTTCAGCAACGACCGGATCATCGACGCTCGTCGACGTATAGCGGGCAGGGTACGCCGCAGATGGGATCGCCGGTACTGGACGAGGATCCGTCGGCGGAGTTCTTGCAGGAGCGGCCGAGTACGAGAGGTAAGTGGTCGAGGCTTCGGATGTTCCTTCGATGACCTTAGTCTTTACGAAGTAAATACGACCTTCCCTCCACCACCCAATCAAGGCTTCCCACCGCCGTCGCCGGGAGGATCGAGTCCCTCACGCGCGGCGGCAAGTGCCCTCAACCGCGCTCTCAGCCTCGCTAGCAAAAAGCTCTTCGGCACGCCCTCGCGTTCACCCTCAGACTACGCGCAAGCCTCCCCGTCTCGTTCTCCCACTGACAACGCGAATGCAACACCATCCAGAGATGCGGACGTCGCATCGTCTCCCAGAAGGGCTCAGATCCTCCGCAACACGGACGAGGAGCGCGATCCGAGGGAAGATGCGCTGCTCGAGAAGCTTGAGGTGCTCGCGCAGAAGACGGAGGTGCTGACCAATTGGGCGGACGAGATGTACAAGTGCGTGGTGGAGACGAGGCAGAGTAAGTTGTCCTTTGCTTTCTTAGGATCTTTTGAGCTCATCTTTGATTCAGATCCGTCGCAAAGGCGAGACGCAAAGTCCGAGGCCGAGTATAATGCGGTATGGTTAGGATTGGCCGGTAAGAACGAGCGAAGCCTTGACCTACTGCAGGTCACCTGTGTCGCCGTCTACCTACTCTTGATGGGCTTCGCGCAGAAGGGCATCGATGAGCTGAGCCTGCATCAAGATGAGATGCTCGAGGACCATCCCGACGCCGAATACGTCGTCAGCGAAGGGTTCGACGATGGTAAGCTGTGCCTTTTTCGTTGGGAGTCATGGGTCCAGTCTGACTTTCTACGAGCGCTTTGCTGGTTCCGCGAACGTTTCCTGAAATGCCATGAGCGCGCGAAGCTGGTCAAGACTTGGCTGCCCGCAAATTACAACGGACCTAGGACCTGGCTAGATCAGCTCGTTTACGACAGAGCGCTGGCACTGGTATGTTGACTTGTGCTTGATTGATGATATCTAGCTAACTCCGCTAACAGAGTCGCTTGGCCGCTCGTAAGGAGCTTCTTGATCAAGCAACGACACCGAACGAATGCGAGAAGCTCTACGAGGAGTCGCTTTGGTGCCTCTACGCGCTGCAGGACGAGCTTCTGCAGACGGGCAACGAGCTCTTGCGGGAGGACAGCGAGACGGTAGCGACCTGTGAGTCCTTCAGCGCGTCTGTGTGAAAGATATGTATTGATCTTACTTTAAGGGATCAAACGTACGAAGCTACGTCTGGTGCGCTGCCGCGCGCGCATGAAGATGAATGACCGAGACCGCATGAACGATGTGAGGGCGGACGAGAATCTCTCGGACGCGCCTCGCGTACCAGCACCGTGGGATGCGCCTGCGACCTAAGGCTTATGGACTACTTATTTAACTTCAATCTGCTACTACATCTTCACCGCCTTCTGCTTTTTGATCATGGGACATGCGCACGCTATTACTCTATGACCATCCGTTTCTACAATGTATGTCAGGAATTTTACAAGTTATATGACGAAGCTACACATTCATTGGGATATACCGAAGTCTTCAAGATCAAGGATGAGCGGGATGGTCTTTGTGATTGAGTGCTTTCCAGCCCGCAGAGCGACTTCTGAGAGGATGGTACTATGTGCACGCGGTGTCGCATCGGGCATGTACGACGTGCGAAGGTACACCTGGCTTCGCCCACCGGAAAGAATATTCGTGAGATCGAAGAAAATGACCGGCTGCGTTACCAGTGGTGGTTTCACGGCTTTCCGTCGTGATGCGAGCGCCTCGATGATCTGCTCCCTGATCATGGAGAACGCGGTGATGATGAAAAATCGCGTGGAGCTGCAGATGAAGAATGTGTCGTCGAGGGAGATGGCACCTAGAGCAGCCGTTAGAACTATGACATGCGTGGATGAATCGAGCGACGTGCCATGAAGACCCCACGGCCCGGCTTCTCGACAGCAAGTCTCTCGATGTATAGGGTAGTGCAGCCGCTGGCAGCTACCCGAGCAGTAGTACACCTCCGCGCATGGACAAACTCGCACCAACTCATTATGAGGTCCCTGCATAATAATCAAACATCCGGATATATAGAAAAGCAACGATACATGCCATCCCCTCGTTATAGCACGGCGTGGACTTTTTCCATTCCTTCAGATCGTGCGACTGTCGATATAGCTCTCGAGCGGCGTCAGAGATGGTCGCGATGCTTGTCCAAGACACCTCAGTCGGCGGTACGGGTTTGAGCCTCGGCATGAGCTTCCTAGGATGACGGCGAATGAAGGCGCGGAGGACCCGCGCCTGATAAAGCCCGGCGCAGATGAAGTGGATGAAGCCAGCTATATGGCCATCAAGATGCGCCCCCTCCGACGCGCTCTGCTCGAGCTTGCGCAAGACATCGAAGACGCCCGCCTCCATCGCGTATGCGAGCGCCTTATTGCTCGAAGCCGTTTGGCATAGAACATCGAGCAGGTGAATGGCGAGGAGCGCACCCTCACGGGTATCGACGGTGTCCAGGCAGCGCGTAGCACCTGCGACGACGGCGAAAACAGCTTTTCCTGGGATACGCGCGCGTTTGAACTCCAGCATGCTGACGACATTGATCATGAGATTGAAGTGATCCGCCCAGATCTGCTGTTGGATAGGGAAGTCCATGAAGGCCGGCTTGTGCGGTAGACGGACGAGATAGTTCGTGTGCTGAGCCATGACGGTGTAGGCTGTGTGCTGGCCACCTAGAGCTCGGCGTAGATGGTTGACAAAGAGCGCGCGATCGTCACCAGAGGGGGACGTGTCCTTGCGGACAAGGATATGATGGAGTGATTCCATGAGACTGATTGGCATTCCCACGGTCTCGAGAGCGTCTGGTTCCGACGCAGCGATATACTGAGGGAAGCGGAGCCATAGGTCGATAAGGTGCGTGATGAGGATGGGATGCGCTTGCAGGAATACATTCGCATCCGGTGTGCCCTCTAGACTCATCATGAAGTACGCCCTGATAATTCTACGCACTGTCGATCCGCCGTCGGGCAGTGTTGGACGGTGGAGTGGAGGGTGTAGGGTGACTGCCCATCGGATGATATGAGGCCACAACGCCCGCATTGATGTTAAGGGCACCGTGCTTGTCATCCTATCGTCGCGTCCGGCACTCGATATGGCCCCGAAGGCTTCGAAAGATAGACCAATGATGTCCAGAACCTCGATATTCTGCTCCATGATGCTGTGTATGACCGGGTCCGACGAGAGACTGGAGAAGGCGGTGCGGTTCGGCTTCTCGAGAATGCCAACCAGTTTCTTCAGCGTCTTAGAGTAGTTGTACCCTGGCGGGAATGGATCTATATCGCAAAGCTGGTCCGCGAGCGAGGTGAGCAATTGAAGCTCTTCTCTCTCGCGCTTGAGTCGGGCACTTATTCGCCTGGATTCTTCCATGATGCTGATTCCATGTTAGTATAACTATATCGATGTCATTTGAAGGTCCATCTTTCTACTCACATCGCGGCCAGAAGATGAGGGAAGACGGCAAGTTACCTTGCTCGCGCGGCCTCTTGCAGACCCTTTGTTCTCCGTCCTTTACCTTGCTTGCAAGGTCTTATGGAGGGGTCTTAATTCGCTGATCGGATTCTATTTTGAACTCAAGTACAAACACCTGGATAAGGCTCGATCGAGATCCCACCGATCGCTTTCCATTACTCCATTGACCACGAGACTCGTATTCAACCATCTACGTGTAATTCTCTCGCTCTACTCTCCTGCACAGCTGCAGTCAGCAGCGAACATAACTCGATCCAATACGACTCTAGCGGCCAATTGCAAGCAACGTCGCTGCTCAATCGAGAGGTAACCGGCGCCTTAAATAAATCTCCAAACGATACAGCGCGTATTGACGCCAATGCTGCTGCGCGGATGACGGGTTCTTGATGGGCGCGCTAGGTTCCAGAACTCGAAAGCGCATGCAGGACTGAATGACGTTCTTGGTCGGCCAAGCGGACCCACAATTCCAATCACGTGGACAAGAGGCGCAAGGACCCACAGCCGCCCACAGCGGACAGTCGCTGCCAGCGGACGACCCATGACTAAGCTCGCTTCTATCTCCTGGCGTCTGATCCGGCCGTCAAAGCAAATATTCAGCGTTTCCTGGTGCTCCAACATGTCTGGGTCGTCTCTCTTCAACTCGACCTTCGCGTCCCGGCAGCAAATCAACAGCATCACGCCCTCCAAGCCCCTCATTTCCAAGAAAACCTCGACCTCTCTTGTACGCAATCAGACCGCGCAGAGTTGCCAGAGATCCTTGAGTCGTGTTAATGTCTGATGCCTCCTCCGTCGACGTCCCTTGCCGCTCCTTGACCTTCCTTGTACTGCTGGATGCGGCCCTGCAACTCCATTCCCTCGCTCACCCGCGGCGCCGTGTTCATGCCGATAAAGAGAACTCTTGTCGTGTCGCGCAAGTACTACGTCTCGATCCTGAAGAGACAAATCGACTTCGCGGTCGGTGAGGTGGTAAGTAAGCTCTCGGTAGGCACCAATTTAGAGGGATCAAAGGAGACGTACAAGTACCAGAGTGAGAAATACTGGATTGGAAACCAGCTGCCGAAGTGGTGCTTGCGGAGTCGGATTTTGTGGTCGCCAACGATGACGGTACACGTTGGCGGTGTGTAGGCGTAGCTGTCGATTTGGGTGCAGGCCGTGGTGGTATGATTGTTCTCAATAGAGCCAACCAAGTAATTTCAGGCTCAACTCGGAGCATTTCACGGACAGCTTCTATGTGCTGGACAGCTCAGCCTGTCGACCTGGGCAAGCAGAGGAGAGATGGGTCAGCTAGGCGGCGTTGCTCGAGGTTGCCTAGATTACGGATCGTCCTCTGCAGTCATCACACATGCCCGACTTTGGGGACTTTTATGCCCGTAGTCTGTAGTCACGAAAGTACGCAAATCTTTCCTCGGCTCCAGTCGAGGCAATGGTCCTCCGAGTCTCACTCCGCTACAATTTCTACGTTGTAAAGACTCCGAAGCCCTCACGTCTGCGTTCGGCAACGCCGACGCGTTCGATAGCGTCGACCGTGCAATCGCGCATGCGGTGTGTGCCACCCAGATATTCTCTGTCCGACTTGTTCTTCATGCCTTTGACCATTTGTCCGTAGTTAGGTTTCAATTGAGACACTCTGAGACTACTCGCATACTCGCATACTCTCGTGTTCTTGGCAAGCAAGGTCGTCAGGAGGCGAAGCCGACGCTTCTCTAGTCACAATACATATGTACAAACAACGCTTGACCTACCTCAGTTCGAACCCTGATCTTGCCTCGCGAGCAAGGTGTCAGCCGGGCGCAGCTTGCGCTGCGTCGAGTTCAATCAGGCGTGGATTTCAACACGCTTCTCAGGTCCGGAATCCGCGGCTATACTTTCGCGATTCAGACCTCGAACTATCGAAAAAGGATTGAAAACCATTGACATTATCAGCCTAATTACAGTAGCCTCGAATGGCTCTCGAGAAAGGGGTCTACCTAATGCAAGATCATATAGATATACCGAAGTGCGCAAGGTCTCACTGAAATGGAATGATCTTCGTGATCAAAACCTTCCCAGCCTGCAGATATACCTCAACCAAGACGGTGGTTCGCGCCCGCGGCGACGCGTCCGGGATGTACGAGGTGCGAAGATAAACTACACTGTTTCCCTTTCTAAGATTCGTCATGTCGTAGGAAATGACGGGTTGCTCATACAGAGGAGGGCTGACGCGATCTGAACGGTCTGTAAGTATCGCTTTCAGCTGCCTCCTTAATTGGGCAAGATTTTCGGAGATGAACAGTCGCGCAGCGACGCCGATAAATAGCGTGTCCTCGAGGGATATGGCTCCTGATGTGGTCTTCATAAAAGTGACGAGTATGAAGAGACTACGACATACCTCGAAGTCCCCATGGTCCGTCGTATTTACAGCATGATTCGCGGTGTTCTTTATATTGAATACGCTGACAGCTGCCGGAGCAATAGAAGGCCTCGCCGCACGGGCAGACCTGCACGCGCCGGTTGTGGGGACCCTACACGAGGTTAGAGGTCACCGACGACACGTAGCGACTTCACCCACCATCTTGTCATTGCTGCAACGCATAGCCTGCTGCCATTCCTTTTCCTTCCGCGAGTTACGATAGAGAGCGCGGGCGTCGTTCGAAACACGTGCTATGTTCTTCCATGTCGCCAGGTGATTGCCCGATGGTAGCGCCTTTCGCGATATATTGAATCTCGAAGGGTGATGGCGGATGAAGGCATGAATGACTCGGGCTTGGTACAGGCCGGCGCACGCATAATCCACGAAGCTGGAAATTGCGCTCACTTGATCGTCTGGACATGCCGGAAGATCGTGCAGAAGGTCGAAGAGGCCAGCACCGAAGGCACGAGCGAGTGCTTTGTTGCTATTGGCCTTGCGACAGAGTATGTCTAGTAAGCGTATGGCGTCAAACGCGCCGTCTGTGGTCTCCCGAGCCTCTAGACATCGCCGAGCAGCGGATACAATGGTGGAGATGGTCTTCGACGGGACGCTAGTTTGCTGGAATTCCGGCTGGCCAACGAGATTTGTAATGAGGGTGAAATAATACTTCCAGATCTGGTAGTTGATACTGATACCCATGACAGTAGGCCTGTGCGGTAGTTTGGCGAAAAACTTGGTATGGTAGATGATGACCGTGCGCAGCGTGCGTTTGCCGCCCAAAGCGCGCCGAAGGATGTCGATGAAGAGGGCGCGGTCCTCAGCCGAGGGAGAGCTTAGCGAGTGAACGAGTTGGGAATAGATTTGTATGACGGTCGAGACTATTGAGGTGACGGTATCCGTAGATTCAGGAGCCAGTGGGACGTACTGCGAGCAGTGAAGCCAAAGGTCGAACGCCTGTGAGATGAAAGTAGGGTGCGCGTGCAGGAACTCCTTCGCATCGTCTGCATTCGCTATGTGCATCAGATGATACGCCATGGCGATCTTTCGTACTACAAGCGCGAGGTCGTAACCAGTCTTTGCGAAGCGTCCATGGGCAGGGTGCAATGCGGCTCCCCACGCGACGACATGTGGTCGCAATGCACGCACAACAGACGAGATGACCGTGTCGCGAGGCTTCATCCGAGGCATGACGCTGACGTTCGAGATAGCTCCATAGACGTCCAGAGATAGAAGCGCCACGTCCAAGCAGTCCGTTAGGTCCTCAAAGTCGACTTGCAGCGGATCAGAGGCGAGTGTGGAGAAGACGATGCGACCCGGGTCTTTGAGAATAGCATTCAGTTGCTTCAGGGTGCTCGCAAGGATGTCTCCTGATGAGAATAAGTTGTGTTGGCACAGCTGATCGGCGAGCCTGAGGAGCAATTGAAGTTCTTCCTTATCCCGTCGTAGGCGTATGCGTTTCCGAAGAAACTCTTCCATGCTCTAGTGAACTGTAATTGTCGGGTGAGCAACATGATGAGTGCTCTCAACTTTGCCACTCACATTCTAGCCACCGCCACTTTCACGGATGATGAAAGGTCAAGACAAGGTTGATCTAGCGCTGATATCTCTTCGGACCGAGCCCGTCGGCATATCCCGACGTGAGCTCTTTCATCTTTGTCGAACAGACACACACTCGTCGGCATCCACGGCGAGAGAACAATATCAGACACTTTCGAGGTAGCTTTCTGTACAGTAACTCAGATGGCTAAAGTTGTCCAGCATCATACACAAAAGGCAACGTGCGGGTGATCAAGGTTCTTCGTCCAACTCGCGCTCGAGCTGCACGCTTGGCGGAATTGGGATCATACTGAGCTTATCCACTCGATAAGCATGCATACACCGAAGATAGATCAAAAGCCACTCACATTCAATCGAGGGCCAGTCCTCGACCGCTGGCTCTGATATGGTGAGCGATGGAGCCAAGAGCCGAAGAAAGAGAAAAGATCAAACAACTGGTCGTCCCAAAGGACGTTCGGATCCCGGGGTGTTTTGTCGTGACTCTACAGTCCTCCCTCCATTCTTCCGTGCTCGAGAGCTCGGCACTGGCGGAGCTGGAGAGAAACGCGATCTCATCCTCTTGTGAGGCATAATTGGGTGAAAGATTGATAGTTTTACACTCGGGCATAGATATCGAGGAGTTTAGAGTCGTAGGCAAACGGCAACGTCCGCGTGATCGAATTCCTTCCGACGCGAAGGGAAACCTCTATCAACACATCTCCCCATGCCCCTTCTGGGATATACGAAGTCTTAGCATATACCTCGTGTCGCGCCTCGGGAAGGACGTCGGTCAGATCGATGTAGATGACGGCCTGCTTGACGATTGGTCTCCCCGGCTGATCTTGTCGCGCGAGTAGCTTCATTGTTTTTCTCGAGAGCACTTTCCTGTTGCGCGCGACATACAATTGAGCGACAGCAGAGATCAGAAGCGTATCCGCGAGGGACAAAGCGCCTTTCGGCTTGTTAGTGTAAGTCAAGTGATGGTACGGGATGAACTTACCTCGCAAACCCCACGCTTTCCGGTATCCACAACAAGTTTCGCGATGATGACTATGGTCCATCCGTTGGCAGCTTCCTGAGCAGTAGAATGTGTCCCCGCATGGGCAGACCTCGACAAGGCGATTATGAGGACCCTACAGAGCGTTAGCAGTACTCGCAAGCAGCAAGTAAGCGACCTACCATTCCTGCGTGACAGACCATAGTTTGGCGCCATCCCTTTCTAACGACAAAGTCGTCATAAAGCGAGCGAGCGATATTTGAGAGGCGTGCCGCATCTTCCCATGTCACAGCTTGTCCGTCCACAGCAGCGCCATGTGGCGGCGCAACATCGATGCTCCGAGGATGACGGTGAATACCTGCGCGAATGACCCGAGCGTAGTGTATCCCTGAGCAGACGAGTCGAATGAGGTCCGAGATATCATGTTCCTCTATTTTCCAGTCCGCGGGGATGGCGCGCAAGAGGTCGAAGAGTCCCGCCTGAACGGCTCGCGCGAGAGGGCGGTTCGATCTGGCGCTGCGGCACAATATATCGAGCAAGTAGATAGCGCACATAGCACCTTCTCCAGTTTTTCGCTCCTTCGAGCAGTTCCTGCCTGCGATAACGATGGATGTGATGGTGTCTCCAGGTATACTCGTTCCTTTCAAGTCCGGAAGAGCGACGAGATCGATGACCACGCGGAAGTAGACGGACCACGATTCCTGCGTAGTTGGCATGAGATCTGCCAGGGAAGCCACATCGCGCAACTTGATCATGAATTTGGTCTGCGCGGCGATGGCGAGCAAGAGGTCGCGCTTCCTGTCAAGTACGCGGCGTAGGGCGGCGACGAAGAGCGTCCGGTCCTCGCTGGTGGGCCTGTCGTGAGCCGGCATTCTGGAGTTGGGGCTTACAAGCGTCTTGAATAGAGCCCTGATGGTATGCGTAGTGCTCGTCACCATCGCAGTTGTTTCCATACTCGATGGTGGGAGGTATCTCGGGAAATACAGCCATAGATCGAGGGCTTCCGAGACGAAGGCCGAGTTCGCGTGGAGGAATGGCTTGAGAATGGGTATGCTGTCAAGACAGAGCATGCTGTAGGCCTGCAGAAGGCTCCCCAAAGCCGGCTTGGTATCAAATCCAGCCAATGTCAGGTGCCCGTGCGTAGGATGCAGCGCGGCGCCCCAGACGACTATGCGAGGCCAGAATGTGCGCATTATCTGCTCCGGCACATCACTGATGTCCTTCAGTTCGCGGCAAACATTCGTGACCGAGGAGAATGTGCCCATGGACAGCGCCACGACGCGTATCACGTCAGTGCGCCGCTGTTGCACGCATAGGAGTGGATCGCAAGCAAGGGTGGAGAAGGCAGCACGATCGTACGCAATGAGCATGGCAGTCATCTTGGCGGAAGTCTTTCTACGGTCGTATCCGGGAGAGAAAGGGACGAATCCCGCCAGCTCGTTTGCGAGCGTGCAGAGCACTTGCAGGTCGTTCATCTCGCGGTTGAGCCGCGCGCTCGACGGAATCGAATTCATGATGCAGCTGTTATGATCGTGTATGTACACATGGAATGAGAAAGGAAGAAAGCCACGCACAATCGTCTGAGTAGTGACTCTTGACCTGGTATAATGCGTCCGAATCAAGGGCTGATCAAAGGGCTTCAGAGGGAAGGCGTGACAAAGGCGTGACGCGATCGACCGAGCTGACGGACGTTCGAATCCTGGATAGTGTTCGAAACTTGCACGGATCAGTTTGGATAGCAGTGCATGATCATCGAAAGATCTCCGAGGGCGAAGAATCCGGTGAAAGAGGATATCTGGAAATGTGCAGAAGAAACCTAGATACTCAGTCTCGCCTCTTCGCAGGTGCAGGTGAGGCCCCCACATTCATCTGCAGCCGTAGCTGGCATGGTCATGGTCATTCATCTACAATAAGCTGACTCGATATAAGTTACATGGTACAGAGCGAAAGCGATACTTATACACAGAAGGGCGAGATCCCGCATGCACGCAATGGTTGCCTCACCCAAAACACCACGACTTATCGAAGCGCAATTCTCGTCAAAGCTCAAGGAATGAGAAACAGTGAGTGCCTCAAGCCTCCTTCGCGCCCTTCACCCTCCCGACCTTCGCCGCCTTGCGAAGCGCTTCCACCTCCGCCCGGATCCGCGGATCGCGCGAAGGAACGCTGCCCTCGAGCCATGGTGGCACAGTGATTCGCCCGATGCGACGACCGGTGTCGGAAAGATGCGCGTTATGGTCGTCGTGTTCGGCCGCGAGGGCTTGAGCCTCATCGAGCCCAGCTGCATCACCGGCCGAACTATGCGCTGAGCTCCCGGCATCCGCGGCTGCTGCAATATTCTGTTCGTGACGATGGGGACTCGAGGGCCCCGTCTTCGGAGGCAAGAGCGCAAAAGGTGGTAGTGTAGAAGACGATGCATCATCTGTTGACGCAATCGCTTCGCTAGCCGCAGTGACAGGTGCCGGCGAGGATGCGCCTTCAGCACTTGCTTGCGCCATCGATGGTACAGTTGGTGGCAAAGTCAATGCCATCTGAGGCGATGGTGAGCGCGAGGGATGTTGATGCAGCGACGAAGAAGGGGATTTTGCCTCCGGCTTGGCGTCGGGTGTCGAAGGACTAGCGATAGACGGCGGTCGAGACCGAGCTGTAGGGGTCGAAGGTGACGGCGACGAAGCTGCCTGAAGTACAGGAGACGCTGGTGGAGACGGCGAGACCTCAGGCGAGCTCGCCGCCTCTGCTCCAGCTGGATCGGCGCCTAAAGATTCATGAGTTTCATGTTCACAACGTGATAAAAGCACGCACCCTCCTCCACTTCGCTCTCCTCCCCGTCAGCTTCTCGTGCCTCCTCACGCCCATGCACATCATACACATCATGCACGCGTCCCTCCGCTTCATGACCGCTGGTTTCTTCCTGCTCCAACCCCTCCTCCTCTACCTCATCGCACAGCCACTTCTTCTCTTCCTCTCCCTTGCCCCCCTCCTCACCCTTATCCCCCACCACCCCCTCCTCCCCATCCACCGTCGACATCGAGATCACCGACGCTGCATAGAACATCTTTACCGGCCCCTCCGTGCTCGGCACGCGCAGGATCGGCACAGGCACCGCGCGCTCGTGGGGTGTGTGCGGCGGGACGGGTGGCGAGCGCGGACCTTGTACATTGAGGGGAATATCGCCGAGGGACGGGATCCCAGCGAGAGAGGGAAGATTGGGAAGCGGCGGAACGGGCGGGATCCCGCTGGGTGCTTGCGGGATGCGGGAGGAGGCAGAGGAGGGTAGCTTGCGCGGTGACGAGGAAGATGATGGCAGTCGACGAGGGGAGGAGGTTGACGGCAGCGGCGCGCGGTGTGCTGAGCGGCCGATGCGCGAAGTCGAGGGCGAAGCAGAGGGGTCCGCCGCACGCCGCGATGGTTCTCTTCGAGGAGATTCGCCACCCCTAGCGACCTTCGTTGGGGACTTGCTTGCTCTTCTCAGCGACCCCTCGCCCATCTTTGTCGGCGATTCGCTGCCTACTCTCCTAGGTGATCCGCCAGCGACCCTCTTTGGCGAATCGCCAGTCGCCCTCGTCGGCGACGCTGGCACCGCCGTGCTCGCATTCCAGCGCGGCAGCTTCCTCGCAGGTGAGAGCGCAGCGGCACGGTCTGGAGGCGATACTCGCGCAGTCACCGGCGTCTTGGGTGTTGCAGGAGCTGCCTTCGGTATCCTCGATCCCGACGCGGGCGTTCGCGGGGTTGTTGGCAGCTTCGTTGGCGTCGCTGACTGCTTCGTAGGCGTCGCTATCTGCTTGGTAGGTGATGCAGAAGTACGAGGAGTTCGTGGAGTGACTGGCGGTCCTTGCGATGCACCTCTCGGCGTCGATGGAGGGATACGCGACGCAGGTGGTGTTGGTTTCGACGCGGGAGTCTGCGAGCGAGTGGACGAAGCTGGCGTACGAGGTCGAGAGCCTGCACGCGACCCTCGGGTGGTAGAGGGAGCGCGAGGAGCGCGAGATGTTGCGACGCGCTTCTCCGTCAATGATATCGGCGGTGCGAGCACACGGGCCGCAGGCGGCGTAGATGTCGACCTTGAGGAATGTGTACCTGACGCCGCGCGCGTACCCGCCGGAAGCGTCGGTCGCGCAACGGAGGGTGAACGCTTGGCGGAGGTTGACCGCTTCACGGAGGCCGAGCTCACAGGCGTCGACCTCTCCCCTGTCGAGTATGTTGACAGATACGGCGGGCTATGCACCTTGCGCACCACAAAAGCCGGCTTCGGGGAGCGCACGGCGGATGCAGAAACGGAGCGCGTACCGGAGGGTAGAGAAGATCGTGTTGCCGTCGCGCGAGACGGACGACCTGCGGATGAGTGCGAAGGCCGCGAGAGGGAGGTAGAGCGCGCGGAGGCGGACGACTTCCGCGCCGTCGGCGTCGATCTCGAGGTCGACGGTGCTCGACGATGCCTCGTCGAAGGTCCCACGCTGGCGGAGGATGTCGAAGCTTCGCCTTTTCGAGAATCGGCATCTCCTCCCCGCGCGTCGGTATGTCCTCCTTCCTGCTGCTCTTCTTCGTCCTCCCCGAAGTGCTTCGTCACGAGGAATAGAGGGCGTAGGAGGGGCGGCTGGCTGAGGCGCTTGTCCTCGCGTTTGCTGATGAACATGCGCGTATCGCAGAAGCCGTTATTCCGCCCTGTACACGTGACTCCATGTGTTCCAAACAAACCCGTTGCCGAGAAGCCGAGAGGCCTCACGTCGTCACGCAGCAAAGTCCCGCGAAGTCGCCACCGCGTCAAGGGCAAAGGTATTGGTTTAGTAAGGGGGTGTAGACTGCTTTATTGACTCTTATAAAATCATATGTACTTTCAAAGGAAGCTTTAGTAGTACAGGAGGAGACCCTAACTAGACAATCAGGGTATTGCCACCCGCCATTCAAGTTGGCTCTCAATTGTGGCACCGGGAAGGCGCGCCACTGTATGTAATCGCAGGTAAAGGTTGATTGAATGACAGATAGTCTACCGACAGTATACACTGTACTACGCTCGCCAGTGGCCGACCGTCAGCACGATCTGAAGGGGGCAGGGAAGCCACTTGAAGCAGCCACCCAACGTCAATGATGGGAAAGGTCCATGACCATGCGTATAGTACACCTGTATCAATAATGTAGATGACGGGGGCCTCCCGTCGTGGACGAGCGCGGGTACGCGGGGAGTGGCGGGGCATGGCGAGAGGGTAAGAGAATGCGAGGACGGCGTTTGCGCTACGCGCTGTCACAGATTGATGCGGAACGGAAATCTCCGAGAACGTAGGGTCACGTGTACAGGGCGGAATAACAAGATCTGCGTATCGCTCTGGCGCGACTTGTGCGTGCGCGAGCGCGCGCCGCGCGGGGCGGCCTCTGAGGAGGCGCGGCGACGAAGCATACCGCAGACAAAACCGGAGAGGTGTTGAGGTTATACGAAGATCTTGATGGTCGAAGGGAGACTGAAGGAAGTATCGAGAATGGAAGAAGAATGGGTCGTTGCGTTCGTGCTGGTGTCGTGTTCTTGGAGTATTCGTGATCGAGGCGTGTTTGAGCCTATGTAAGACGTGTCGTGGGTGTTTGAAGGGACGGCCAGGTGCACCTCTCGTGAATATCGCGCTCCGAGACGTGCTCAGTCGATGCGAACGCTGCGCGTCTCACTTCGTCACCAGCTAAAGGCACATCGCGGTCAGAGTCGTACGCGTTGAAGAGAGCTGGACCACGCACCATATAGCGTCACGCTTAGCCAATATTCCAGAAGCCTGTCCTGTCAGCGCTACTGAGCGCGCCCGTTCCGGCGGTCGTGGCTCTGGTCAACCAGCGCTAAGTACCAACGCAGCATCCCCTCACGGCGCCACAAAGTCCGGCCCGCGGAATCGCTCCTTGTCCTTCGCCGCTCATGTTCGAATCTCGCGCAACGGTATGTCGGCAGTAGCTTCGCTTGATCTGGGCGGTCGGAGCTATATAGGAGGCGTATACTCATTGGGCTGTGGTTGTGGTGAAGACAGACAGACAGCAAGAACGTCCAGAACTAAGAACCACCGTGCTTGAAGTCGACTCGGAGACCACGCTTGATCAGCACACTAATCATTTACATAACAGCCGTGCCAGTGTGGACAACTGCGAAGAATGCTCTGCTAAGTATATCAGTATCTGCTAGAACCTGACGCACAATCGTCCGGAAACCCGCGCATATAACTTATGAACATCGCGTCGATGCGCCATCCAACAACAATGTCGGGAGTTCCACTCGTTTCGTGAGTACATATCGGGCGCTCTGTTCGCCTGAGATGAGCTTTACATTCACACAGCTCTGCAATCCTTTTGAGCGCGTAGAGGGTCATGTCTATGGATGAGAGGCAAGCCCGACCGCGGAAGCAAAAGCAAATCGGCAACTGCCGGATTAAGTGCCGGGCGCCTAATTGGTTGACCGCTTGTTGACGACGAACCGCCATTATCGCTGCCGTGAGGATCTTGCATTCGGGGACCTGAAGTGAGTAACTTGCCCTTTGATACTATTGTAGTTGACCTACTAGCAATCGAAGGCTCAAGCTCCGATTCTTTTTAAGCTCGGCGCGGCCTCTCGATATTCACACCGCCGTGCATCCAAGATCCCTGGCCTTTAAATCGACATCCCCCTTCTTTCCAGATCTATGGAAAGATATGACCCGATAGTGAATACTTCCTTGTCTTCGCTCAAGATTATACAATCGTCGATCAGCGCCGCGACCCGAACATCTCCAGCTCGCTGCCTCGAGAAACCGCTGGACTGTCTTCGTTGTTCTGCCCACCTACTTCTCCTGTCTTCGGCCTCTATAGCCTTATTACTCACCATCGTCGCACTGCCGTACGCCACAGCACCAGATCCGACATCAGTCCCAAATGTCAACACAATTCCCAACGCCCGAGTCGACGAGATAACGTACTGCAATCCGCCTCGAGGTAAGCATTCCTGATTGATTTCAGAGGTCCCTTGACCGCCCTGGACCTCACCGCCGCACGCAGTCAGTGCGCCGTTCTGCGATGCTCCACAGTAGAACCAGCGGGTTCGATATCCTCACTCGTCAAGCGGTCCCTTGGGTATGGGCTTCGATCTAAGACACCTTGTAGACGACGCACTAACTCAGATTCATATTGGCTTTCTGCTCGCCATCGCGGCACACCACACCTCCAGCACGTTCACTTACTTATGGCGCAGACAGACTCTTGTCCCAAGGGGCGAACATTTGCCTGCGTGGAGGAGCTCTACACTTCGAAGTCCATAAACTCAATTACAATACACAGGTCTGTCTCTACTAGCTGAAGCGTGCGCATCTAGATCCTGTATGTTCACAGACAAGCGCCATCCGCCCATATTATATCTTCGACTGCTCCTCCGTCTTCTCCGCAAACGGATAGTCCGTGTATCCGGTCGGGCTCGCGTCGCCCTGCAAGTAGAACGTGTCGCGGTTGTACTCCGTCAACGGGATGTTGTGCCGCCAGCGCAGCGGCAAGTCCGGGTTCGAGATGAAGTACCGTCCAACCGCGATGATGTCCCCCTTCTCCTCCGCCGTCTTGATCGCCACGTCCCTCGTGTACGCGCCCGCGGAGATGAACGGCTTCGGAGCCCACAACTCGCGGAGGAAATCATTCGACTCGTGCGCCTCAATGTCCTCATCCGCACGCGTCATATTCCCCTGCACGCGCGGCTCGACGAGGTGGAGGTAGGCAAAGTCGGGGTGGCGCTTCTTGATCTCGTTGGCAAAGTGAGTGAATTGGGGGATGGGGTCCTTCATGCGCATGTCTGGGATGGATGTTAGGGAGTAGGGAGGAGGGAGGAGGACAGATACGCACCTTGGAACTTGCCCCAGGGACTGAGGCGGATGCCAACTTTGGACGCGCCGACAGCCTTGACGACGGCATCGATGACCTCGAGGCCGAAGCGCGAGCGGTTCTCGATCGACCCGCCGTACTCGTCCGTGCGCGTGTTCGACACGTCTTGCTGTAGAACAGGTCAGTCTCCGATCGCTCTTCGTATGTACTCCCGCGCGCACCAAGAACTGATCAACGAGGTAGCCGTTCGCGCCGTGGATCTCGACGCCATCAAAGCCAGCGCGCTCAACAGCGTTCCTCGCAGCAGTCGCGTACCACTCCGCATACTGCTTGATCTCGGGGATCGTGAGGGCGCGCGGGGTCTCCTCGTGGTCGCTGAGCTTGATCGCGGAGGGGGCGACATAGTCAAAGGACGGATCCTCCTCCTTCAACTCGCTCGCCGCCGCGGCGCGTCCGAGTGCCCACAGTTGGAGGTAGATGAAGGATCCCTTGGCGTGTACAGAGTCCGTGACCTGTCGACAAGTAAGTTCAATCGCTCAGCGCCAGATCGCGGTGCACGCACCTCTTTCCACTTGCTGATCTGCTCATCGCTCCAGATACCTGGCGCATGCGCGTACCCGCCAGCCTGCGGGGAGATGAAGGTCGCCTCGCTGATGAGGAGCGTCCCAGGGGTGCTCCCGCGCTGTGCGTAGTACTCCTTCACGTTGGGCAGGGCGGCGTGCCCGAACTTCGTATGGCGAAAGCGCGTCAAGGGAGCGAGGACGACGTGGTGGGCGAGCGTCAGATCGCCAACCTTGACGGGCTGGAAGAGCTTGGGGATCGCCGCGGATGACATGGTGTCTGTAGGGCAAGGTGGGGGGAGGAAGAGAGATAGCTGTGGTACGTCTGCTCCCATCGTCCCGCCTTTATACTATCGCGCTCCGCGCGATGATGACGAGCTAGCTTTATCATCACCGTCGTCGAAGGCTGAGGAAGCAAGCGCCAGTCTCACCAACTTGCCTCCGCGCGGAATAACATTGACCGGCTAATGCCGGCCCGTCCTCGATGTCTCAGATCCGTCTCGCGTGGCGCGCCATTCTTATCCATCCCTTTGTTCCCCCCCATTCCGTCCGCGGTAGGCGGCTTGGAAACCGCCTTTGGAGGAAGTCTTCGTTGGCATGGCAGATGTCCCAGGACGCCTCACTCGACCTTCCCGGACGCCAACCCCCCATCCGATGCCGTGCGATTCGTAGAACAGGACATCTATCGGAATCGACCTCTGCTTAGCGACCATGCAACTCGTACTGGCCTCTTGGCCTCCGACTACTATAGACCCGCACTACCGCTCCTTCCTCAACCCCATCAAGCGCTTTCTATCACTCCCCAAAATCTGCTGATTGATGCTGAGCAAGCTCGCGACTGTACATTCCGCCTTCGCCCATTCGACGCTCATAGAGTTCAATTTCTTGAGGTGAAGTAATGGCACTCGACGTTTGACTCTTGAGACGCTTCGCCGCCTTGGCGCCTCCCTTTTGACGATATGCCGACCCTTTCCATGCGCTTGTTTACCATTGTTGCTGATTGGACCAGTCAATTCAGGACCGAGATTATGCGCGACGATTTGCGTTGCGTTTCGTACGAGCATCTCCACATCCTTGACTGATCTCGAGAGTGAGATGTTCACGCAGCGAAGCGCCCATTGATATCCTCTGCGGTGAATGAATACGCGCTATACCCTCCTTCGTGTTGCTATCCAGCGCATGACCGCCGCCTGATCCACGACCGCGAGTTCCACGTTCGACTTCTCCTATCTTCTGGCGCGGTCGGATATAAGAGTTGTGTGTGAGTACTGCTTCCTATTCACTGCCATTGCCGAGTCGGATCCTTTGACTCGCATTAACGCTCTTCTCAGTCAGCGCTCAGACAGTCGCTCGTGTCTGTGTCTTAGTCATAGCGTTTGCTCTGAAGGGTACGTGTCTTCATTCGCGTTATCCTGCCAACCAATTCACAGCTATACAGTACACTCCTCTTCAGAGTCCCCACTTCCCCGCTGCCTGCGCCGTAAACGGATAGTCGGTGTATCCCGTTGGGCTCGCGTCACCCCTGAGGTAGAACGTGTCGCGGTTGTACTCCGTGAGCGGGAGGTTCTGCCGCCAGCGCAACGGCAGGTCTGGGTTGGAGATGAAGTATCGCCCAACCGCAATAATGTCGCCCTTCTCCTCCGCCGTCTTGATCGCCGTCTCTCGCGTGTACGCGCCAGCGGAGATGAACGGCTTTGGCGCCCAGATCGCCCGCAGAAAGTCGTTCGACTCGCCCGCCTCGATGTCCTCGGCGTGACGCGACATGTACCCCTCCGCGCGCGGTTCAATGAGGTGGAGGTAGGCGAGGTCGGGGTGGCGCGCCCTGAGCTCAGTGACGAAGTGAGTGAACTGAGGGGCGGGGTCCTTCATGCGCATGTCTATGCGCAGGTCAGGGTGGTGGAGTTGGAGCGAATAGGCAGGTATACGCACCTTGGAACCTGGACCACGGGCTGAGCCGGATGCCGACCTTGGACGCACCGACAGCTTGCACAACCGCGGCCGTGACCTCAAGACCGAAGCGCGAGCGATTCTCGATCGAGCCGCCGTATTCGTCCGTCCGCTTGTTTGACACGTCTTGCTGCAGGAAAGGTGAGCTTCAATTGCTTCTCAACACTTGCCGCACGCACCAGAAACTGATCGACGAGATAGCCATTTGCACCGTGGATCTCGACGCCGTCGAAGCCTGCGCGCTCTACTGCGTTGCGCGCCGCGATCGCATACCACTGCACATACTGCTTGATCTCGGGTACACAGAGTGGGCGCGGAATATCGTCGTGGCCGGTAAGCTGGACCGCGGATGGTGCAATGTACTCGTAAGACGGGTCATCCTCCTTCAGCTCGCTCGTCACCGCCGTGCGGCCGAGCGCCCATAGTTGGAGGAAGATGAAGGAGCCCTTAGCGTGGACGGCGTCCGTGACCTGCCAACAACTCGTGAGTATGATCAAGGTGCGAAGAACTTCTCCGCACGCACCTCCTTCCACTTGCTAATTTGCTCGTCGCTCCAGATTCCCGGTGCGTGAATGTACCCGCCTGCTTGCGGCGAGTTGAGGGTCGCCTCAGAGATGAGGAGCGTGCCAGGCGTGCTCGCCCGCTGCGCGTAGTACTCCTTCACGATCGGAAGTGCGATGTGGTCCGTCTTGGTATGGCGGAACCGCGTGAGCGGCGCAAGCGCGATACGATGAGCAAGCGTCAGCTCGCCGACCTTCACTGGCTGGAAGAGACGAGGGATTGTCGAGGCAGCCATGGTCAATGCAGGGCGGGACGATGAGGCGTTGGGTGAGTCTCTCTCGACCGGCCAGCTTCCTTTAAGTACCCTGCTTGAGATGACCCCATGCGTGATGACAGGATCGGTCCTTCATCACGGTTGCTAGAAGGTGATGGGAGCAGGGGTATACGCAGGCCTCGAGGGCCGTCTGGCTTCCGCGCGATGCGCCCAAGAACAGACCAGCTACCGTCCGCAACCCATGTTCCAGGTCCGGCTTCACATGGGGCGCCGTGGAATGGATCATTTCTCACCTATGTACTTTGCGGAGGAAGCCTCGGGCATCGTTGCATGCATTCCCCGGAGCCACGTCGAGCGCGTTGCTCTACCCACCAGGCGCCTTTCCCGCGTCCGATCTCAACCGTGGGATTCCATGGACGGGCATTTTGCCGCTCGAATCATACCCTGTCTGCATTGCGGGTAGCTACCGCAGTGATTCTCATACCAACTTCTTACTATACCCTGTCGCTTCCTCTCCCGCCCTATCAGTCTCTCTTTCAGTTCATCCACCCTAGCAGATCGTCGCATCCATCCTCCGAGTCGCGATGAGCGTTTATCCAGTGATACTAGGCTCTCCGAGTGGGTCCAAGCCCAATGCATCCTGCAGAACTCCTACACGTCCTGCGCAATTCCTATCTGCTTCGTGCGCCTCCCGTTGAGATTGAGAGATTCTGCGTAAGCAAAGTCTGTTTCGAGCGTTTATTACTGTCGCTAACGCCTTCCTTGTAATCATAGGGCATGTCATTCAAATTTAATGCTTAATCAAGAGATTTCCCGTGGAATATACCAAGTCTCATCTGCGCCTTTCTCGCTCGCAACGAGTGAAGTACAGATATCGCGAGTGAAGTTGCAGCCCCTTGAGCTCTTCTTCCAACAGTTTCCGATCCCCCTCGTTCTCCCAGAGCTTGCCGAATAAATATTGCTCCGTATCTCCTACGCGCCCCTCGCCGTCAATCTCGCCTCTGAGGATAGCCAGTCGTCGCTCGTAAGCCTGCTTCTTGCACTTGAGAGTCTCAATCTTGTTGAGTTTGCGTTGTATGTCGTCCTCCGTATTCTCAATGTCGGACTCGAGTGAACTAGACGCATCGGTGGCGCGCGCGCTCGCCGCATGCTCGGATGGACCGGGCGTGCGAGCTCGGCGTTCTTGATGTGCTAGTCTACGCGGGGGATGGTCTGCGATTGTCTGGCGGGTCGGACCGTGTGTCGAAGGCGCTGGTGTCGATGGCGCTCGGCGTCTGCGTGTTAATGCCGGATCGCTCCTGGCTTGATTCAGCGGGTTCTCACTCGCTATCGCAGCGCTCGATTTGGCGTTCGGCATAGCTCCATTGCCCGTCAAGGTGGCACGAGAGGCTGAGTCTGAAGTAGCAGACTTGCCCGCGTGGCGTGAAGAGGTAGACGGAGCGGATTTCTGTGCTCGGTCGTGAGAATAAGCTCTATTAGCGAATGGGTTCGTCGTCGCCAGGGCTGGATAAGAGGATTTCTTGCCACGCGAACGGACCGAGCCCGAGGACGGCTTTGCTTGATCGCTCCCGCGTGAAAAGACATGCTGAGCAGGCTTCCCTGCCACGTCGTGAGAGGACACGATCGGAGCAGAACGCTTCCCCGCCTCGTCGCGCGTGGAGGAGGCCCGTGCGCCTTGTACTCTGTCAAGCGAGGAGAGTTGCTGAGAAGACTGGACCACGGCCTTGCGGTTCTGGGGAGTCGCGTTGCGCGCCGAGGAGATCGCAGGCTTCTTTGCTACGCGGAGCGGATCGACGTCGGCCTTGAAGACTTGCCTATGCTTGTCCTTGAATTGTTCGAACCCCTCGCACAAGATGCGCAGACTGGCTTTCGAAGTCTCCAGCTCCGCGGCAGAGTTCATCATGTCCATCTCGTTCTCCTGGAGCTCCATCTTCAGCACGAGCTCGCTGTCTCCTGGGTGTACCTCGCCGTCAGCTTCGCCGCGTACAGCCTCAAGTCGTCGCTTGTAGAACTCCCTCTGCCGATCGAGGGTAGCGACTTCTTGGGTGGCGCGCTGGATCACGTCGTGCAACTCGCGTATTTGAACCATGCGCTTAGCGGCTTCACTTGCGAGATCCGCGGGAAGCGGAGGTGGAGCCTTGTGAACAGCGAAGGGTGACGGTTCCGGAGGTCGTGAGCGCCTGCGGATCGCAGCGGTGCTGCGCGCAGGTGTCGCCGCTGAGCTGACATCCTGGGGCTTCTCCGCCTTGTCGCGCGAAGACAATAAGCCAGCGGAGTTCTTGTAGACGTCGGCAGAATCACTGGCAGCAGGAGTAATCGACTTGTTCCCTTTGCCGCGCGGGGAGATATCCTTGATCTTGCGATAGACAAGCGGCGTATATGTTGCGTAGTTCGGCGGGTCGCGTGAGGGAGCTTCTTCAATAGACTGCTTCTCTGTACCGTCCGAAGAGCTAAGATCAGAGGTCTTCTCTTTGATGTAGCGCGAGGGCTTAAGCTCGTCGCAATTCGTGCGCGATATGTTGATCTCGCGGGAGGCGAGTGGCGTCTTGAATGCGGAATACGGAGGTGGCGCCTCGGCTTGCTCATCGCGGGGGCACTGCTGGCGAGGTGAACAGTAGATAGGCTTGAAGTAAGGAGTGATGGCTGGCGATCTGTATAGTGTGCTCAAAGCAAAGGCGCGCGCTACAACGAGGGTCAGTGAAGCACTAGTCATCATTGAATGGTCAGACGTACCTATCTGGGTTGTCGGAAATGCGAACTCGACCGTTCGGGAGCTGATCACTCGCATTTGTACGTCGGTACTGCTACGAATCAGAAGGATTTACACGTCGAGAGAAAAGGAAAACGCACTGCAATAGCACCCCATAGCTCGCCAACTTATTGATCATGACGGCTGCAATCTGATCCATCTTCTCGTGGAATTCGAGCTGCGTGGGGTGGGGTAAGTGAACTGGCTGAGTGGCGTTCTGTTCGTAGGATGCACTCACCGTGACTCGAACGATCGAGCAGTCGTATACTTCGACGACGAAGCCAGCGCCGGTACGGTCGAGGTCCTTGCGATGAAGAGCCGCAAGGGCAGCGTCAGTCGTCGAGAATGTCGCGTAGAAGAGCTTGGCGCTCTGACTTGAGGGGATGATGCGATCGTAGTAGGGCTTGAGGCGAGCCCTGACGTCGTCCTCCGTCGGCCTCAGCTTCCCCTGTACGGGGTGCGGGCAGACCACGGCAATAGCCGCGCACCCGTCTATGTCGGACTCTTTCAGTTCGCTGAGAGTATCCGCCGTATACCACACGGCCGACGTCCGATGCGCTGCACAGCAAACAAAAGCCTTGTCAGTGCGTCGCATTGACCAAAAGAATGGCCCACGCACCATCATACTCGTCCTTGAAGTGAAGACAGAACTGCGTCGATACGCCACTGCCAAGGTGGCTACCAAACCGTGTGAGATGACGGAGGACCATATATGCGCCAGAGAGCTCTCGATAGGGTCTCCCATAGAGGTGGCGGTGGATGAGGCTGGAGTGGGCTTCTTCTCTACGGTTGTTGCAGAAGTCCTTCTTCCAGCCAGGGGCGCCAGCAAAGATCGGGGCAGGTGTGTCGTGGACCGTATGCGCAGGCCGCTCCATCGGCATATCCAGCTCCTCCACATCCGAGAACCGATCCATTGAGAAAAAGAGCGTGGAAGTAGAAGCAGAAAATGAGGATGTAGACGATCGCAGTCAACAAACTGCCAGCTGTATTTAAGGTCCCCGTCGAGCAAGGAGGGCGCTTTGCCGGCGGTCTGGCATGCATGCAAGAGTATGTTGTCATACACAAAACACAAGCAGCGTTTGCGGCGTAGTTCTTGTATGGTCAGCGCGCTGTGACCTGCGCCCTCCAATCAGCGCTGAGCTTTTATCAAAGACCTCAGTAGGCACTCAACCTTGGTATGACTGCGAGCCATGGTAGAAGGTCAGAAGCTCACCCAGTAGAGGATCGTTTTCTCTTCCGACACGTTCAAACCATGCGACCGTCATGCGGCCATCCTCGTCGAACAGCGCGGATTCAAACGCATCGAAGAGTCGAAGTGAGGCAGAGGGGGAGACACCTCACGATAATAGGGAGGATGGTATATTCGACTGATGCATCTCAAACATAAGACGGCGAGCGTGAATCGTGCATGCTGTCGTTGTCGATGTCCCGGATAGAAGAACGTGAGCACAAGGAAGACCATCATTAGCCGTCTCTGTAAGTATTCGCGACGCAGTGACTGGATACAAGACTAGAATTCACAGTACACGGGGGAGTGCAGGTGGTGATGGTAGAAAGCAAGAGCTGAGAAATTACCGGATTTGGCTGTAAGCTTCTGTCGCCGCACCACGTGGCAGGTGGTTTCGGCTGTTCCCGACGCCGGTTGGCGCGATGGATGTTGGACGAGCGTACTTAATATTATGTATTGCGATCTCTGCTTCGTCATATAGACGCTTTACGGTAGCTATCGGCTAAACTTCAGTCTATATCGTAGGGCTGCCAGTCTCCAAGTTATCCAATCGCATCGCTCGATGAACGTGGTCCTTAACCTGCTTCCTTCCCTCCAGACGTCACCCCATCCCCGGCCATGGCCTTCTCCAGCTCTATTGTCATGTCCGAGCCTCCGGATGTGCTCTCTGCCTTCGTCGCGCGCTCAACTGGACCATCCGAGGCTTCCAAGCGGCCCTTCGAGTACGCTTTCAAAGCGCCGCTATCAAGGTGCCGCGACGTCGCAGTAGGACCGGCGCTCGAAATGGCTGGTGCTCGTCGAGAGGAGAGTACTGCCCCACCTCTCTCCACGTCTGCTGCAGCGCCCCCTCTGCACTTCGCACCCGCTCCAAATCTCACGAGCACTGGCCGCACGCAAATCAGCGCCATCGACAGCGCGGCCGCCTCGGGCGCGCAGTCAACGAAGAGGTACCAGGCGGGGTGCCCCAGCGCGTACGTGATTTGAAGGAGAACGACGGCGAAGCTGGGTAGGTGGCGCGCTAGCCGAAGGACCGACTGAGCAACGAGGCAAAGGGGCATCGGGGAATGAGATCGATGAGACCGAGGAAAACTGCGAAGCCAAAAGCACGCGTTTGATGGAAGAATGCGAGGCCGAGGTTATGAAAGAAGCGCAGAATGAGAACGATGACTCACGTGTAGCACGCCGCACCCTCGACGAAGGCGATGATGACGCCCTAGATGAAAAAGTTAGCCATGAGATCCAACTCGAAGCGCACGCGCAGGCGTTATCGAAGCCGTCGGACATAATCCTCGGGCAAGACCGCCAAAGGTAAAGCGCATCCAAGGTAGAACTCACGGAAAGGGACGCGCCAGACACCTGCGGCGAGCGCCTGCGCATGCTCCAGAGGCGGAACACAATCATGGCTGTGAGGGTCGGTGAGCTGACTGCCACGTTCGAACATACCGAGAGTGCCGATGAGTATATACGCACCTGTGCAGTATACGTTCGTGCTGAAGAGGCGGAGAAGTGCAGTTGAGGACGAGTCGAAGCCCGTAGAGGACGTAAAGACATATAGTCGAGGACGCGGGGAAGCATGGTGATCAAGGTCAAAGCGAAGCGCGGTAGAAGACGTGTAGGAATGGAGTGGATCAATATATATGTCACAGCGCACCCTCGGCGACTCACCATATCGCGCACGCCGTGTTGGCGGTCTTCCATGCCTGAATAGCGCGCTGCTCGTCGGGAACGAGGTGCAAGAACTGTGGGTTGTGTGGCAGCTGGTCAAGGGATGAGCGTTCGGGAAAGCAGGCGCGAGAAGGCGGAGAATGTCGAGAGGGATCCGAGCTCGAGCAGAGCCTCAGAGGTGGTCGAGAAATGCATTGGCATGATAGGGTGATCAAATCCGGCATGTTGCCGGCGCACCAGCTGTACATTACACATGCCGCCAATGGAAGTTACTAGAAGAGCGTTGAGCCGGGCGCTTCGTGAGGGTATGAAAGTATACCGAGAAGGCCCGAGAGCGTGATCGCGGGTACGATCAGGACGGATTTCCGCTTCTCCCAGACACAGTAGAGGCGCCAGATCTAGGGCAAGAGTATGTCAAAAGATAGCGTCAGGACGAGAAGCAGAACCATGATATGACGAGGAGATGTGAAGCGTCGAGGATTCAGAGCGATGCCAAAGGGTGTAGCTTTTGAGAGACAAAGGAGTTCTCACCATGAACACGTCGGCAATGATCATCGTCGCGAACTTGAAGATACTGAGCGCAAAGAGGATGCGGTCGGTCGTGTCAGAGAAGTATACGGTGGCGTCCATACCACCGCGCCAAGACACGAATCCCTCAAATATGCGGACGAATGAGGTGATCCAGTGCTATGATGAGATGCGTCAAAGTAGGCAAAGACTCGACCAATGCACGTACTGCAGTCACCACCAGAGCGAAGAGCACATTGGCGTACCAATTGAGTATGGCCGAGCGCGCTTTGGATGCTGCGGCGTGCGGGGACGGAAAACGATATTCGAGGTATACGATGAGAGCGGTGAGCGTGAGGTAGACGCCATAGAACAGCGTCTGAACGCCGAAGGCAGCGAGCTTCATTTGTGCGGGGAGGCCGTTGCTCCCAGCCATCGAGTCGGGAACTCTCTAGAAGTAGGATGCGGTGCCAGCTCTTGCCTCGTCCAAGGTCTTATATGCCCCCAAGATTATTCGCCGAAAGCCGCAGCAGACCGTGATTGGAGAATGCGGAGGAGCACTTCGTACGTAGCTCGACTGCTTGAGTATAAGGACCTTGATGATCGACACCGGATAATGAGGCTGAGCACCATCTGTCTCCATCCGCATATCAATCGTCGAATAGTATCGCCCCGCTATGTGGCGCACGTCCGAAGGGCTGTGTTCATATAGGGCTTTGAATGTCGCGGGCCAAAGTGAAGGGCGTGAGAGTCTGTGCAGAAGCAATTGAGAGGGACAGCGCCAATGTTGAGACGCCCCATGGGCGCGCATAGCAGCATCTGATGGGCGGCGGAGAACACGCGAGTGGCGACGGAAGTTGCCGAACTCGGAAGTAATTTTGCTCCCGTACCACGTGGTAAATGTCCTCGGCTGTTTCCGGTGGATATTCGCAACTCCTGTCCTGCTTGAAACCGCGGTATGTAGGCAAATTGCAGGCCGTATATTGCCTCCTCATCTGATCCCACAAGGAGAGGCTTAATCCTGTATTGGATAGACTCATGGGTGCGACGCCTTGATCGCGGACCGATAGTCTATTCGAAGTAAAATCGTGCGAATGCCGCGGCGCTTCATTCGGTTCACAGGCAGTTGCGTGAGAACCGTCGGAAAAGTACGCTTCTTTCTAGCCATCATGAGCCGCAGAGGCCAACTGTTTGTCTTTACTCACTACGACAAGCGCAGCAAGCGCGAGATAGCCCTCGAACGCGAGTGGGTGAAGAAACATTATGGGGAAAGTACGTAGGCCGTTATGTAGTAGAACATGCTGTCCGATCTCCTCTGATCTTCCCTCAGCGCTCCCTGTGCCTCCAGAGATTGTGACCTTCAGGTCTGGCGAAGGCGGCCTGTTCAAAAGTCACTACAGCAATCTGCGCGGAGTACTTTACTGGAAGTGGCGCGCTGCGCCTCCTGGCACGATCATCGATCTCCCCGAGGACACCTATACAACCAACCTGCTCTTCAACGATATCATTCGTCGCGGCCCGGTGAGCCTTGACGACGAACCCATCGAGGGCGTATGCGCCTTAGCCGAAATGAGCGCGAAGTACGATCTGGATTACATTACGTTTCATTGCCACCTTCACATGGAGTGCGTGCACCATTACTTCTTCGAACAATAGCTGATCACTCGATTAGTGCTCATAAGGAAGAGTATCCGCTGGAGATTGCTGCGTACGCCCACAAGAATGGCCACTCCAAACTGCTGGACCTTTTCGCGCCTTTCATGATTGCAAAGACACCGAACGAAGTACGCAACAAGTTCCCGCCGGTCCTGTTTACGGCCTGGGTGCGTCTACTCCCCTATCTTGTATCCCACGGCTCTATTCCATGCTGACACACGCCGCGATCAGACTGAGTACGTCAATGCTTGGCGAGGCATTATCGAGGGACCAGGCTCGTGCAGCTACTCGAAGAACCAGGTCGTCATCTCGGACTTCCCGAACGGCAACTTGTCGTTCGATCACGACAAAGATAGCTGTGAGGCCATGGCGAGCATCGAGTCCGCCATTTATCGCACCATCGCGAAGCATGGTGTCGCGCTCTTGCTCAATCTAGAAGAGCTGAAGGAGGAGCTGGAGGAGATCGCGGGCAGGTGCACACACGAGAAAAGGTCCGTTCTTGAATCGAAAGTAGCGTGTGCAGCCATGGTAGAAGCGTGGATCTCACAAGTCGAGGAGAGAAAGTCAGCGGCCCCGTTTTCTGACTTTGTCAATGCGGTCGAAGCGTCGCAGTGATTCTTGGATATCTCAAAGTGTTTTTCTCCATGTACTACCTGCTCAGATTTGTTGGAAACTATCTTGTACTACCACATCGCGCCTGTTACTGTCTACTCATGAAATAAAGCTTTCTCGTTCTTGTTCCCTGCGCTACCGGAAGGCAATGTCTGGTAACTGAGGATCAGTAGCTGACTCTCTGAGGCTCAGGTGCGCTACACGACTCGCCAGCGCCAATGCACGTAACGGACACCAGCATCCACGTAGCCAATCTCTGTATGATTGTTGCACAAGCTATGCCCCGTCAAACAATCTCATCTACACCTCCCTCGCCTCAACGGACATCAGCCCGCTTGCGCGACGTCGCAGAACCTCCAGTTTCCCCTCCGCCAGCTTCAGTTCCCCTTTGTTCTCCGTGAGCTTCGCAGACAAAGCTTTCTCCGTGTCCCCCGAGCGAAGAGAACCTTTCGCCTCGCCTTTGATGACGGCTAGTCGCTGCTCGTAGGACTTCCTCTTCAGCCGCAGGGAGTCTATCTTGCGAGAGCTGCGCTCGAGATCGCCTTGTGTCTTCTGGATGTCGTCTAGGAATGGATGGACCGCACTCGCGGGAGGAGCAGGGTCATTTCGGCGCGCGCTCGAGCTATGCCTTGAGTCAGAAGTGGCGCGAGGCCTAGCGCGCCGCTCGTGGTGTGCTTGGCTGTGCTTAGATTGAGGAGACGCCTTCTCGCCACTCTTTCCATGACCGGTCAGGGTCGGGGTCGATGGTCGTGAACACGTGCGCGAAGAGTTGCTTGTGGCATCCGCAAGTCTGACTTCCGCGGCTGGTCGTGCATCTCGTGGCTTGTCGTGTTTCTCGACTCTCTTGCGCGTTGAGGAAGAGCCAGCAGACTTGACGTCCAGGTCGTAGGAGGAGATAGATTGGACATACCGATCTGCGGCGTCGCGAGGATTCATCTTCTCCGCACGGTGTGAAGGAGCGAAGTCGGAAGACTTTCGTCCTTTGTCGCGCGAAGAGGCATGCTGAGTAGCTGTCCCTGCTTCGCTGCGCGCAGAGGCCGGTACAACGGGCTCTTCGGGTTTGGGGCTCGAGCAGGTTGCCGCGGAAGACGCCTTGCCTTTCCTGCGCAAGCTGCCGTACCTCTCCTCGGCCGCGTTACGCGAGGGCATCGAGATAGCAGGCTTCCGTTCCAAGCCCCCAGAAAGTGCGTCTTCGGACCGCTTGGACTCCTTGCGCGCAAAGCCACGGCCACCCTCCGATGCGTGGAGCTCCGCTGCGAAGGTCGTCGGATCGCTCTTGTCTTCGTGAAGCGTGGCCGTTGACCTCTGCTCGTTATCCTCTGGGCATGTCTCGCCATCGGCATGGTCTTGAACAACAGCTGGACGTTCTTCATAGACCTTCCTCTTCCCATCGAGGCTTGCGACTTCGTGAGTGGCGCTCTCAGCCGCGTCGCTCATGTCGGGTAGCTCGGTCAAGCGCGTGATAGCTTCCATTGCCAGATTAACCGGCGCCGGAGATGTGACTCGGCGGCGAACGGACGGTGTCGGCCCCAAAGGACGTGAGCGCCTACGCGCGGGCGCGATGCTATACGTAGGTGGGGCATCCGGGACGGTCCCGCGAGGGATCCCGGGCTTTTCCTCGACGTGAATAGACGTCTGATACAAGTCGACGGGAGCTCCTTCACTGTCGCGCGAAGGAGCGATAGCAGATTTGTCTGATTTCTCGCGTGAGGTAGGATCACCATAGGCCATGCGTGGTTTCTCCTTGATCTCTCGGAGAACAAGTGGCGTCCGCGTTGCGCTATAGAGCGGAGGTGCGTCAGCTCGCTGGTCAGACGAACTCTTCTTGACAGGTTGAGGTCTGATGAATCGAAAGGCCGGAATGACTGCTGGAGATCTATAGAGCGTGTTGAGAGCGAATGCGCGCCCTGGAGAAGAATTGAGCGCAGTATAAGATGAGGCGGATACTACGACATACCCAACTGAGGCTTTGGAAATGTGAATTCCACGGTCCGAGAGCTCATCGCCTTGAACTTGGCATCGATACTGCGAAGGGTTAGAGGCGGCTACGTCACAGACACCGGCAAGCGCACTTCAGTATCACTCCACATTCATCCAGCTTGTCAAACATCGCGGTCTCCACTTCGTGTTTCCTCTCGGACGATTCGAGCTGCCATAGGTATGCTTAGCGAGCGATAGATCGTGTACCACGAATCACTCACCGTAACCCAGACAGTGGCGCAGTCGTAGACTTCAACGACGAGTCCAGCGTCGGTCTTGGTCAGGTCGTTGCGATGCAGGGCCGCGACAGCGGCTTCGAGAGTCGAGAATGTCGCGTAAAAGAGCTTGGGGTTGTGCTTCGAGGCAATGACGCGATCATAGTAAGGCTCGAGCCGCGCCTTCACGTCGTCCTCGCTGGGCCGCAGCTTCCCCCGCATAGGGTGTGGGCACACTGCGGCGATGGCAACACACCCATCCATTTCGGCTTCTGTCAACTCGCTGAGGATATCCGCGGTGTACCACACGGCAGACGCTCGCTGAGCTGAATTGGACGAGGTTATATCAGTCTCTAATGCAGACCCCGAAACTGGCCCACGCACCGTCATGTTCGTCCTTGAAGAGCAGACATAACTGCGTTGAGACACCGCTTCCGAGATGAGTGCCAAACCTCGTAAGGTGCTGAAGGATCAGATAAGCGCCGGAGAGCTCCTCTCGGTAAGGTTTTCCGTAGACGTGTCGGTGAACGAGGCTACTGTGAGCTTCTTCTCTGCGACTCTGGCAGAAATCCTTCTTATAGCCCGGTGCGCCTGCGAACACGGGCGTGGTGGCATGGACCGCGTGCGTACACCGTTCCTGCGGCATATCGAGGTCTTCCATGCCTGCCATCTGAGAAATTCGAGTAAATGAGTGGGGTTACAATGGAAGAGAAACGGGGACTGGGATGAATGGCCGACCATTGCGCGATATTTATACGATGCGCCAGCTTGGAGGCGCTTTGACAACGGAAAAGACAAGTAAGCGCCGGTCGACATACGCAAAGCGCGAACAGGGATTGTGGCGTGGCATTCGAATGGCCTTTGTGTGGTGATCTAGGATATTCAGTCAGCCTTGCATTTTGACAGGAAGCTCGACGTGCACCGCACCTATTTGGTCGAGGACCGCACGGAGCGAGATAGACGCCCGACGGTCGGAGCTTCGCCTACCTTCGTATATGACAACGGAGGTGGGGAGAAGGCATAATATCACAAAGCCAACAAGGCTGACATTAATCAACGCGGGACATCACACCAAACGGCATCGTTAACCCTTCAACCCGATCACAAACACGCTTGGGCAATTCGCGCCCTCCGCTAATAGTCGGAGTATCTCGCGCTTGCGCTCAAGAACAGTAGTGCCCCTCGATGCACAGCGTGTACGTCTCCACGATCTCCGTCGTCGTGCTCGCGTACGCGGTCGTGGTGGTCACGACGTTCGTGTCGGTAGTGGTTACGACCGGGTCTACGGTTTGCGTCGTCGCGCAGACCACGGTGACGCCAATCGTTGTCTCCTCGCGCTGCGGCTTTAATCAGCTTCGGGCCTTTTCTTCCCAGGCGTACAATCAAAGCCCAAAAACAACAAACGCACCTTCTCGGCCCTACGAGTTTGCTGCGGCGGATAGACGTATGTCGTCACGTCCACCGTCTTCGTGCTGTCATCGTGAATCGTGCTCGTCACGCCCGGTGCCGTCGCCGTCTCCGTGTTCGTGCCCGAAGCGTAGTATACGCAGCCGTAATCCGTCTCCGTGGTAAGGGTGAAGTACTGCGCGTTGTCGGCGGCGGGCGCGGCGATGACTCCGATGGCGGAGAGAGCGATCGTTGCAACGGAGAGGGCGAGGAACTTCATGGCCAACAGAGGAGAGGGCTGGGTGGCGTCTGAAGTGGATAGTGTATGATACGTGAATATATAGGCGCTAAAGAGGTTCGCGCCGGCAAAATAACGAGGCTGAAAGAGCGAAAGTGGATGGGAATCCTGGCGTCAAAGTCTATGGCGCGGCCGCACATCAGCTGTACTTAGATCTCGACCATGCGAAGGTTTGGCGCCTTCAGCAATGAAAGCAGGTGCCAGAGACATAGCTCAAGGATCTTTCGATGCGGGCGTAGTGCACCCGAGCGGAAGAGCATATCGGCGTCCGCGAGGGAGCTTGTAATGAGCACGAGGCGCTGGATGTAAAGATACTTCTGGATGTGGATCTGTGACTGGAGTACTACGCAGGCCAGTCTATGATTAGACTATGTACGCCGGCCAAGTAAGTGCCGGAGGGGTCGAGGGACATTATTGTGAGAGACAGCGGTACTTGACGACAAGTTCACGCGATGCCTGAGGACACGAGTTAGCAGTCCATACTTCTGTGCGGCGTAAGCGCCATATCTTCTCGGAGGGAGCGGAAAAGGTCCGTACTATGAGGTCGGATTCTCGAACATCCGAGAGATGTATGACAGAGATGACGATCGTCTCAAGCTACAGAGGTCGAAGACAATGCGAGAAAGGCGCCAGCGAACATGAGCGTCGGTTCCAAAAGGCTGAACACCACGTGTCGCGATCGCGTGCCGATATCACGCACACCGTGACACGTCACGGTTCGAGTTCGTATCTCAGTTCCTTCTCGCACGAAAATTCCTTCAACTACCACTCCCAATGAAGTATAGAGGTCTAACTCTATCAAGTCTATAAAGACAGCGCAGACTAGGCATATAACCAAAGACACTTCTAAGATCGCCCAATTATCTCAGACCCGGTGGTGAGGGGCACAAGCCCGTCATCTGCATCCAGAACTGGACGAGGGACAGGCTTCGCCACTCTGCATATGGCATGCTTCGCGAGTTCGAGACAAAGGCCAGTCATGAGATGTTTCTTGATCAGATCGTATGCCTCCCACTCGGCGTGCTGAGGGACACGCAAGACACGCCTGCACAGCGGGCACATCGGGGTCTGACCGAAGTGCCTCGCCGCCACATGAGCGCAGAGAATGCGGTACGCGTTCTCGTCTTCAGTGATGAGAGAGACGGAGAACCGACATTGCATCCACGCGCAGTGGCGCTGGCCGATCTTGACATGACAGTCGTAGTCCCCATCTCGCAGGCGGTGCTCGCTGATGCGCTTCTGGCACAGGTCTCGTTCCAGGTATGCCTGGCATGAAGGAGGCGGAGATCCTGCGATAAATATCTGCTTATTCTCGGGCAAGGCCATCTGATAGAAGCGGAGCAGTCCAGCGAGGTCGATGTCGGGCGAAAAGACGACTGTGCGCAAGGGCGACGCGGGTCCTGCGAACACGGCGAGGTCGGCGCGTTTGCGAATTACCCCAGTCATGAGATCCAAGTGTTCGGGCAGAACTCTTGACGTCGGCGGTAATATACGCCACTGTTCGGGTTCGGGGCGTCGGGGTGGGTGTTCAACGTGGCGGAGGGGGTGTCGGACGTGGCGTGGCGGGGGCTGGTCTTCATAGCGTGGAGGCGGATTTTCAGCGCGGTGTTGCCAAGGTTCCGTATGATGCGCTGATTCTGTCCCATGCGCCGATTCCGTCCTAAGTTGCAGCGGGGCAATAGTCCTACGTTGCGGCGGGTTTTCAATGTCGTGTCGCGTCGGATTACGCACATCGAGCCCTGCGCTATCATACAGTTGAGCTACGCGGATGCGAGGGAGAACTTGTGGACGCGGGGGAGAATTGGAATATCTGAGACTCACACTGCGGCGCTCGTTGGCGAAGACAGGACTCCAGGCATCACGGACAAGGGTAGAGTGGCCGAGCGTGGATCTGGAGACCGCGGTCGCATGATTCCGAGGACAGGAGGCAGAGCGATCGGAATCGACGGGCCTGGGACGTGAGGAGATTGAGGTAACATTCCACTAGCTGGTAGCGCGTAGAAGCGAGTAGGTTCATTTCGAGTGGCGGCAGGAGATTGAAGAAGGTTGGCGTGATATGGTGTAGCTGGATCAACGCGAGACGCGTTCGTGCTATGCAAGTCGTGCTCCAAGTTCGCCACTGGCTGCCTCTGACTTGCGGACTGTCGCCCCAAGGTCGCGGGTAACTGATCCCAGTCTTGTCGTCCAGATGGCATGATCCCAGGTGGCTAGAAGGGTAGACGATAGAAAATATAAGTGGGAAGCGATAGGCTCTTCGGAAGGTGGGCGGCAGATTTCGTAGCGCATTCATCGAGTTATATACCCGGAACGACATAAGCACCAGGAACAATAACATGTGAGTCACATCAGATCTTCTTCCGTGCGATCAGCGTTGAGTCGGTCACAGCGGCCATGATACTCTATGCATGGTCATTGTGTTGGACAACGCACCGCCATCTGCAGATCAGGAGGCCGTGATATGTCCAGAATCAAAGACAAAGGAGGAGCGAGCTCGAAGGCAGACAATTTATGCCCGGACCAAGTGGTATTCGACCGTGGAATTGGTCTTTTTCCATACGACTTTGAGAATATCGCAAAGAGCAGAGAGGATAGTGCAGTGGGCAAGGTCGCCGATTATGCTTGGAAAAAAGTCGATCGTGGCAGACGCTCCGTGGGAGTGGCATGCGCCTGAACAGTGGCGAGAAAGTCGAGGGAGTGAGACCTGGTCCAAGCTATGAGCATTGACCTCCCACAAATGTATGAGAAGCATTGCAATTACATCAGGATGAAGAGGTCGCGGCGTGCAGGAGCTACCGCATGAGGGTCAATGGGAGTTGCGTTCCAGAACGGGATGCCATGCGTGCTCGCGTGCCCCTATCACGCTGGATGTGACGCGTCACAGTTCGGGTTTACATTTGTCACAATTCAGCCTCGCATGTTTGTAGTTCGACCTTGCTCTTGAGCGAATATACTCAGAGCTTCCTCTCTCTATATCATGAAGGTAGAACAGAATCTTCAGGATCACGCTCGAAATCAAGATCATACGGCAGAGCGACCCATCGCTCAAACTCGGAAACGCGGCGCATCTTCACCTTCCACGATCCCGGGGTCCGCACCCAAATTCGGGCGAGGAACAGGTTGAGCCTTCTCAAGCGCATATTTTGCCAGTCCCAAACAAAGCCCGGTCGCCAGATGCTTCGCAATCACATCATACGCCAAAAAGCCGCTCTCCTTCGCGATCTTCAACGCGCGCTTGCACAGCGGGCACATCAGCGTCTGGCAAAAGTGCGTCAGCGCCATATGCGCTGACAACGCCCTGGGCGCCTTATCGTCCCCGACTTCATGAGGGACGACGAAGGGACATTGAGCCCACGCGCAGCGGCGCTGCCCGAGCCCGACGTGGTAGTCGACGCTGCCGTCCGCGCGACAGTGGTCGTGGAGACACGCGCGGCACTGGCGCTCCCTGAGCACCGCGGAGCACCATCTTCTCCGCAGATCGCGGTCCGTGCGAAAGGTCCTCTTCGCCTTGGGGAAGTCGAGGCCGTAGAACCACAGCAGCTCGCCGAGGTCGATGGCGGGAGAGAAGGCGACGGTGGGCAGGGGAGATGCGGGGCCGGCGAAGATGGCGAGGTCGTCGTAGGCCTCGAGCTTGGCGGGGGTGATGAGGTTTATGTGCTGGGGGGTGATTCTTGTCGTCGGGACCGTTATTTGCCATGGTGCGGTCTCGCGGCGGCGTGGGGCGTCTTCTGGGATGTATGGTGTGCTAGAATGCGGGTGAGCTGGATATATGCCAGAGAGAGAGTACTTACACCGCGTCGTCTGTCGGTGCGTCCAGAGCAAATGCCAAGGGAAATTCGGATGAGCCCAAGTTCGTGTACTGAGCGGGGCGATGAGAGTCGTGCTGTCCGGCGTTGACTCGTCTAACTGAGGTGGACGGTGCTGCAGATCGCGGCTGCAGGATATCAGAGAAGTGAGGTAGAACAACACGATTGGGCCGGGCTGAGTTATGACTTGCGGAGGGCTGGTTCGTGTTCATCGAGCGTTGGTGTCCGGAAGACATGAGGCCTGAGAGTCTGAGAGGTGGGCGATAGGAGCGGCGAGTGGCGAGCGTTGAGCGGTTGGTCAGTCGGCGAAAGAATTGACGGATAGCGGTACCGTCTGCGCGTCCTTATATAGGCATGACCAACCATCCATATTCTGAACAACAGACGTCTGAGTCACATCAGAGTTCATTCATGCCTCCGAGTGCGATGTACAACAACACGTCACAGCAAGTCCTCTTGCATGTTAAGTTGGGTATCAATGTGGATATGGTCATACAACAGAACGACGCGCCTTCCCTTGTTAGCTCAAGCTATGTGGCGATGACCTCCAAGACCTACAAGGTCCCAACAGGCGCAGCTTCAGGACACCTACGACAACAGAGCAACACATCACGACCAAGAGAGCGAAGGTGTGTCAGATAGAAAAAGAATACAGTGGGCTCAGGAGCTATTCCCTGGATAGATGATCAAGAGAGTAATGAGTACTGCGACACGGCCTGTTCGACAATTCGTCCGAACGTGAAAACACTGGCAGGAGATTGAGAAGAAAAAATATTCTCAGCGTCATCGAGAGGATCAGTCAGTAACCTTCAGGAGAGACAGGGATGACCGAGATGGAGGCCGGGTGCAAGAGGGTTTCGCTACTCGAACTCCTCGGACGTCCGCAATGATGGGATCACCACGTGGGACGCAGGCGATGGCAAACATGGAACAACAGATTCGTCGTTGTCCCGCGCGACGAGCACGACGTCGAGCTCATCATTCACCACGTTTCCCCCGTCCACGAGACGCTAACTTATTCCACCATCTCGTCTGCAGAGGCGCGATCGACCGAGACACACCGCGACTACGAGTCCGCGACGCCGCGCACCGACACCGGTGACGTCCGAGTCGACGACGGCTTTCATCTCCGGCCTGCCTGACATCGAAGCGGAAGACGTGCGAGACGGACGCCGCGTGCAGAGCACGGGCCTTGACGCGCTCACTGACGGTCTGCGCTAACAAAACGCGAGGTGTGTTCCGGCGGTGTGAATCTTCTCGCGCGCACGGGCTCACCGACACATCCCAGATCCACCTATCGACGCGTCGCATCTGCCCATCTCCGCCCTTCTCTCCATCCCCAAGACCCCTCCCACAGACCCAGCATGCCATCTAACGGCGGCAAGTCCCACACGACGCCGCAGAAGCTGCCCAAGCTCTTCCACAAGAACCGCGACCGGTCCAAGTCCCTCTCCGCCGAGGCCACCGTCAGCACCACTCGCGCGTCCCCCACTCCCCTTGATACTACCCCTCCCCCAAATGCCGGCCTCGAATCAGGCGAACCCACACCCCGTCCCGCGGACGTGGGCTCCCTCGCCCTCTCCGACGAGGACTTAGCAGACGCAGACACGGACGACTCGCCTGTCATCATCGAGTCCGCGCCCTCGCCCCCACCCATACCCCGCCCGCGCACGATGACGCGCGCAGAACGGCCGCGCTCCGACTTCCAGCCCGCCACTTCCCCGCCGATCCCCGTCTACGCGAGTGCCTCGTACGCCCCAGGCACTACCTACGCGCACGCGAACAGCCTGTACGCATCCACATCAAGCACTGGCTCTCGCCTGTCCGTCACGGACCTCCCCTCACGCCTCTCCGGCTGGTTCTCGCACATGACGTCCTCGTCCTCGGCTTCGCCGCCGCAGGTGCTTGTCTCCCCGAGCAAGGCCTCGCCCTCGAAGCGCGGAATTCTGAGCAACAACGCCCTCATGACTGCCGCGCGCCATGGGAAGAGCTCGCTCGACAAGGCGATGCGATTCCTGCTCGACAGCGATGCGAAGCCGGACGGGTGCACCGAGGACATCTGGATCATGGGCATTCAACACCCGGGTTTCCCGCCCGTCGAGGGGCTCGCGCCCATCTCTGACTTTGGGGAGCGGCCGTCTGACCTCGCTGCGCGCCCCCCGAACTCGCGCACGACGAGCAGCGACCGCCTGTCCCCCGTCGAGGCGCAGTTTAAGCAACCCCCTGCCTCACCTAAGGAGAAGGAGAAGCGCTCGTCCATCATTCGGTCGGCAACCAAACGACGCTCGCCGACGATCTCTGGCGCCATTGGAGGCACTGGGTCCCCTCCGTCTTCCTTTCATGCACCAGCGTCACCAACGCGGGGCTCAATACTGGGCATCTCGCCCTCGGCGCACGCGTCGACACCCTCCCTACAGCCGTCCGCTTCTGCGTCCTCTGTTGTGCTTGCTGGCGGCATCGCTCTAAGTGTCGACCCTACTTTATCACCGACTTCTATAGAAGCCATTGCTGCCGCATCGGGATGGCCGCAGGAGTTCTTCAGCGATTTCGCAAGTCGATTGTACGTATCATCTCTTCACTGGATCATTTCCCATCCTCTTCTTCCTCCAACCCCTCTCCTCCCCCCATCCTCCCTCCGACCCAACCCACCCACTAACCCACCCCTCCCAGATGGCTCACCTACCGCTCCGGCTTCGCCCCGATCCGCGACATGGCGCTCGAGGAGCTCGAGCCCGTGCGGGGTGTAGAGGACCTGGTCGCTGCGATGGAGGCATTCTTGGAGGCGGAGGAGATGAATGGTGAGTAGGGCTCGGGTTTGGGATATTCGGCCCTTTCATTGAGCACGTACACAGGCCACGATCTGGATCTGAACGCCACGCTCGGGAGGAGCGCGTCGGGCTCGAGCCGCGGCGTGCCAGACGGGAGGCGGGGATCCCTTCAGGATTCGACGCGCTCTTCGTACGATCCGGGGCGCGGCATCTATGTGAACCCGCTTCCAGACGTCGTGCGCGCGGACGACGCGGCGGATACACCGTTTACGGATGTCGACGATGGACCCTCATATCCAACGGGGAGCATGAAGCGGTGGTGGAAGGGGAAGGAGGCGATCGGGGCGGGGGCGGCGACCGATACGGAGGTACTGGGGAGACGGAGCGTGAAGCGGACGAGTCCGGCAGGGAAGGAGAAGGTGTGTTGAGTTCTGCTTAGGCTTGGGGTTCCATCGGTTGTATGCCGCATTGCGGGCAGTCAAGCCCAAGAAAACCACGGGAGCGACCAAATGGCTGACGCGGGATTGCAGGAACCGTCGAAGGGGGCGCTGTCGACGTTGACCAGTGCACTCACGGGCAGGCGCGGACTGACGAGCGATGCGGGGTGGGGATGTATGCTGAGGACGGGGCAGAGCTTGTTGGCGAATGCGCTCGTGGTCGCGTGGATGGGCAGAGGTGCGTGCTAATCCGTCCCCGCCTTGACCCTCGTCTCATCCTGGGCTGCAGACTGGCGCCGACCAGATGCGGACGCGATCCTCGGTCGCGGGCTCCCCTTCACCTTACCATCCCCCACTCCCGACGCAGAGCCTCGCGCACCTTCTACCGACGCCCGCAAGTCCCTCGATCATCATCATTCTCGTCAAGGCGTCGAGTACCGCCGCGGCGTCGATCACCGCCACTACCGAGAAGCGCCCCTCTCCGTGCATGACCTACAGCCACCACCGGACGTGCGGCCCCCGCCCGACCGTCCCGCACTCGCCCTCACGCCCGAACACCAAAGCCTCGCGCTCTATATCCACCTCATCTCGCTCTTCCTTGATTCTCCCTCGCCGTCCGCGCCGTTCAGCGTGCATCGCATGGCGCTGGCGGGGCGGGCTCTAGGGAAGGATGTCGGGCAGTGGTTCGGGCCGAGCACCGCTGCTGGGGCGATCAAGGCGCTTGTCAATGCGTACCCGGACGCGGGGCTGGGCGTGGCGATTGCGGAGGATGGGGTGGTGTACCAGACGCAGGTGTTTGGCGCGAGCCACTCGCCTCGGCTGGTGCAGCAGGAGAAGGCGTACGCGTCGCAGCCGCACTCGGTGAGTGGTGTCATACTATAGAAGCGAGCGCGAGCGCTGACGAAATGTTTCTGTAGCCCCACTCGACGATGAAGTCGCATAAGCAGCCCGTTCCGGGGGCGCATGGGCATCACCATCGCGGGCAGTCTTCGTCGCACAGCCACTCGCCGTCGTCGTCCTACGGCCACGCGCCGAGCTCGTTCAACCGCCAGCAGCCCTTCTCGACCGGATCCTCCGCCTCTTCCCGCTCGTCGCACCAGCTCAGTCCCTCGGCTTCGTCGTACACTTCGTCTCGCACGTCCTTCACGGGCACGTCTGTGATGTCGGGTGGCAGCCAGCGCGGCACGAACAAGCGGCGTGAGCGGCGCGACGACACGTCCTCGCAGGCGTCGAAGCGACGGCAGAAGGAGCGCGAGCGCGAGTGGGGCGATCAGCCGGTGCTCGTGCTGCTGGGTATCCGACTGGGCTTGGATGGCGTGAATCCGATATACTATGATACCATCAAGGTGAGCTCTTTCCGTGTGCGAGAGGTGGAACATGTGTCGATATCCCTATCTAGCAACTCTACACGTTCCCGCAGTCCCTGGGCATCGCGGGCGGGCGGCCGAGCAGCTCGTACTACTTCGTGGGCGCGCAGGCGGGGGATCTGTTCTATCTGGATCCGCATCATGCGCGGCCGACGGTGCCGCTGCGCGAGGTGGGGGAGGTGAAGATCTCGGCGGTGAGGTGTCTTCATCCTTCATATAAGGTCCATACTCACTCTTCGCAGACACCTCCGGCTACGCAAACGGCGGAGGCTGTGGACTCCCAGGATGCGCTAGCGCCTCCGAAGGAAGGCCTGACTAGGTCAGCGACGACGGCGGACAAGAAGCGCAGCAAGAAGGAGAAGCGGCTCTCGTTCGACACGGATGTCGAGAAGAGCGATGCGGGCGGGAAGGTGTCCAAGCACAAGCGTCGGCACTCGCAGCATCTCGCGGCTGCCCTCGCGAATGCCTCCGCGGCGTCGTCGGCGTCGTCAACGTCCTTCCCTGATGAGCCTACGCCTGTGGCGGCACCTCTTCCGCCGCCCTTCATCCCGCGGGAGCCGGTGGATGTGCCGCTCCCACCGCATAGCACGGCGCCGACGTTGCCGCCGGCGTTGGCGGCGCATTATCTCGCTGGGTATACTGCAGGTGAGTGCTATGATATGTCGTGGATGAACGTGTACTGACGGGACTAACAGCTGAGACGCGCACATTCCACTGCGAGCGTGTGCGCAAGATGCCGATGAGTGGGCTCGACCCGAGCATGCTCATTGGTTTCCTTTGCAAGGATAGGGCAGATTGGGAGGACTGGCGCACTCGAGTCTCAAAGGTATGTTGATTCAATCGGCGAACGTCCTGCCTCTTACGATCGTCTTCTAGCTACCCAAGGCTATCTTCGCCGTGCAGGACGAGCCGCCGAATTGGATGCCGTCGGACGTTGAGTCCATGTCGGACGAGCTCATCTACGACGACGATGAGAGCGAGATGACCGACGAAGAGGGAGAGGGTGCCGAGTTCGAGGGCGAGGCTGCGACGAACCCGGTCAAGCCCAAGATTGACGCTCGTCGTCTGTCGGAGGATCTTCCGCTGGATGACAACGACAACGACAGCGAGGCTACTTCGACTTCGCGAACGGAAGACGAGGACAATGTGGACCCAGTCACGCCAGGTCCACACGATACGCGCTTCGCCATACCGGAGCCGCAGGGCAGGGCGAAGGATATCTGCGACGACATGACCATCGACGATCTTGGTGGCCCGGGTGACATTGCAGACGACTGGGTCGAGCCTTCCCCACCACCGACGCGACACTCCTCCACCACCTCGCCATCCCAGTCGTCCCCTCCTGTTGCATCTCCGCCCTCGATTGCCAGTGCACCATCGTCAGCATCGTCGTCATCTCCGCCGCCGTTGTTGGCGAAGAAGAAGACGAAGCGTAAGGACAAGAGCAAGGCGGTCCCGGTCCCTCGGGTGACCATCCCGTCTGACTCTGCTCCTGTCGCCTTCCCCCGCTCTGACGCCAAGGGAGAAGAGGACGATTGGGCGGAGAACGACGAGGTGTACTATAGCGCACGCGACAACGAGCGCAGCGACGACGCCTTCGTCAACGTCCACGTCAAGCCGAAGGAGCGTCGAATGCACACCGCCCGTGCGCGTGACGGTGGGCGTACTCAGAGCGGAGGCGTACGCGGTATCATGACCGAGTCCTCCTCGTGAGCCATATTACCCTTCATGTAATCCTTTCTGTTGTTGTCCAATATCCGCGTCGACGTTCCATGGGCGCGTCGCGCGGCACGACTTTCTACTTATCTTATGTTTCCAAGGCGGCGGAGTCCGTTCTGTTTTTCGTTCTGGTTGTTCATGTTGACGTATACTCTTACCATCTTACCTGTTCCCCATGCCCCGCTCACTGCCCTACGCGTCAAGACTCTACGCAATAGTGTATATGTGTATATATGCCATGATCAGCTCAATTTCTAGGTACATTCTAGATACCCAACCAATGCATACCTGTTCTGTGTCACCTAGCCCGCAGCGCGATGCTCCTGGCGCTCAATGAGGTTTTGAGCTCGGAGACGATGGAGAAGCTGTGAGTACATCGGCTACTTGAGTTTCGAGACTGACCTCCTCAATCAGCTACAGCTTATCTCACGATTCGCCGTCGCGAATCGCTACTCAATCCAGGATTCCATAGAGCATCATAAATTGCATAAGTGTCGTTCCCGTCGTGATCTCGAACAATGAATGCGAGGTCGCAGACGTGCGTCTTCTACTTCATTCGACTACTGGACTACACCTCCCGCGATCATTCGCCACCGTCCTTCTCGCGCGCGCGCAAGCGTCCTTGAAGAACTTCAGGTCACCTCGTTTGGTGCTCAACTCGGTCCTGAGATCGTGGAGATCCTTCGTGTACTTGTTCTTCTTCGCGGCCGCCGCCCAGAGCTTCTCACGAAGAACGGTCTCTTCCTCCACAGTTTCCGAGAACACGGTGAATGTACTTCCGCTGGCCGCACTGTACATGGTGACACGGCCGTCTGACGTCCCCCGAGCGCTCTCCTTCTCTTTCTCTGCCAACACTGCCAACCTACGCTCGTACTCCGCAATCTTGGCCTTCTGCTTCTCAACCTGGAAGGTTGTAGCCGCAACGAGGCGCTCGATCTGGTAGATCTCCTCCACGCGCGCCGCGGCTCGGTCGTGCTGGTCGCCTTCGGGCACAAGCGACAGGCTGCTGCTGACCACAGAGGGGGAGGGGGAGAGGAAACTGCGAGGTCGACGCGCGGGTCCGGAATCGGCTGAGTTGGGCGGGAGTGTGGGGATAGACGAAGGAACGGATTTGGAGGACAATGTGGACTTGGCGTCCTCGTGGACCAAGGTGTTGGTGCTCTGGGATTGTATGCTGTAGCGCTTGTCCTTGGGTGGTGGCGTGGGCTACGATTAGATGTCGGTGCGAATACTTGCTCGGGAAGGATCATACGCACCGGCGTGCTTTCTCTCTCATCGTTCCCCTCGAGCTGCGCCTTCACTAAGATTCCAACAAATGACGGTGTAAGCCCTGGCATGTTGTTCAAAGTCGCGGTAATGAACTCGTAGGCTGCCTCTCATGTCAATTACAGGACAGGAGAGTTAGTAGATCTCTTCGCACCATCTATCGCACCTCGGAAAAGCAGTTGCTTAGTCCGCCCACGCATACCTTGTCTCATCGCCATTTGATCTCTGACAAGTGAGCAATCATTTCGGTGCCGCAATATGATGACGACGCACCCAAGGGGCAGCACTCGACGGATTCCCAAGTTCCGCAAGTTGTCGTGCGTCCAGAGAATGTCGTCCAGCTCAGGGTCCGTCTGCAGCATCGCAGACATGAGCCAACTCTGTCAATTAAACGACGAGTGAAGATAATAATTACCGTGACATCCACCCTCGTGCAGTCGAAGACGTCAATCACGAAGTCCTCCGCATTTATTAGACCTTTCGCATGCATCGCTTTCTCCACGGTCTTGAAGGTTGCGTAGAAGAGCTTGGGATGATGGCTCGAGCGGATAATTCGAAGATAGAAGGGCTTGAGACGCTCCTTGACGTCGGCTTCGTCCGGAAGCTCGTCGCTCTGCCACTGCGTAGGATGGGGGGTTACTACAGCGATTGCTCCGGATCCGGCGATCGCTGCCCGATCAAGATCGTTGATAATGTCCGCGGTATACCACACGCCGGCCGTCTCGAGCGCTAGAGGATAGTATCTGTGAGTGCGCTGTTGGATTTGTGGCGACCAATGCGCGACACACCTATCCACTCATTGGGGAACACCAGGCAGAACTGCGTGGCCAAACCTTTGCCGTACCATGCCCCGAGATTCCACAGGTGCTGCAGTATCATGTACGACCCGATGAGCTGGTCGTTGTATGGCCGCCCGTATACATGGCGATGCACATGCTCCTGTCCGCACTCTTCCTCCGGGCGGCAGCAGAAGTCGCCTCTGCGAACCCCGCGATAAAGCCCGTCGAAAGTCCCGCCACAATCCTTACGCCTCGAATCGTTCTTGGACATTTGTGGCGAGGCGCGATTGGTGGCGAGGCAGTAGATTGACGATGAGGGGAGTTTGTGGTAAGAACAGCGATGGTCGGTGCGGAGGGAGAGGAAGGGGGGTACCTAGGAGCGTCGAGTCTGCGTTAAGTTGAGGTTTTAAGGCGCGGCGATGGTGGTAGGACCTATGGTGGGGAACAAGGTTTGCGCGTGTGTGTTGAATGTAGGTGGCCAGTGCGCAGCTTCTCGAAGCCTGAGGCCGGTCGTAGCACGGGGGTCCGGCTTCTATACTGAGATTGAAAGGAGAGCGCGGCGGTCGGAGGGGAGGCAGGGACCATGCGCCGACCAGGAGGCGTAGCGTGGGAGGTATTGCGAGAATGGAAGATAGGTGGTCGAAGACAATAGAGAGGCGACTCGGAAGGCGTCCTATGCTACCATGGAAAGTATATGCAGCTCATACAGCCGCTGTCACGACGGCAGTCCAGCCTACTCATCCAGCTGCGGACCGGGCACATCCCCCTCGCGACGCACCTTCACCGCATCAAGAGGGCGCCGTCGCCTATATGCGCGGCATGCGGACAGCATGAGGAGACAGTCGGCCACTACCTGATGGTGTGCCCGGCGCACGCACGACATCGCCAGACGGCCTTCACGGGGCTCGGACGCAACAGACACTTGCTAGCACACTTGCTCAACACCAAGGACGGCATCGCAGCTTTATTCAAATACATCGCGCTGACTAAGCGGTTCGCCGCAACGTACGGAAACGTAGGAGGCGGGGAGGAATGATAGAGACTGGGCTCGAACGCGCTCGTTGCGATTCGCGCAGATGAGTGGTTAGAGGGAAGCAGGAGTACCAACGAAAAGAAGTCCCATTGTATTATGTCTACCATAAGGCTCGGCCTCACAGGACAATAAATGGGACACCAAAAAAAAGGCGTCCTATACCACGCACGTCCTTGACTGACCTGCCAACGGTGGAAGGCGCGCATTTGTTCATGAGCTCATGGTAGCCATGCCTGAAAGCGTAGGCAAGGACTTTGAGCGGGCGTTTCCTGTATAGCAGGCTGTCCACGTCATTAGCAAGTGTAATACAACAGAGGATCGCACGTACTCAAGATGAGTGTAACACATATTCATTGCAGGCCCGACGCGATACTTCTCGGACGCTTCGGCCAGAGTGTACAGTTCCTGGAATGGTAGAGGGGCGAGCGAGGGTATACGACCGGGGTACACGTGTCGAAACATGAGCTCGAGCGTGTCCCCGTCTTCAGGAAGATCTGCAACATCGCCCTCCGGAGCGGCGAGGTCGACAGCGAAGGGCCCATCCGTGACCGCGCGCAGATTGGCACGGTGTATGTTGAGGAGGATATGGTCTTTGGACCTGAATACGACAATATCCTCGCCAGTCGAGCAGACTGAGATGAGATCAGCCATTACGTTTTCGATGGAAAAGGTCTACGTACATCTTTCCGACTGCTTTGGCAGGGAGTCGTTCTCCGAGGGAGGCGGATCTGAGGTGCTAGGCTGCGCCGCCATGGTAGATGAGAGGAAGATTACAATGCCTTGAGGCCATTACGACAACGCCCGTGAATTGTGTTAGGCGCCGCGACATTCGCACGAGTATTTTGGTTCAGAGGGTCTCGTCATCGCACCTAGCGTAGTTCTGAAGTCAGACAAGAGGTCGAAGGTGTACAAGAAGGAGCTCGATCCTAAGGATTGGCAAGCACAGTAGGTATCCGACCCTGGTGGTGGCGGTTGCAGAGCTACGAACGACCACCGGAAACACCCGAACATATCAGCCATGTGTCCGAGTTCGGCATCTTTTGCATGGCATGCGAGTTCGAATCGTAAAGGCTCGATGAGAGGATTGGACAACATAGGAAACGACTATGCTACAAAGGTGGGTATATGGTCATGATACAGCCTGTAGTGTCTACGAGTTTCCAACCAGCGTCATAAGGCTGCCAGTGTCCCGGTAATGCCAACAAAGCGTCACATGTCAGTCCCCCACCGCCAACATCAGCAGGACATTGACTGCTGATGCTGCATGCCCCTTTCCGGCGCACTACAGCAGGAACGTGTAGAGCGGAGGGTACGTCGAAGGTAGCAGAGGAAGCAGGCGAAGTGGGCGTTACGTCGACAGTCCGGATCCGGCTGGTGGAGGAGCGTTGACAAGCGACGTGCACAGTTCCTCCGGAGACGACTCATCACCCCTTGACGTGGGCGGCTCAACCGCAGCCGGCAGCGTGCACGACGCAGGTGCGCTCGAAGCGGACGCTTCGGGGGTGGCAGTCTCGGAGAGGCTCGACGTGGATATGACTGGATATGACGAAGCACGCGGCGGAGAGAAGGCGCAGGCGTCGACAAAGAAGGCTACGATGGCGGAGTAAAAGGTGAACACGACGACGATGAGTGGGTGTTCAACGATGGCATGGCATCCGAGGCATGCGATGACCGCAATGTCGAAGGGCTGCGCACGCGAGAAGGCCGAGTGCAACGAAGACGACAGCGAGAGGCCGTCACCGTCAAGAGACTGGCGATTATACGAGGGTGAACATGAGCGCGCATAGCAGCGGCAGCCGATTCCGCACAAAATTATCCTACGAGTAAATCAGTGAACAAATACAGCGAAGTCACTTGAAGCACGCACCGTCCCACAAATTTCCTACCACTTTCGGGTGACTCCATTCAGGAAATTGACTACCTTTTCGAGCATCCGGGAGTACACCTCCGAGTCGGCCATCAAGCGCACATACATGTGCACGACCTCCCACACATGAGGATCCACAAACGGCGCGCCCTGAGAGCGCGGAAGCCTGACGAAGGGAACATCATGGTGAAGAACCGAGAACAGGACGGCGCGCTCGAAAACTTTGAGGTCGCGAGCACCCATGTCGCACCCATTGCGCACGAAAGCCCTGCAATCATCTACATCCATGCACCAGGGCTCGACACCCCTGTACCTATGCGCGCCCCACTGGCATGGATCTTCGAAATCATCCCACCCAGTGTAAATGTCGGACTGCGTGTATATCTGCCAGATGATTTTGTGCGTGAGCGCGCGGATCGTTTGCTCGACTTCCAGGGGCGATGGGTCCCTCGGACGCTCGTGCTGTGCAAAAATGAAGGTGTATGCATGATGGTCACCCAGGTGGTACCCTTGCTGCCAGGACGCCAACGGTTCATCCTCATCATCACTGTCGCCGTCGTCATCTAAGAGCTCGAAGTTCCTTTTGATCTGCTCGGGGTGGGCGTCCATGCGCGTCATCAGCGCGGCCAAGAAGCCAAAGCGGAAATAGTCAGAAGAGACGCTTGACAAGAACTCTCGAACGTCGTCCGATACTGTGGGGTCCAACGCGTTCATCATCGTGTCGATATCAGCCCGGATACGAGGATCGGAAAGCGGGACATGGTATGGGTGAGTGTGAGTTAGACATTGGAGCTCAGGCATCTCGTCCTCTATGCGTGGGTCAGCCAGTCTCCCAGTTGCCGACGGTGAACACATACCCTCCTCCTCCTCTTCTTCCTCAAATAAAGGAGAAGTGGGAGGCGCGGCGTCCGCGTCGGATGGCTGAGACGTAGGAACCGGTGTTTTTTCAACATAGACGCGGGCGGGTGTCAGTGTTGTCGGGGCATCAGTGCCAAGCTCTGTACGGCCGTGTCAGTCATATCTCACGCGAGACTCTGAGCCACGCACCAGACGTCACGGGCGTCGAGGCCTCAAGAGGGGAGGTGGAGGGCGGTACGTCAGCTATCTTTTGCTCATCGTCGGTCTGGTCGTTCTGGGAGAGAAGGTTGTGGTCGTCCTCGAGGCAGACTTGCTCAGAGGAGTTCGCCGGGTCAAAGGCCGCGTAGTCGATGAAAGGTACGGCGTACACGGCAGACGGAACCGTGTATGCGACGTCGAAGGTCTGAGCGGGCTTTTCCTCAACAGCATCGGGCTGCGAGACTTCAGACTTGTTGGGCTCAGAGTCGAGGGCTTCGGCATTCTCGGGCCTGTCTTCGCTCACGGTGAGCGGACGGTTCAGCGTCGTCGACGAATGCTCGGAGCGCTCAGAGACTACAGTCCACAGGTCAGTTCATCATTGTCACGAGCTATTCCGAGTTGACGCACCTGAGTCATCGGAAGCAGGAGGCAACGGAGGGGAAGGAGGAGAGGGGTTGGCATCCATCTCGACGCTGACAGGTTCCTCTTCTTTGGCAGAGTTGGCGGCGATGTCAGGAGAAGCTGAGGAGAGCTGATCGGCAGGTACGCGCTCATCTTCGCCGCAGTCTAACTCGTCGGGGCACACAGCTTGCTGGTTGACGGGTGCGGGTGGTTCTTCCGCGGGTGCAGTGCGCTCTTCGAGCGTGGCGAGTTCGTCAACAGGCGCAACGAGCCCGTCAACAGGCGCGGCAAGCTCTTCAGCAGGCGCAATAGGAGAAGGGCACTGGGAGCGAAGGTCAGCATGAGCACGGAAGGGCGGGGCAGAGGTTCAGAATGCAACGTGGGAAAACACGAGGCAGAGTTGTTGAGCGCGTGGACGCAGAGATCACGCACCTCGGGCTGCCGCAGGTGAGGCTTGATGGCGCCACGTAATGCGGGGAAGAGCTTGAAGGGGAGGCAGAAGACGGAGCGGACCACAGCGAATGCGATCCGGACGGTAAAGTATAACCAGACGGCGATGGTGTGCTGGAGAGGGCGTGTCAGTACGCTAACTGTGCGACCTCAAAAACGAGCGATACGCCCAAAGAGCTAGCGATGCGCTGAGGGGTATCTCACAGCTGACTCACCAGCACCATGCCAATCTGGGCCCCCACGGCAAGAAGCAGGAATCGCACAGCAAAGTGGGCGACGTCGTCGGGCGGAATAACGCAGTCCCAGCCTTGCCAGAGGCGAGATACGAGCGCCCACGATGGGACGAAATGGTCGCTGAAGATGTGTTGGTAGTTCCCATCAACTTCGAGGTTGCAGACGATGGGAATCTGGGCGGAGTGAGGTCAGCGATGGCTGGCGGCATCAATGATGTAGATTCGATGGCAGCGGAGCTCATGGGCATGGTATGATCCACAGTAGGTGGCAAGCCATAGCGAAGGAGGGAGGTGGCAAAGAGACTCACAGCGGCGATGAGCAGGACATAGATTGTAGAGGAATGCAAGGTGAAGCGATGAGGGCCGAAGAGAGTCATCGAAGCCTTGTGGCAAAGGTAAAATCAGCACTTCTGAGCTCAAGATATGAAAGAATGGGACGCACGGTGATGAGGATCGCCACGACCACAGGCCAGAGGATGTAGAGAAGCTCAGGCACGGCGTTAAGGTCAGGGATCGTATCCTTGGGAACGGCATCGTATAGTGTCTGGACGTAGCGGATGAAGGGGATGGCGAAGGCGGCGACCTGGTCGAGCTCGGTGGGCTCAGAGGGATGAACGAAGCCGAGCTTGTCGGCTATGGAGTGCTGGACGGAGTACAGATAGAGGAGCAACGTCCGCACGGTGCTGCCGACCATCTGCATAGACGCCAGAAAAGCGTCAAAGGGTGGAGGGTCCATTGGTTACAGTAGACGTCGCCTAGAATCAAAGAGTCCAAGATTGGACGGGGATGACGGTTTGGCGCACGCGGATGTGGGCGTAGCGGAAGAGGTGAGGAAGGAGAGTGAGAGAAGAGCGCTGGCTTTTATCATGCGGAGACCAGCCTGGGAACAATGGCCGGCTATTCTCCGGTCGCCGAGTTCGGAAGACAATAAAGAGTCCACTGCGGCGGTACCTCCTTTTGGATCTCCCCATGTTTCCGTGCTGGGTTAGCCGCGCCTTACATAGTCACTGTTCTGTCAATTGTCTCCTGACGGTACACCGGCGTCGTGAAGGAGCTGAGGAAGAGCTGCATCCTCAAGCGAAGATCATGGTCAGAGGCAAGATGCCGCCCTCATCAGGAAAAGGGGGTCCCAGCTCAGGCGCGTGGACGATTTCCATGAGCGGCAAGGCGCCCTCGGGTCCCTGAGGTGCGTTGGGGTGCCGTGCAGCGCGCTCTGCGCGCTCTTCAACTTCGGGCACCCCCAACGCGTCCCAGGACACTTACGCAGTTCAAGTAGGGAGCGCTACACGCCGTCCGCGAATGGAAAAAGTTAGAGATGGGATTAGACAAAGTACGAGTATAGTAATCACCACTGGGTCTTGTAGGTGTACAATGACTGCCAGTTATTGAGATAAAAGCGGTCACATAGATCTAAAACATTGTGAGAAGTCCAAGACGACTGAGTGACGGAATCTCCGAGGTCCCCATACCGCGGAATGAGCATGCACGATTGCCGGATACTGCTCAAAGGTATGATAGCGCCGCGGGGCGTGCCATCGCGGCCGACATGCTCCCTATCGACCGCGTAAAAGCCATGCGCGCCGGCAGGGCTCTGTCGAAATGGGGTAGACCACTCGATATAAGCCAGCGGGTACTTTGGCCAGTACGACGGCGACTCCTTCTGAGCGTGGAAGAACTCCAGCACTCGAGGAAGGCGGAATATGACGCGCAGTCGTCCAACACGCGTCCCTAGATTCAAAGATGCTCAGTGATAAGATGGAGGAAATTCGCATAGACGCGTACCCTGGACCTGGGTAGACTCGCTGTCATCTCCAGTAAGTACAAGGACGGTGTCGAACCTATTACCATCAGGGGAGGCTTTGACTGTCTCGTCCTCGTCGTCTTCGTCATCTACACTGAGGGGGTGAAACTGAAATTGATGAAAAACATCCAGCCGCTCGAATGGCAGAGGATGCTTGCGAGAGCGCATAGGGGGGGACGGATTGGGTCGCATAATGGCCCCGAGGTATTCTTTGAGGGAACCCTCGAAGCCGGGAGCATGGTGGAGGTGAGTAATATCGGAGACTCGCTGCGCCGCCTTTGTCGGGTGCTTTGCGATGGAGATTCCTGGCTCGAGGGGATTGGTGGGCACAGTAGGACGTACAGTATCATCGTCCCTTCCATTGTCCTCCTTCGGAGTCACTGCGGCCAGGTATCGCTCCCAGCCGAGCATCCGTTCCTGCCTATCGAGCCAGTTGATCATTTGCGGCATCGCGTCACGCTTGTTCGACGCGCGCCACCCGCGCTTGGCGAACTCGATGTGCAGGCGCTCGAATAGCTCGGTGTTGAAGTTGTCTGTAGTTCCGAGGAGGCGAATAGAGTCGACGTAGTGAAGTAATGAATGGAATTTAGGGATATTCAGGTCCTCGCGGCACTTTGTCGTGATGAAGTGGTGGGAGTTCTGTTGCCAGATCTCCAGGGCATCGTGCATCTGCGAGAGGGAGACATCGTCGTGGGTGGTGTACTGGGCGTAGTAGATGAAGTCCAGGATGGCCTTGCAGGCGAGGATCCCCGCACGAGGCATCAGCCCGACCAAGCAACCGAGCAGGATTTTCGCCATGTGTTTACGGACCTTCCCCGTGACTTGCGACAGCGCGGAGAACCCATTGTCGAAGTGGTGAACTCCAAACGCAGGCGGGAGGGTGCGAATACGCCGGTCAAGCTCCTCTGGCGAGACGCAGAGACGACACCACGAGACAAGGTGTTTGAAGACACCCTGATAGAGCTGGTGGAGGATGTCGGGAGTGATAGCGAGGTGAATGTCGGTGAATGGTAGCTTTTCCCAAAAGGGCTCGTACACACCGCCCAGGACGTCGGACTCCATACAGCGCGCAGAGTACTGGGCTGCCGTTCGAGCTCCTGGCTTGGCCAACTCCATAATACCGCGAGTCCAGTCGGCAGAGCGAGGCTCCGCTGGAACCGGATCCTCGAGCTTGTCGGCAGGACACTGGCATTTCGGACATGTCCCGTTCTTCGAGCAGGTGACAAGACACTGTTCGGGATAGTCTGCCACGTACGCTGCAAGCACGGGATGCACTCGGCGAACATAGCCATCTCCCCCGACCATCTCGATGCCAGAGAGCCCAGCGTCGATGAGAGGCTCGAAGATGTGGCGCATAGCCTCATGGAAGAGACGCGCCTGGCGGTTCCTTGCCTCCAGCACGGTCAAGGAACCTTTCGAAACCTTGGAGACGGGAAGATAGGCGATGAGTACACACGCGTGCATGCTCGGCTTCCGTCGAATCGCCTTAGGAAGGTTGCCAAGAGTGAGGTACACAGGATACGCTGATTTTCCACCCGAGAAATTCGTGAGCTGAGTCTTGTCCGATGCGATGATCAGCGACGCCAGCGTAGCGCCTGCGGGAAGTTTGTTCTGTTGCTTACTCAGTTAAATGGAAGCCAGAAAGCGGGAACGTGACTGACCTGCACAGTGGTCCACCACTTGCCAGTCCACATCTCAGAGTAGACCCGGTCAGCGCGAGTCGCATCTGCGAAGACCTGCGATGGTCGGTAGACAAGATGTTGAGCAAGGGTGGGGTCGCCCCAGAGACTCCGGATCGCCTCGAGTGGCTCGCGAAAATACAGCACATGTTCTTCATCCGGTGTATCAGGGTAACGCATGCGCTCGGTATGCCATTCTCCAGCGCGCTTATCGAGTTTATCGATGGTCTTGTGCATGTGGTAGGTATTCTTGAACGACAGACCCAGTCGCTCGTAGACCTGACAATGAAGTAAGGAAATTGATTGAACGGGAGGCCGAGGAGATAAGCTGTCACATACCCCTGGTATCGCAAGAAGACGATTGAAAGCACCCTGCGAAACATCTTCCTTCACGGCCCATAATGCAATACGCCAATCCAGCTCGGAAGCAAAGGGTAGGTAGCGCGTGCTCTCCGTACTCATGTCTTGCGTCTCCTTCTCCCCAAACATCCTCTCCCACAGTTCCCGCATCGTGGGATCGACTCGGATAGCACGTCCAGCAGCCTCATTCACATCGATAACGCGCGAGTCATCGTAGTCATCAAGCACCCTGTGCTCAGCAGCCTGTGCATTCCGAGAAGCGCGTGAAGCACGGGTGGATGGACCGGGTCCCTCCTCCCCAACTTCAGGTTGTGGTTCCGGGACAAAATAGAATAGCTCGGCGTCCTCTTGCGCCGCCAGATCCTCAGCCACAGAACTGGGATCTTCAAGAGATGCGGAGGCAGCTACAGAGGCGAACTCGGGTGGAGCAGGAACTCTTCCTTTTCCAGCGCGAAAGCCTTTACAGGACTTTGCAGTGCGGAGGTGCGAATTCAAGCCGCGCACGGTTGGGAAGATCCCTTTCGGGCAGTTGGGATTGGGACAGGTCCTGGTGATGATACTATCCATCCAGCAGAGAAGAGCAGCAATAGACGAAGTAGTGTTTTTGTTGCCAAAGTCGTCAGTGTCAAAGACAGGTGCGATGACCAATACCTTCGGACAGAATGCTGCGTCAAGACGCAAATCGTCCGGACGGAACTTCCTGCCTGATTGGGAACAACGCCTCGGCCAAAGTCTTTGTGGCGTCAATCCTCTGTGGACAGCTCTCGAAGGGTGTATTGGGCTTAGAGCGTAGTTCCTTCCGTTCGATTGGATTATACATAGTCTATATATACAATTTTCTGGGCACAGCCTGATACGCCCTGCGGCTGAAAAACGCGGAAAAACATACATAAACAAGCGATATATAGTCGACTTGGTCTAGATTGTATGGGCGGATCCGTATATACTGCACCGACGTCGCGACTGTACAACGGGCGCGTCGGGGGTATTTTATGACATAGAAAACCAGGAGCGCCACGCTTCCTAACCTTCAATACAACTAGTCCGCAGCATTATCCGTCTGCAATGACTGACCAAGGATAGCAGCGAGCTCTTCGGCGCCTGATCACGAGTCTGCGCGTTGTCGATGACATCCTGCGAGTCCTTTGGCGGGCCCTACTTAATCAAGTAGCCGCGCTATATGCGCCTCAAGCCTTCAGTCCTCTTGCCCTGCTGTGTCAAGAGAATCTAGATTATTGTTGGGGCTCGGACAAGCCTTCCTGCTGCTCGCCGTCATGCGGAGACACGCAGAGCACCGCGCAAGCGGAACTCGAACCATCAACGTGACTACACGTGACTTCGGGTCCGAGACCGGAACTTCGGGTCCGAGCTCGTGATCTCGGACATCGCCGAGTTGAACTCCGAACCGAGCGTCGGCGCTGCCAAGCGCTGTCCGCCCCGGCAAGGGCTTCACTCCCCGCGTATCGACAGTCTAGGCTGTACGCTCCCCGCCGCGCAGGCCTCTGAGCCGCGTCGCGCACAAGGGAACGGGTGGAAACCAGGCCGGCCTTGCCTTGGTAAACATCAACAAGTGTGGAATCGCGCCCGGCATCGCGGCGCAGGAGGATACCCGACCAGTCAACCGCTCTACCACCAGGAACCGCAGTCATTGCGCGATTATTCGGACAGGAGAACGCGCGGATAGGCGTTATAGTTGGATTTTGACTCAGAGATAGGCATTGTGTGTTACCGCGCGGTCTGGACGGCCGAGACGACGCGTTCAAGTTATATACCGAGACCTACATACGATTCGGGGACTTTTCCCGCCCCGCGCAGAGAAGCCCTAGTACCTACACACCACACCAAATAAACGCAACCGCGTTAACCCGCACTTTACACATCATAAAAGCCTGAACTTCCGAGCGCATTAAACCGCCTTGTGAACTTCAATCAAACCCGAAAGCGCTCGTAAGAACGCCGAGACGTCCGATTGCCCCACTCGACTTCTCGCTTCAGTCCAGCTCGTCTGGAACTGGCATAAACAACACAATCTATCCCCTAGTAATATAAATACTCGGACTCGCCCGCTCTCGTAGCGCCTCCAGTCTAGCGTGTTCATTGCTATCGTGGTTGTTGGTGTTTGGTTGTGTGGATCGTCTAGCTAGACTGTACTTCGCGTCTTTCGTGAGCGTACGATCCCATCATCTGGAGCCCACCGCGAGGGGATATTTCTGTGTTAGCCAGCAAATTACTAGCTGCTGAGCGAACTTCGAGAGTCATATTAAGGCCCTCTCCAATTCTACTTGTGTTTTCGGGTACCGTCACGACGGCTCCTGGACAAAAATCCAGCCTCTCGGCTCTAAGACCGGACTGGGATAGCTCTACATCCGAGCGATCCAAGAGAAAGGCCAAAGAGCGAGCGCGTCTAGCGGAACAAGCCAGTCGCACATCGCGATCAGCATCACCCCGGAAATCCGTTACCCAACGTCCGGTAGAAACATCCAAAGCGGACGACACCTTACCAGGTGCTTTCCCGGAGGACACAGAACCGAACACTCCTTCTCCTACTTCTCTCTCGGTCGCCAACGACCTCTCTGCTTCGTTCTCTCGTCTTTCCATCGAGCCCGAACCGGCCGCGACACAGGGTCCACGCGCTTCATCCCCCTTGAGCTCTCTGTCCGACGATTCGACTCCGTCTCTCTCTGAATTATTTCCGACTCGCGACCGTACCGAACCAGCCTCGACCGAAGAACCGACTCCGACTCCAGCTTCCAGAATCATTCCGACTCCGAATCCGACTCGTATATCCCGTCCCGTTCCTTCTATTCCGACTTCGGCTTCTACTTCTATTCCCAAACCAATGTCTACCGCTCGCTACTCTCATACGGCGTCTGACGCCCCTCGCTTCGACGAGGATGATATGAGTGGCTTGCCTTTGTTCCTACGAGATCTTGATACATACCTCAAAGATCACGGGATCACGTCCGATGCGGACAAAATCGCTAAGGCGCCTCTCCACGCTAAAAAGACTGCTACACGCATCTTGTGGGAGGAGCTGGCGCTCGCATTCAAAAACAAACCATGGGAGGACTTTGTTAAGGCGATCCTGGAACAGTACCCTGAAATATCGGGTCAGCAGTCCGGAACGCTTGCAGAGCTCAGCCAAATCTGTAGCGAGTTCCGCGGACTTGGCGAGCAGGATGGGACTCGTGGAAACGTGTTCCTTCGTCGCTTCGCTCCGTGTATTCTCAAACTCAGCCGTAGCAACTACAAGATTTCGAATTTTGAAGTTTGCTCGCGCCTCGCCTCTGTCTGCACGCCTCAGTTCCTTGCGACCCTCGATATGATGTTGGTCGGCAAGTCGAGCACTCTTGAGGTACCCGGCAAGGAAGGTGCGGTTCCCCCGGAGCGGCCAACCAACACATCCATCGTCGAAGGAGGTTACCGATGGGAGGATATTGTTGCCACCATGCGCGAAGTCTGGCGCCGCGGTTTTACTGCAGCTCAGAACGCCATTGGCGACGCTTATCCCGTCGCGTCTATCCAGACCTCCGCGGCCTCCGCTTCGCACGCAGTATCCTACTCGGGCGACAGTGAATCTCGCTTAGTTAAACTCGAGCAGGATTTCCACGAATTTGCTGAGCGCGCTAGCCAAGGCGAAAGGGAAACTAAGACCGCTATACGTAGTCTACAGTCCGAAGTTCATACCGAGCTCGCGCAAGGACGTACCAAGTCCGATCAGAACTTCGCGATGATCCAAGAGACGACTCAGCGCCTCACCAACCAGCTGTCGCTCAACACGAACAGCGCCGCCCCGCAAGGCGGTGGGTTCCGGCCCAACTACCCTGGATCGTTCAACCGACCCCAAAATAATTATGGTGGTGGACAGCGCGGTCCCCCTCGACCTCAATATACTTGCAACTGGTGTGGCGAGGTCGGCCACTTCATGAACAATTGCCCTGATTGTCAGAATGCGATTAAGTCCGGCGAGATCGTACCCGATAACGCTGGAGGCTTCCGCACTAAGACAGGCGAAATTATACCGCGTCGCAATGGTCCGCTTGACCTGCCGATGCGTACTAAGTGGCAGCAAATGAAAGCGGCTGTTAACCAATATGTGGTCGCTCCTTTCATGAACTACATTGGTCAATACACCAACTCAGGCATGTGGGGCATCCCGCAGCAACAGCCGAGTGTCATACTGGACTCAGGCTTGGACGTTCCTCCCGGTTGGGACGAGTTCACCGAGCAGCTCTCCCCGGAGCAGATCGCTCATTACAACAACCCGCCTGTCGGCGAGATGGCTCAGCCACCGTCGGTCCAGGAGGGGTCGTCCCAGGGTTTTTGATGGGTTCAGGGATTCACGCCCAATACCTTGATAAACGCTGGGGGCGTGATGAGAGCCAGTTAAAACCAGCAGCTAGTTCGTTGCCACAAAATCCAAACAAGTCCGTGTATGCAACGCCTGCTAAGGCGCCCAATGCTAAGACTACGAATTCGCAGCCCGGCCCTGTACCGCAGGCCGGTCCTGCTCATCCCTATCGCTCTGTGCCCGAGACGCGATTTATACCCATTGACCAACGCCCTTCTGCGTTACCTGTTAAGCCCGGCGCAGCGCCCGGTGAAGCAAGTCGCGCGAAGCCCGCGGCAAAGGTCCAAGCTCCTATACAAACCTCTGTAGACTCGGAAGATGTCTTAGAGAAACTACTGTCGACCAAGTGCCCGATGACCGGAATTACGCTACGCGAATTTCTGGGAGTCAGTCCTACTCTACAAGACCTTCTAAGGAAATTGTTGACTAGGAAGCGCGAGATCGACGACAATTTTGGCAAGGTCCTGCGTGTGGCCTTACTCACTGAAGCGTACCAACGCAAAGAATTGGGTTATGCCCAAGGGCAGCGCCCCAATCTCGGCCGAGGTAGCGAGTCCGACGATCCAGTTCAGGTGAATTGGGCCGCACTCGAGAACGAGGTCATTACCACGACGGTCGAGCTCCCGTCGTGCGCCCACACTAAGGTACCCATCGGGTCCTATGTGCAGATTGACGCCCGACTCGAGGTATACCAGAGCCTGCCTGAACGCGGTCGCTCCGATGTTATCTTCGCGGGCGAACCTTCGGCGACACTGCGTACCGTCTGGCCGAATATTAACAACAATGGTCCGGACGAAAGCATCTTGGATAGCGGTTCACAAATCGTATCCATGTCTAAGGATTGCGCGCGAGACCGCGGCGCTTCCTACGACCC